GACGAGATGTTAGCGGAGTTGATCGCCCGCTACACGGACACAGCTGCCCTGCCGGAGACGGCAGCGGAGTCGATGGCCGGAGAGGATTTTGTCCCCGCGACGAGTGACTGGTGTGCCCTCGTTCGCGTCTATAAATCGTTTTGCCTCTTTGTATGATGAATGCAGTTCCTTGCCCTACAATGAGCCCGAAACGAAAGACACACCCTCTCCTGCCCCCGCCTCGACTCCGTCTCCGACTCCCCCCGCGACTCCGGTCATCATCCTCCGCCGCCTCACTGCCTGGGAAAAGAAACTGCCCAAGCAGTACACCGTTGCCGCTGCCCCTGGGGCGAACTCCCTCCACCTCCCGTTAGAGCTCGAGTCCACCACCAGGCGCTGAAGCTCTCACTCTCTGGGCTTGTCGACTGTGGTGCCACCTCCGACTTCATTGACACGAACTATGTTGCTCGGAATGGCATTCCGGTCCGCACCCTCGATCAGCCGATTCCGGTTTTCAATGTCGATGCACCCCCAATGACGCTGGCTCCATCAAACAGATCGCGGACTTGGTCCTGCGCTACAAGGGCCATGCCGAACGAGTTCAGCTGGCCGTCACCCATCTTGGCAAGCAAGACCTCATCCTGGGGTATTCCTGGTTGCGGAAACATAACCCAGAGATCAATTGGGAAACCAAGGAGGTCAAGATGACACGGTGCCCCCGCAATTGCTCAACCTGCCGTGAGGAAGAGCGGGTCGAACGGACCGAGTTGCGGCGACTCCGGTCGCTTCAGAAGCGTCTCCGCTCCGGCCCGTTCCCCTCGGTCTGCGCCATGGACCTTTCTGGGTCTGATGACGGAGACGATTCCGTCTCCGGTGACGACTCCGGCCTGCCTGATCTGACGCCGGACTCCGACGAAGACGATGACGATGGTCAGCTTGAAGATGGTGACCGCATCTTCTACACCTCGTTCCGCCCCTCGGAGGAGATACCGCTGGCAGTACTGTCTCGCAACGCCTGGCCGAAGCCTTCGCCAGGAACTCCGCCCCTCCGCCCTCCGAGATCCCGGACTGGGCTAAGGAGTTCCAGGACGTCTTCAACAAGGAGTCCTTCGACACGCTACCGAGCGGAGAGCCTGGGACCACGCCATTGAACTCGTCCCCGACGCTAAGCCCACCAACTGCAAGGTGTACCCCATCTCGCCCCTCGAGCAACGCGAGCTCGACGCGTTCATCGAGGAAGGGCTTTCGACGGGCCGGATTCGCCCCTCCAAGTCTCCGATGGCGTCTCCGGTCTTCTTCGTCAAGAAGAAGGACGGCGGACTCCGCTTCGTCCAGGACTACCGTGCTCTCAACGCGATGACTGTCAAAAACCGGTACCCCCTTCCGCTGATCAACGACCTCATCAACCGGCTCAAAGGCGCTCGTTACTTCACCAAACTCGACATCCGTTGGGGCTTCAACAACGTCCGGATCAAGGAAGGTGACGAGTGGAAAGCGGCTTTCCGGACTAACCGAGGCCTGTTCGAGCCCTTGGTGATGTATTTCGGCCTGACAAACTCTCCCGCGACGTTCCAAACGATGATGAATGACATTTTTCAGGACCTCATCCTCTCCGGAGACGTCATGATCTACCTTGACGACATCCTGATCGCCCATTCCGACCTCCGGAAACACCGGCAGATTGTTCAGGAGGTCTTGCGGCGACTCCGAGAGCACAGTTGTACCTCCGAGCGGAGAAGTGCGACTTTGAAAAATCGTCAATCGAGTACCGGAGTCATCATCTCCCACAACCACGTCGAAATGGACCCCGTCAAGGTCGCAGGCGTCTCCGCTTGGCCGACTCCGGAAAACAAGAAGGACATTCAGCAGTTCCTCGGGTTCGCTAACTTCTACCGCAGGTTCATTCGGGACTTCTCGACCCTTGCGCGCCCTCTTTTCGTGCTCACCAAGAAGGACCAGCAATGGACTTGGGGCGACGCGGAGGCCTCCGCGTTCCAAGCGATCAAGGACGCGGTCACCTCGAACCGGTCCTGGCGATTCCGGACGACACACGGCCTTTCCGACTCGAGGCGGACAGCTCTGATTATGCGACGGGGCGGTTCTTTCACAATCCGCCCCGGACGGGAAGTGGCACCCTGTAGCATTCTATTCCAAAAGCTTAAATGATGTCCAGCGCAACTACGAAATCCACGACAAGGAGATGCTCGCGATCATCCCGCACTCGAGGAGTATAGACACTTCCTAGAGGGCGCCGCGCACCCTGTCGAGATTTGGACTGACCATAAGAATTTGGAGTACTTCAGGAAGACGCAACACCTCAACCGGAGACAGGCCCGGTGGTCTCTGTACCTCTCCCGGTTCGACTTCACGCTGCACCACAAGCCTGGCCGCGATATGGGTCGGCCTGACGCCCCTCTCCCGGAGACCCGACCACGGAGTCGATCCCGACAACTCCGACGCGTCGTCCTTCTGCGGCCTGAACTCTTCCACGTCCGCGCACTCGAGGGCGTTTCCGTTTCCGGTCCCGGCTCTGAACTCCTCCGTGACATCCGTGATGCCCTCTCCGGTGAGCCTGACCTGGAGGAGCCCGTCGCACTAGCGGCCCGGCAACTTCTTAAGGTTCAAGGTCAAGCTCGAGGCCCCCGCTCCTCACGTTCTGACGAGTGGGCCGTCTCCGGCGGTCTTCTCCATTTCCGAGGAAAGATCGTCGTACCAAAAGACAAGGACCTCCGGAGACGCATCATCGAGCTCTGTCATGACACCCGAGTCGCCGGACACGCAGGTCGTTTCAAGACCCTGGAGTTGGTCTCCCGGAACTACTGGTGGCCTCAGATGTCTCGCCATATCGGCCGGTATGTTGCGACCTGTGACTTGTGCTGCCGCACCAAGGCACTCCGGAGACTGCCCCACGGAGAACTGCACCCCACGGAAACGCCTCCGAACGCTGGCATACCGTCTCCGTCGACTTCATCGTAGAGCTTCCCGAAGCCCATGGGTACGACGCGATCATGGTCGTCGTTGACACCCTCGGAAAGCGCGCCCACTTCTCGGAGTGTCATACGACGGTCGATGCAGTAGGGGCAGCCCGCCTCTACTACCGGAATGTCTGGCGGCACCATGGGACTCCGGAGAAGTACGTCTCCGACCGCGGCTCGCAGTTCATCTGGACTTCACCCGAGAACTTTGGCGTCTAATCGGCATCAAGCCCGCCACGTCCACCGCGTACCACCCGCAGACAGACGGTCAGACAGAGCGCGTCAACCAGGAGCTGGAGCAGTACTTGCGGATCTTCACCAACTACCAGCAGGACGACTGGGATGAGCTGATTCCAGCCGCGGAGTTCGCCCACAACAACCACGTTCACTCCTCCACGCAGCAGGTCCCCTTCATGACGGACACGGGACGGCTCCCGCGCATGGGCTTCGAACCCGGAGTCCGTTCCGCCATGGAGTCAGTGAACGAGTTCCGCGACCGGATCGCCACTGGTGTTGCTGAAGCCAAGGCCGCGCTCACTAAGGCCAAAGAGGAGTACAAGCGCTACTACGACCGGAGACGGACTCCGTCTCCGGAGTTTAAGGTTGGCGACCGTGTTTGGCTGGATGCCTCTGACATCAGGACGACTCGCCCCTCGGAAAAGTTCTCCCATCGCCGCCTTGGACCGTTCAAGATAGTCCAAGGAGATCAGCAAAGGTGCCTACAAGCTCGACCTCCCTCCGCGCTACTCGAAGCTCCACCCGGTCTTCCCCGTCGTCAAGCTCGAGCTCGCTCAGGACGACCCCTTCGACGGACGCCCCGGCTACGACCAGCCCCTCCGGACCTCGAGGACGGAGTCCCGGAGTGGGAAGTAGAGGAAATCCTGGACGCAAGGGTGAGGTATAAGCGGCTGAACTACTTCGTCAGATGGAAAGGCTACGACGCATCGCACGACCAATGGGTCCGCTTCGACCGCGTCTTCGCCCGGAGAAAATTGCGGAGTTCTATCGTAAGTACCCTGGCAAGCCCACGACACATCGCCTCCGCGACCTTCGACTCGATTCCGTTTCCAGTCTATGCGCCGGGACGCCGCATTCAAAGGGGGGTGATGTCAGGGGAACCTCCCTTTCGGCCCCTCGGAGACGCCTCCGATTCCGGTCCGACTCCGGTTCCGTCTCCGGTCCGGCCCTCCATCTCGCCCGCACAATCACCGATCCGTCAACGCCCTCCCGACGGTCGCCCTGGGACCTCGCCTGCGACGCCGCCCAAGCCTTCTGTGCCCGACAGCGGCAGCTACGGACAAGCAGTATATAGTCAGCTACCTAGCAGGCGGACCCTTAGAGTTTCTTCTCTTTGGATCCTCCCCTGCTAGGTCAGCTTCATTTGTATTCGCTTACCAATGTTCACGCTTTGGATCCTCCCCTGCTAGGACCTTGATCTCAGGCCTCCGGGGTTGCCCTTACAGCCTGGCTCTAGTTAGCTCTGGAGCCCCGGGTCCCGGAAGGGGTTCGATCCCGGCGGACAGTCATCTGTCGCAATACCATCAAAAAATTGGGGAGATAACAGTTATGACACACGTGCTGTTTGATCCGGTACCGTTGACGCGGGCCGCCTTAAGCGCTACTTATGGTCGTAGGTTAAAGTCCTATAAAAAGTGTTAGGGAGTTTTAGTGGGTATTACCGCTTGCGGTTGAGTCCCACAGTATCATTTCCGGTTTCGGCAGTGATCTGCGTAAATGCATTTCTTCCTGTTGGTTGTATTCTATCTGTCGGCCCGGTTTCAATTCCGAGGCCAAACAATTGCGGGGCTCGTATTCACCGACCAATGTCGGCCCAACCAGCAGCCAAATGGCTGAGACCAATAGGGGATGGCACCTCCGGGTACTCTGATGCGGCCTGCTATCGCACCACAAAAAAAAAAAAAAAAAAAAAAAAAAAAAAAAAGAGATTTGGTCTAGTCCAAGATGCTAGGATGTCACGAGATATGTTCTTGTTCTGCTTTCCCATGGCCACACAGTACGGCTTTCCTGTTGCTCTCTCTTGAATTCATGTCTGGCTCTGAAGAAACCAAGGTTGTCACTGTGCCCATTCCCGCCCAAGGCGCTTTCGCTGCCTTCAAGATTGACCCCATTTCGACTCTTCCGCCGGACATGCGCAACGATGCCGAAGCAGTTGCTGCGTGCCAAAAGCTGGTCAACAAGTCGTATATAGGACTGGTGGTCAAAGTATTTTTTTCTAAGACCTTTTCTGCCAAAGGCTAACCAGAAACCTTGCAGCGGCACGGCCTTTTTCAACATTGGGCGCCTTATAACGCGTGCACTTTCGACTTTTTGTTACCAGGTATGCCAATGAACATGCCATTGGCTGGAATAGATCCTTCAATGTCACTGCCCGTTGAACCAATGACCATCAAAGACCACCCTGGCTATCCTCCGCTTCGGCCTTCGAATCCTCTCCCCTGGAACGACTGCTATATATCTCCATTTTGGCGGGTGGAGCTTCGTTCGCCCACCGTTTATGAAAGCTCGGAAAAGGTCCATTTCCGGATCAGTATCGAGGAGCAAGCCCGACGGCATACGTTCACCAACGAGGTTTTCATGCGGCACCAAACACTTCTTCTTCAAATGCATCGAAATAACGAAGCTCACGACTGTGGTGATGTCTGTCGCACTTTTCTGACCGAGCCATACTCTGCTCCGACGAGCCCCACCGGGTCTAATCATTCTGAAGACTGGGATGAAAACGAGTCTTCAGAGTACTTCTCCGAGTCATGGAGTGATGGCGTCTACTCAGACGAATTAGAAGTCTTGAAGCTTGACTTGAAACAACAGATGTTCCCGGAACTGGATCCTTCTGCTGTTTTGATGGTTACTGGCACATTCACACACGATCTCGAGACACTGGAAGAGCTGATTCATCCCGAGGGCTTCTACGAGGAAGCGTGGTTACTTCGACGGTCTGTTGTTCCCCTTCTAGCCTCTCTTATTCTAATGTGTGCAGCATCATTGATGAGGCACAACCACGAGTTGAAGCTGCAAGACTTCGTGCGAAAGCCACAGCTGCTGCACAGGACGCAGCCGACTTCGATGCAAAGACCGGTACGCGAGAACTGTTCTATTGCACCGGAGCCTCTTGAAATATTGTCCTAGATGTATTGACGAAAGAATCAACAGCCACCAATGCGCTGTCCGAGTCGACGAACGACACAGTGGCAATACTTCCGATTGAGAGCAAAGAGTTTTCATTGTAGTACTTTCATTACAACGATCACTATATGTAGTCCAACACGCTCGCACGACACCCAGGGCAAGTTCCCAGAAACTGATTTTTTTCCCATGGACCCACAGACACATGATGGCTTCAGTTCACATGTCGAGCGCAGGTATGGACTCTATTGGCTGCTCTGAGAGAGGTCTTTGAACTTGATATAGCAAAGCCGCATGTGCGCGACCAGTACTCACATAGTTCTTCTGATAGTCAGGCATTGCCATGGCCGATGACACCTCCAAAAGGCAGTCCTTGTAAGTCACCTGTGAGTTATTGCGCGAAAGTTTCCCCGACGCAGAGGCAAGAATACGCAGCACGGTTCGGGAACAAGCGCATAAGCTTGTGCATCCAACATTGAACAAAGCAATATGATCATCTTCGGTCCCGGGCTTTTTACATCTCCAGGGTCCGTGGATAAACCTATTGAAAGATCAGCGCTATCCTTAGAGCCAACTCGAGTATAGTCTCTTCATAATCATTGCGTCCAACCACCATCAACGAGCTTACTTAGTTCAGGTCAGCATCCGAGTCATTCTTGACTCAATTTTGAATCACCGCAACCACGATGTATGCTTTATTCTATGTATGGTGTCGACTGCTGGCAGCCTCGTCGATGATGCAACAGTGTCCAGTCCAAACTGATCTCATTGACTAAACGAGGTTTGCGTCGGTCCAGGCCATGCAACGTATATTCATTCACTCTTGCCAGGATGAAAAACCGATATTAAAAGCTGGTTGTTTTAACTTGAAGTGCCAACGGCTCTGTTAGAGTTATACCGCAGAACGAGCAAGACGGAGCCTGTTTAAGCTAGTTCGCGTCCCTCTTCTAGCCAGCAATATCTGGTGAAGCAAGAATCGCACACCCCGCTTCGCTTGATACCCCCACGCTCCCGCTCCCTATCAACCACAGCACAGGCCAAGCAGGCCGCCCACTCAGGGTCTTCAAGCGAGTCGCCTATCCGAGCTCCTTGCGTCGCAATAGTGAACGTCTGCGCCAACATGCCCTGTATCTGTTCCTCCGGATAGATGAATTGGAAGCTGCTGGTGTTGGTGAGCGGCGCCGAGCCGTCGCGCGGAGGGGCGCCATTGGCGAGGTAGACGACGATGGGGCCGGTAGGCTTCTGAGATGAGGGTGTTGACGGTGTGCAGCCAAAGAAAGCCGGGCGGGAGAGAAGGCTTTGTGACGCAAATACATCAAGAGATGCTGGTACCGACGGAAAGGTGGCGAGACCCTCAGCAAATATTTGCATGCGTTGCTGGCTGGATATAAATCAGGAACACTTTCAACTGGGGGGAGAATATGCTCACGTTGCTATGAGGGAAGCGCCGACAGCATAGTTTTCGGGGACATCATTGGCCTTGAAATCTGTGAGAATTCCACATGAAAAAACAAAGTGAAACGTACAGCGTCAACACCAATGATGACATCTATTTCACGTTCTTTAACGAGCATCGGTTGGTATGGCGTGATCTGGCCATCCAATCCACCATCGCACATTGCCAGAATCGTCTCCTCCGAGTCCGCAAATGTCTCTGGCGCTACGCCGAAGAAAGGGTTGGGATAGTTATTGGTGTCGAGTCGAATGTTGGGTGATTGCGGAAACGTCTGGTTGATAAATGTGGTGTAATTAGCGGTGTTTGCAGCAAGGATGTTAGCCTGGAGGCTTATCACTACCTGAATATCGGCTGATAGTCGACTCACAGTAATGTTGAACAAGAGGAACGGGTTGGACGTGGTTGCGGTAATGAACATGGCCTCGTCAAAACCCTGAACGCAAATGGAATTGTTGGTCGTCCCAAGATACTTGAGTGGTGTGTGAGCAGCGAGAGCGTCGTCATATGACCCGAATTCAACTGCGTAAGAGGTTAGTTGCTGTAGTGAAAACCGAGTGTGGAAGATAATACAGAGATTAGCTTCGAACATAGGTGTGTTCAAAGGAAGAAGTTTCAAAGAGCCAGCGGGGAAGGAAGGGCCGGTAATGTGTTTCGAAGCAAGGTTTATCGTAATATGAGGAAGTGGCTGCAAGTGTGAAGCGAATGTGGGACTAACGATGACATGAGCGGGGGATAAAAACTAAGGATATAGGAACATGCAGTTTGATGAGGTCGGAAAGTAAGATGCCCGAGCCATGTGTGCCGTTCGTAAAGAAGTTAGCCAAAGTTGTTCCGTTGGTGAAGTGGCGAGCAAGGGTGCGCCCCCAAATGTCGCCAGCAGAGACGGGGAAGTGTTTCGCTTTGACCGTGATTTCTCCCAGAAGTTGTTGGACATACTCTGTCTGCTTGACAGGATCTTGGGCCGGGGCTCTCAAATCGAGTTCGGTGATCCAGCCACCATAGTTTTCGCCGTCTCCGAAGATGAGTTTTTGAATCGTGGGGAAATTGGCTTGTGCTAGGGAGGTCACGGTCCATGAGCCCCCGCTGAGACCAGCGATGTGCGAAATAGCCTAGCAAGGCTTTGATTAGATTCGTTGAGAAACGTTTCCCGCCGCTTACTTGCAGCAGACCACCCGTCCCTTTCCTGACCGAGGAGGCGTTTCGCGCGTCCAGAGCGTTGATGACACCAGCGCCGAAAAGAGCAGCTGGAGGAGTTGAATTTTACTACAACAGAAAGAAATGTTTGAACGCACCTCGATGACCACCTCCACTGATCGAAAGCCCAACATTAGGTAGTTTGTCCCTCGATTCGAGGATACTGTCGACATAACTCGGCAAAGCGACTCCGGTGCCCTTCACATTGCTCAAGTATGCGCTGAAGGCGTCAGGCAGGACGTGCTCTCTTCGTTGGCTGGTATATTTCCGTTCGGCGGTGGAGATAGTCTGGCCCCGCCGGACAAGCTCAAACTTTGGTGGACAACGCTGCACAGTCAATCCTGTTGCAACAGCAGCAGAACCCATGAGCAACTTGAAGAGGAGAACGAAGGCCATGATTTGGGTTTGTGTGGATGTGGCCGAGTTGCGTTAGCTTTAGAATAAAGTCATTTTATAGCGGCCAACAAGTCCGTAATGGCGCTGGCGTCGTTGTGTTGTTGTCGAGTTCGTTGTTGGGCTGGCGTCCAATGAAGAACTCGTTACGAAGGCCATTAAGGGTATGTGTCGGCCACGGTCCTGTACATTGAGGACGCGTCTTTCGGCACGATAAAGGAGCGGACTGACCATCAACTGATAATTGCGCAGGAAATCTCGCGAGTGGGATTCTTCAAGTTGTGCAATCCTTAGTCACCCATCATCAGATTATCACTGTTAGATAAAAAATGCCTCATAGAAAGTACAACAGCTATGTTACAGGTAAATGCGATGCTGGGTAATACACAGGGCAGTTCCGCCTATGAAAGGGTAATGGAGGAATGCGTCGATGCAAATGTGGAGGTGATGAGGGTAGCCGTTTCCTCGCGTCTAGCTTCTAGATCGAGTGGGAGGGAGGCCGACAACAGCGTGTGTCAGAAAATGCATAGTGGCCAAGGGCCCGTCCAGTAATGCTGAGCCGCCATGAGAGAGATAGGTCGAAAAATCGGCCCAAAGCACAAGAAAATCGTAGCGGAGATAATGCTCTATCCTGTCGCCCATTCTATTGGGCCCAGGTCGTCCTCAGGAAGATCAAACCAATCGATCGTTCCAGTGGGCACATTCGCCTTGCCCCGAGGGAGCTCTGACGAGCTAGAACTCGGGGATATTGGCGACTGTTGAGGAGTGTCTTCCTCATTAATGAAGATGTCACACGAGGGACGGAGAACATCCTGGGGACGATACCCATGGCCAAAGCCATACGTGTCATCATCCTCGTCTTCTTCCGTATATTCTTCCTCTTCTAGGGAGACTTGCATCTCCTCGATATATTCTGCGACGCTCCAAGACCGACTTGACCACAGCGACTTGACTTGTGTTCGCAAAGGTTGGTAAGTTGGTTCGGCATCTTCGTCGATAGTGGGGAGTGAGCAAGACAGCTCAATGCGGAGACAAGCCTTGAATCGTGTCACGGGCATCGGTGGCACAAAATCCTTGTCGTCGTCTTCAAGCCATGGCTGTCGAGACCGAACTTGACGAACTGGTAGGATAGGGTGAGGTTGGTCTTCTTCGGCTTCCTCCTCTTCCTCAAGCAGAGTCTCTAGTCTCGGGTGTCCGTAAACATTCGGTGGTGATGGGGTACGAGCCTCATCCGACTCGGAAGTCGATTCTGACTCCGTGAAGTTCAAGTCAGCTAATCTCTCCAAATCATCCTCGTCGTCCTCAGCGTCAACGATTGGATGATGATATTCCCACAGTGGTACTTGGAGCATGTCTTCGTCTTGATTAGCGGCGAGCACTGCTTCGCAGTCCCAAGGTGCGTTGGGGAGAGAATGGCTGACGACTATGTGCGGTACAGTGAAGGGATGGTCAGACTCGTGGATCGTGACTGAGACGCAGTGTCGCCAGGTCTCCAGCAGGTAGTCCGCAGGATCATTCCACAGGTATGTGGACAGCCGATGAAGCCGGTCAAGTATTTGCTCGTGGTCGTAATAAGCGCGTACACTGGCTCCGGCAATACATGCATCGTGGGCCTGACAACCCCAAGACAAATCAGCATTTGAGGGCTAGAACAAAGTTGATCGCATACCACTGCCTTGAACATGTGCCGTTGCGTAAAAAAAGCTTGTTCTGTGGTCTGGAGCGCAAGGGCTGCCTTCTAATTAAGATGATTCAGAACCGGCCACTTCAAATGAGTGGATAACGCACAAAAACAGCAAATCGGGAAGCACTGAAGACGGTCATGGGGTCCACTCGGGTTTCATTTGCCTTAACTGGAGAAGTCGGTCCGTAGGGAGAGTAGGCGTAGTTAGTGGGTGGCACAACGAGTAATGCCGTCCATTGTAGGTTGGGTTGGTTGGAGCAGCGCCTTGTGAAATCTGCCCAGTCCTCTTCCGCCGGGGTAAGAACCACGCAGGCAGCATCGCTTTCACAGAGTGATACAGCGCCAGGCTCAGTGAGCAGGCGCTTGGAAGACGTCAGTGTTAAGAAAAATTTAGGAGACAAGACTGTGACTCACAGAAAGTAGTTGTGTTGGTTGCGACTGAAGGGAGGGAAAAAATGAGGCGACGACCAGAGAAAAAGACCGTGGCACACACCGATATTGAGGGCATAATCTGGGAGCATTTTGAATTCGTGCTGTGCAGTGGGTGCGATATTTGAGGGTCCACAGAAACGTCGGTGTCGACGTCATTTATGTCACACCACTCCAAAACGCCGGTGGCAACAAATGTTTCGCTCTCACAAGACTCAACCTGGTTCTCGTCCCTAGCCTCTTCACCACGTGTCGATACGCTAATCTCGGCTGGAGGTGGGGGAGACTGGAAGACGCGTCGCGTGAGTTTGTTGATCGTGGCGTGACCGTGTTGAGTGGCACTCACGCTGACTCTGCTCTCGGACCCGGTGCTAACAACCGCCCGACCGAGTTGTTGAGTGTTGTGGATCGTGTGGGTTGAAACGAAGACGACCGATGAAGACCCTGACGCGCCACCAGCGACGGCCTCGGAGTCGCTAGCAGGCTTCACGGTGATTTGGACAACAAGCGACTCGCTGTGGCAAGTGGCTTTTCCCTTGAGAGTGTTGGTGGTGGATGCAGACGAGAGTCTGCGGTGGGAGTAGAACATGAACTGGGGTTAGATGGTGGTTGATGAAAGAGAAACAGGTTGAGCGTTACAAAGGACAAAGCTTTGTTGACATGTCCCGATCGATTCAATATCTTCACCCACATAGCTCTTACCACATGCGTCCCTCAGATTATTCTCGAGATTCTGATAAGCTTGCCGTCCGCGGACCGTTCTTCGGCCACAACTCATTATTACCCACTAATCCGACTTTACATGGTTGCTGCGTTCATCTACTGTTGGCGCTGGCCCTTCCGCCTCCCTCCGCCCAGAAAGCTTCACAAAATCCTTCATGGCGAAATCTGCATTCGAAAACTGGGCAGTTCATCAGAATTTCGCAGGTCATCGGTCGTCTCGGCTGACACTAACCCACGTCATGATATCGGCAACCCAGTGCGGCAGAACCGACAGGAATGGTGTGAAGTTGGCATAGAACGGCTGGAGAATCGTATGTCCTAGAGTATCATCTAACGCTTGGATTATCGGCTTAACAACATCAATAGGATGCAACGTTGGGAAGAAGAATTGATTTGGTCGGTTGACCGTCGCAAACAACGGCGTGTGGATATGGCCAGGACAGAGCAGTGTGGTTCGGACCTCAGGGCAGTTGTATCTAGATAAAGAGTGGGTGAAACGGGAGATCGAGCGCCTGGCCAACATACCGCTTGTCAAGTTCCGATCTCAGTGACCGATTGAGGCTAACAAGTGCAGCCTTAGACGCGCAATAGTCGGCTAGACATGCGTTGAGGCGCCGGAATGGGAGATAAGCCTGGGAGCTTACACAACTGGGCGACTCCGTGCAATCCCATGATAGATGATACGGTCACCTGTTACAAGTTCAGATTTGACCAGAATAGTTAGTATTGCATCTTACAATGTGACCTTTTTTCTTCTCAATCATACCCGGTAAGAAAGCCTTGAGGGTCCAGAAGTGAGAGAGTGTGTTGACATTAAAAGTCCTCCGTTTTTTAGAGAAAAGTGGATTTGAAATGGAAGAGCACACACTGCTGAACGTCCTCAGGATCCAAATCAAGCAAAAGTTTACCCTGAACAACGCCAGCGTTGTTAATCAGGATAGTGGGCTGACCAATCTGCGCGGATTATTCCGACGTTGAATACGATTTATGGAAAGTTGTGTACCTCTTCAATGATCTTTTTTGAAACCGCGTCAACCTCCTCCCACTTGCTTACATCGCACTTGTAATAGTTGATGTTGTCTGCTCAAGTTGAGAAGGAAACATGGGCGACTGGGATGACAACGAACAATTCTGGGAGTGGATGGGCTTGACGTCTAGGACGATGACAGTGACACTCTTGACCGCTAGTGTATTGGCTAGAAGCTCTCCAACACCAGAAGAGCCTGCAGATATCAGCATGGTGAACGGACAGGGGGGTACAAACACACCGCCAGTAATGACTACGATTTGGTCACTCCATTCCAACGGCCGCGGAGCATATAAAAAGCTGGCTTTGTTGTACTGTAGATGCGAAAGCCATTTAATTGCCCCTGCAACAGATGAAGCCCGTAAACCCAAGGAGCAAACAGCGCGACGCACAGAAGGTGGAGACGACAACGAGGTACACAAAGGAGGAGACGACGGTGAAGTCCGTCACTTTGGCTCCCTGGAAGAGATAAAATGTAGGGACCAACATAAGGAAGAACGGGCCTGGAGGAAACGTGCTGTGAGCGGGTGACGTGGTAGAATATGCTGGCTTACTGAATATGGTGTTATTAGCGACCTTGACGAAGAGGTCGATGTCAAGGCTGTCCCAGACGGGCGAAGGGTCGACGTATTCTTCTTCCATAGTGTTAAGTTAGAAAACTAATTGGCGCGGCCGTGGTGGAAGAAACGAAGGGTGATGTTCGGATGTCACTTTGAAACCTCGATTATCTTTCAGTCTGATAACGGAACAGATCCCAGTTCTCCTCCCCCGAGACTACTCACAAGTGAGAACTCAGAATACTGTAAGACGCAGAGTACAGGATACAACTACACAGCTGCAGACGAGTATCATTCGTCCTTGACGAGGACATGTCCAGATAAGCCTGGACCGAACAAAAAGATGTTCTCGGTGCAAAGAAATGTATAGGTGAATCGTAGAATACAGTTTTACTTCTGGTACGACCATACGTTCCTCAGCACTAGCGGAAAATAGGTGAGAAACGCGCGAGAAGGAAAACGGAGTAGAATGGACGCACATCCGGCCTTGGTAGCCAATCTGTTGAGGGAGTCGTCGCTCTCGCCCTGAGAGCGGACTTGACCGCAAAGAGCAAAAGTGGTGGATGTGTTGAGAGCCCTGCCATTGGCATCGACATCGACGATGTTAATTTGAACCGAAGCATGGTCTTTCGAGGTGATGAGACGGTCTGAAGAATAGTCAGTCCCGTTGCAGTCATTCGATTGCAAAAGAAATACTGGTCGCAGAGCATTTGCGAGGGACATAAAGGTCAACGAGGACACCCTAAATCGTGGTCAGACCGGCTACATCCCGGTGTTGAAGGTCAGCTCACCTGGTCGTTTTCCATTTTTTGCGTCGAGGACAAGTAGCAATTGAGTAACGGAGACGCGTGATGTGACCTATGCAGAGAATGATGGCGCATGTGATCATTCTTTCCTTGCCTTTCCTTGCTTCTGTCACCAACAACGATGTTGTTTGACCCTCAATTTTTCGAATCCAAGCCCAAATTTTCCCCTCAAATCTCATTTCCTTCAATGTGCAAACCACACGATCCTTAAACCGCTCGACAGGGGGACAATTTTGTCCTCAACCAGCCTTTCCGCTGTTCACTGTCGATAGTGAGTCAAACTCGTGTAAAACCAAGTTGATGCTCGAGTTAGTGTCCCAGTCTCGTTTTGAGGCTGTGATGCATAACGGCTTGAGCTCAGCGCAGCCTTGACGGATTGATGGTGTCCAGTTTTACCGCGACACTCGTCCTCTTCCTACTCGTTGGCGCACATTCGTATGCTATCTCCTTATGTACCGTGGCGGCCCTCAATAAAGAATACAATTACTCTATGGTTTCTTTTGACGCAATGAACCGAACACCTAGTCTTCTATTCCAGTCATGTGGGGAATCATCAAACGACTTACTGGGGGAATTACGACGTCACTATTGGTCTCTCCTGGCAGTGTCTGCGTCTTCAAGGCACGTCTTTTGTTATCGACGTGCCTCTTAAAAAATCCAAGAATTGCGACGCCAATGATTCCACTCACTTTTGACCTTTTTTCTGGTGGTCGAAGGTTAGGTAGCGGATGTGTCAATAGTTCTGTGACTGATGTCGTGGGGCTACCGTTTCCTCTTCCCCTCCATGGGGAACAGTGGCAGTGGGCCTGACGAGCAACAACCCATGTCTTTTACGTCGGTGCGCGTCTGGTTCAACACCTCGAATATATCGCTCATTCCTTGAATAGCGCCTGAATGGCGATTCCCCACCCTTCCAGCCTAGAGTTGCTTTCTTTTTTCTTATCTTGCACCATCTTAACGCGACTCCAGTTCACCCGTACTGACACCACAACGGTTGAAGTCGGTTCTCCTCGACCTGATATTGCAGACCAGAGTGTGGTATAGCTTTCTCGTGGACATGAATACCATTCTCACTATAGGCAGAGCAATAAATCGGCCAACAACTCACTCCCACTATCTGACTCCGTCATACCTGCCACTTTCGAGACTTCGGAAGACCTCTCCACCAATCAACTCTCGCATTTTTTCCCTTTCCCTCCAGGAGAAACGGTTCGTGGTCGTGCCCAAAACTTGACTAGCTTGAACCGCTGATTTATGAATTAGTCGATCCCTCATCCGGCCCAAAACAACATGATGGTATCGGCTCGGTGGCTTTCAATATGCGGTGGACTGATGTCATGTAGACATCTCTCAACGATAACATGGAGCGTGTATCGCTTCAAGAGGCCCTTGACGCGGTTTGGGCGCCATCAAAACGCAACCCAGTCCGTATCTCTGCCCTGCCACCACAAGACACGCCTGTACAAGAAGACCTTGAACCACTAATCGATCTTTCTTCCGACATTCCATCGTTGCCCAGTTTTCCGACAACCTCATCTATGGCTACGATAACTGCACTTTCCATTGATTCAGACACATCGCTGGAGCAAGTGAGATTCGAGCCAGTTGCGTCTTCACCAAAGCCAAGTCACGATGATGTGTGTGCTTCGTCTATTTCGTGCCACTACCTAATCAATTATATCTCTATAGCCCCAGAATAAACCTTACGAATTTGGAAGCATCCTGGTGGAGGATGGTGAGGCTATTCCGCCTCCGACCACTTACGCAGATGCCACGAATGTCGGTGACATTTTTAGTTTCTGTTTCCCCGCGTCTAACGTGCTTTTCTTGAAGATTGCAAATAAATATCCTGAACTCGCTTCCAAGGTTCTCAAGCAGCCTCTTGCCTCGCCTTCCACATCCCCGCACCCAAGCAGACGTGAACTTGACCCAGACGAAACAGACCATTCCAAGTTTAACATTTCTGTTCACGTAGAGAGAGTTGTTGTTCGACAGTCTTCGATGCCACCACACACTCCCGATCGTCCCAACTGGGCAGTTGCACCAGATGAAAAACCAAGCTATCGTCAGCCCGGCCGCCACTCTGGTCGCCCTCGGCGCGACTCTGGAGTCAGTCAACATGGCTCTTCTGCACACATGCCAATGGATAAACCTGATAGTAGATGGACTTTCAACGACAATAGCAACTTCGAACGTAATGGCTCTATTGGCGGAAATGAGGATAATCGAGCACATAACCCATCCCCCCATTTGAGTCACGTGCACCCCTCACGCGCTCGCAATTTGGCTGGACCTTCGGATGGCCCGCCGTATCCTGAAAACTCCGCTGTTGACACACGTGTTACTTCTCAAGCGACCCGCTACGATCTGCAGTCGAACGAAAGCCGTACCAATTCTCCCCAGCAAAAGGCTCTTGACGGCCGGCAGTCCTCCCCGAGAGCTCAAGAGACGTTGACTCCACCTCGCAATCACTCACCTGCTAGTCACTGGCAATCTAGATCTCCGAGCCGCGATGGTTCGAAAGTCACGCAATCTCCCCAGAAGCGCCATGAGTTGCTACCCTCTCTAAACCAGTCTCCTGCTCGCTCTCAGTATCGTCTTGCATGGACACCTACCCACGATGGCTGGGCAGATCAATCTCCCCCGAAGATTCATAACTCGCTCCCCTCTGGCAATCAGTCGCCTAGTCGGTACCGTCTCAGTGAATCAGCCACCGCCCATGGTCCTCGGCGCAGTAATCCGGCTTCCCCAGTCCGGCAAGAACACCTGAATCACTGGACCACCTCCCACGATCCATGGGCTGACGATCGTCGATCAACCCACAGAGAACGAGGAACTCATGATGGTCGAAGCCATAACAACAACTCTTCTTGGAGCAATGATAACAGCGAGAATCCTGACCGTCGTTTACCTAAGCCAGAGCAAAAAGGCTATCCAGAACGTCGTCGTAATTCACCCAGTCCGTTCCACGACCGTATCAACCACAGCTATGATTCTTACTCACGTGACCGTCCTGGATCTGTCCCGGATCATTCTTTTGGTGGCAGTGGCGATGTGTTGGAGGCTCATCGAGTACCAGCTCAGTCAAGTATCGCTGCTCTTGCTGCAGCACGTGCGACCGGGCAAGATTCCGGATTGCTCGATCATCAAAACGGAAACAATGCTGCCTCGTATTCTGAATTCGACTACTTCGCTCATAGCGATGGGATGAATTGGACCGACTCTTCACCTGCCGCCCTTCACACAAATATTTACTCTCCGAGTCAGAGAATCGCCAGCCCTTCGCATGCGTTACCGGAAGACAATGAATCGAGAAGCGAATTTGACTCGCGTCACAACCCATTCGATCTTGGGCAGATGAAAGCAGACACATATGACCACAGCCAACGACAAGGGAGTCGAGATGAAGGAGCTACTCGTTGGGGCCCCGATGAGAGATTTGGTGAACCGCGCCAACATCAACGAGAAAACCATTACCACAATACTGCTGAGAGGAACAACTGGGACGATGACCACAATGGCAACGAAAGAGATAAATGGGGCCTGTTGTCGACCTCCCGAGACCAATGGGGTCTGTCTTCTTCTTCGAATCAGCGTGGTGCATACAACGATCGCGAGGATGGCAACCAAGACCAACGCAGAGAGCAAGATAAGTGGGGCGGTCATCAACACCATGAAAGGGAATACACCGATCATCGCGGCAACGATAACTTCAGGTCATGGACCTCTTCTGCTCACAGTGGAGATAGCTCTTACCGTCGTCGCAATGCACTTCCCTCACAGGCGGAGGAGTTCAATCGCTATTGCGATGCTAGAGGGTTCAATCGGAATCGCGATCGGTTTGCTGGTGCTGGTGGTGGGTCTCGTCGTGTCGGGAATGGGTATTAATTGTTAATCGTTATCGTTGGCAGCTAGAGCAAGTCATGTAAAATTCTTGTCCCTCCAAGTGCAATTTGATTGGTCATCAAACACTTATTTATCTCAGAACGTTGATGTCGCAGGAGCAGCAAACCATCCCCATCCCCGCTCTCGGCGCCTTCACTGCCTTCACAATCGACCCAGTATTATCCTTAGACCCCGACACCCGAAATGACCCAAAGGCAGTGGCTGCTTGCCAAAATCTAGTCAGCAAACCCTACGTAGGGCTCATGTAGTACTTAACTTTTATTCGACTAGCAAACTGAACATACGTTCTCCAGAATGTAGGACTGTTTCAGCATTAGGCCTCTTATAATGCATGCACTTTCGACTTCTTGCTTCCGGGCATGCCAGAGGACGAGCCCCTAGAGGGCATCGAGGCTGCAATGTCGATCCCTATCGCACCTACTCGTATGACTGAAGACGACCACCCTTTCGGTTTTCCTCCCTTCGAACCTTCGAACCCTCTCCCTTGGAACGACTGCTATCTCACGCAATTTTGGCGAATCGATCTCCGGAGTCCCACAGTTCGAGGAGAGCTGTCCGCCATCCAGTGCAGACTCAGCTTCCCGCAGCAGGCCCGCTGGGTTACGCTCAGTAACTATTTCTATGAGAGACAAAGAAATTCAATCCTCGAAAAGCACCAAAACAACGAGTCTCATGTCTGCGGCGAAATATGTCAACGCCTGGTTTATTCTGTGCCTCCCGAATTTCATTCAGATGCTCAGGAAGACAATACAGCAACGGCCGACGCTCGCCTGGCTGATAGCGAAGAACCTTTTGATATCGAAACCGGCTGGCTGGATAGTTCTGAAGAAAACTACATCGTGCAGCAGATGTTTCCGGATTTGGACCCCTCTACCACCACAATTATAACAGGCACCTTTACGCACGATCTTTCGACAGTCTCGCGAGTTGCACATCCCAAGGAATTCATCGCAGAGCTGTGGGCAATCCAACGGTTCCAGTGTCTCATTGTACCGTCCTCCTCTGTCTAATGTCGCTCAGAATTATTGACGAAGCACGACCACGAGTTGAAGCGGCCAAACTCCAAGCTAAGACTGAGGCCGCTGCGAAAAACGCCAGCGAGTACGACGCTAAGACAGGTACACGATGTGAATACTCTCTTGACGCTGTTCTCATATTGCCCACCAAGTTGCTATGTTGAAAGAATACCAGAACGCCAAAGCGTCGGACACTTGACGACAGCAAGGTATTTTGTTCACTTGCTGGTCATTACTACATCGAGATGGAAGCGTAATTCGTTGATTCAAGGCGGCAAGGGAAGGTCCATTACTTGTGTTCAACATCTACATAGACCTTTCAACGTAGCGGCGATTTCAAAGACTCTCTGAACGTGAACTTAACCACCTGACTCTTAACCTCAAATTTTCCAACTGTTCAGTCTTGCACATAATGCCGCATCCAAGATACGATTGAGTGTAACAAAATACATCGGCATCTACGCGCGGAGCTGAGCACGGAGGTTGGCCTCAAGGTTGCCTTTGGGCCGGATGAACTGCAGATAGGCACCATCCCTTGGAAATGAATTAGTTACAAATTCATCTGTTCAAGATATGTCAACTTACTGGAGCACACGCTTGTCTTCCTTCAGTTTGAGGTACTCGGTCTTTTCAACGGCGGTGAAACCCCATTTCTTCGAAACAATGATCTTCTGGCGGCCAGGGAACTTGTAACGAGCACGGCGAAGAGCCTCAATGATGACAGCCGAGTTGGAGTCTTTGCAGCGAATTGACATGATGACTTGGCCAATGTCGACACGGGCGACAGTGCCGTAGGGCTTGCCCCAGGCACCACGCATTCCCGTTTGGAGACGATCGGCTCCAGCACAGGACAACATCTTGTTGATGCGGAGGACGTGGAAAGGGTGGACACGGACTCGCAGGTGGAACGAATCTTTGCCAGATGTCTTGGTCACGTACTGGAATATGACACAGATGAATCAGCACACGCTGACTGAGAAAAAAATGCAAGTGTGAAATACCTTGTTGGCGCAGATACGGGCAGCTTCGAGAGCTTCACTTGACAGTTGCTCATACTCATCAGAGACAAGGTGGGCACAGAAGGGGGAACTCGTCGACATTGGCACGCTTGCGGCCCAGGTCGAAGATCCTAATCTTGGTCATCGTCAGCAGGAATTTTGCCGAGGGACCTGGCGAACATACCTTGGGATCGGGGACACCACGGTTGTACCTTGACTTGGGGTACGGCTTGTTCTTGCAGTAGCGGTAGCAGCGGGCAGGACGACGACCCATCTGGCAAAAAAGTGGCGTTAGTCAGCGGAAGTGGAGAGCTCGCATCCAGCTCGTGGGCAGTCTTTCTCGTTTGGAAACAGCTCCAAGGGCTTCTAGGAGGTACTGCCCACCGCATAGGCGAGCAAAGGGCCGACGTACAGTTGGCAATCGAGGAAAAGGGTGTCTACGGTGGTGGGGGCTTTGAGAGAGTTTGATGCGGCTTACGTCATAACCCCGCGCAGCTTGCTCTTGACTCTGACCATGAATCGCATCTTTGGAACGTCTGCAAGCAAGAAACCTAAGCCGAGTCTTCAAGATGCCATTGCTGCCGTGGGTCTCATAGGTTATGCATCTCCAACAACTCTTAAATCGAGCAAAAGACGGACACTCGGATAGCTTCCATCGAAGTTAAGATTAAGAAACTCGATGCTGAGCTGGGGAAATATAAAGAGCAGATGGCTAAGTTACGAAATGGGCCGGGGAAGGTTAGCTGTTCTCAATCTGGTTTATTTCGTGTCTTGACCACATGAACATGACCACAGAACGCGATTCAACAACGGGCGCTGCGGACGCTGAAACAGAAGAAGCTGTACGAAGGACAACTAGCCCAGCTTGCGCAACAGACTTTCAATATGGAGAGTGCCGCACTCACAACAGAGAACCTCCGCAATACGATGGCGACTTTCGATGCGATGCAGGTTGCCAACAAGGAAATGAGGAAACAATACGGCAAAATCGATATTGACAAGATTGAGGTTCGTCAACTCTGTGACTTACGGAGTTCGAAGACTCAAGTCGGGTTCAGAACATGCACTATGATATGGAAGAGCTACTTGAACAGAGTAATGAGATCTCAGAGATAATGGGGCGTTCGTACGCCGTACCTGATGAGTTAGACGAAGCGGATTTGGAAGCGGGTTTGTCTATTCACAATTCTCGTCAGGATTTTTACACTGTTCCTTAGAATTGGACGCGCTACAACTGGAAGAAGAGGAAGAAGGCACATCTTACTTGTCTGACCTGAACAAGGTCCCCGATTTTGTTGACGAGCCACCAGTAGAAGTCAGCGAGGTGAGTTGTTGAGAGCCCAAATTCTCAGTAAGCTGACCTAATTCATTCAGACCCCAGCACCAGAAGCAGTCAAGACCACTTGGTAATTCCAGCATACTATACACGGACTAAGATGTACAGCGGAACCACTATCCCCCAGGCAGCAGTGTACTACAAGTGTAGATCTAATCATCAAATTCTCAGCCATATCGGCGCTCCTCTGTGTCTTCCGCGAACCAGTCATCAGTTACCCGCGCTTCTGAAGCTTGCGCAATGTTCACAATGGTCGACTTGCTTTGCGAATCTAGGTTTCATGATTGAGTCAAGACGATCCATATACTTCGAAAGAACTTGCATGACTCGAACGCCTCGATCCCATTTTCACGTCCAATTCCACTCTCTTTCATGCCTCCCCTGCCACAACACGTTAGACGGCTAGTTGGTTGATCATAGACAAGTAGCATACCATGGACTGGAGGGGTCGTTCCGATGGGCAGCATTGACCCAGCAAAGACCAGCCTCGATTTCTGCTGCAACGCGATGCGCACGCGATAAATCCTGCGTCCATATGCTCGCGCCTAAACCGTATTTGCAGTCATTCGCGAGTGCCACACCCTCACTCTCTGACTATGTACGAGCAAAAGCCGTCAGCAATTGTGGGACAAATAAACTGATCTGTACCGAGAAGCGTCGAGCGACCACGACTGGCCCGAATATCTCTTCCTGCCAGAGCTTGCTCGTTGTGGAGATATCAGAAATGACAGTTGGCGGGTAGAAACTCCCGCGAGAGAATTCAAATCCATCTAGGGAGGAGATGCCGGTGAGACGGTGTCCGCCAGCAAGGAGAATAGTGTCAGAGTCAGATTCCAAGCCCTCATCAATCATGGACTGGATGCGAGAGAGTTGACGTTCGGAGATGACGGTGCCCATCATGGATTTTGGATTCGACGCTGGTTCGAGTCAGTAGCACAAAGCATTCGGGGGAGAACGCGACATACGGTTGCCCATTCGCCTTTTTATTCCCTCAACCTTATCAACAAAAAGGTGCATGAACGTGTCGTATATGCTATGGTGCACAAGAAGACGCGTTCCGGATACACAAGTTTGGCCAGAGGCTACGAAGGCAGCAAATGCAGCACCATTAACCGCAGATTGCAGATCGGCGTCTTCAAATACCACAATGGGAGCCTGGCAAGTTGAACTTTCAATGGCATTCATTAAAAAGAGGTATCCAATTTACTTTACCACCTAATTCGGCTGTGAAGGCTGCAAGATTGTGGCCGACTGTGCTTCCGAGAAGACGACCGGTGTTCGTGCCAGCCTGGAAAAGAACTCAGTTAATGCTACTCAAAGTCATTCGCGATACACACGGTCACGTCTACTTTTCGGACAAGGGGGTTTTGTGCGAGGAGCTGTGCAGTTGCCCCATATCCTGGCAGAACAGATAAGACACCGGAAGGAACTAGAGCAGTTAGAACGAGGCTTGGGAAATGGTGGTATCAAACACCTCCAACAGATTCTGCCATGCGCGCAAATTCGAGGACGGAAAGAGGCGCCAGCTAGATCCATCAATGGACAGCAGAAGATGATTAACATCCAAAACATACCTCGGAAGGTTTGACGATAACAGAGTTTCCGGCGGCGAGCGCAGGTGCAATTTTTTTGACCGCAATCAACAGGGGATGATTAAAGGGCTAAAACACTCAGTTCAGCGTCCCATAGACTATTATTCCTACCGTTATCTGCGCAACAACACCTAATGGAACACGCTGAACATAATTGAGCAGTTTGCCTTGAGTTGGCGCAACAAATGCTTGTGTCGTCCTTAGAAGTGCAGCATAATAGTCTCTGAACGGTTTCAATTCTGTTTCCCATCTAAAATGTTAATAAAAGCAAACCCACATCCACTCTGGTAACCTGGAAAGTTGAGCTTTCATTTCTCGGATCGCTCGCCCAGTTTGGAGCGTCTCAATTTCTGCTAGTTCCGGTATCCTTGATTCAAGTGCCCTAGCCAGCCGAGACAGTACTTTTGAGCGTTCCAGTGGAGATGCACGAGACCAAGTTCCAGCTTTGAACGTCGACTGAGCCCCAGCAATCGTTTGCTTGACGTCAGCCTCCGAGGCCAGTTCCACTCTGAAATGCATGGGACCAGGTCTGCATAGTAGATGATGGCAACAAACACGGATAACTCTTCGCCATTTGCGGGATTTGAGATGACTAGCCTGCCACAATCGTTTGTTCCTAGCAAGAGGTATGCATACCTGAAACCCCCGACGTCAGGTCGGAAAAGTGAATTAGCTACTGCTGGACACCCCCCCTCCCTGTGTGACGTCACGCCACGTGATTGCACGTGATGTCCCAAAAAGGCAATTCCATGATGGGTGTTAGAAACTGGTGAAAATGTCATGCAGTACTACTAATTTCCTCTATATATAGTGTCCCTTCTTATGCTCTCCACCCACATCCACCCTGCGGACATCATTATAAAACCAATTTTGGCTGCAGGCATAGCTGGCAGGTGTGACTTGGGTGTGCCGTGGCCGTGTCATCACCACCTCAACGGAAATTCCTATCAAAATGCTTATACATGCCTCAGAAGAACCCCAAAATCTGCTTTCAATGACAATTATATGCATTCTGAGACCATTAATAGCATTCCCAGCCACTCTGTACCCTACGAAAGAAAAGTGAATTAAGGCCACCAGACCACCCCCCTCCCCTCCCCCCTGACGTCTCGGCTTGCACCGGCGCATACCCCTTGGTTCCTAGTTCGGCACAATGTTAAACATACTTTTCTCGTCTTTGTTGTGGATTTGGAAAAGGCGTCGACGGGACAAACGGTACATAGAGAGATCGCAGCCAAGGCCGGACAGACATTCGAGCTGCCTCCTATGATCGCGTGACGCGTTAGTCAACAAGCTATCTTCGCGTTGTGTCACATCGTCACACTCAATCTCAACTCTTTTCCCTCTTCCCCTCATCATGTCCACCGAGGCTCCCCTTCGCCGCAGCTCCCGGGCGCCGCCGTCGAGAGTCGGCAAGCCGCCGTCAAAAGCCGCAGCGAGAGCAACATCGAAAGCTCCACCTTCCAAGACCGTTACCACGACCAAACCAAAATCCACCACCACCAAAAAGCGCGCCGCCTCGGCAGAGCGCTCGCCCTCTCCCCCGCCAAAGCGCACGAAGAAAGACAAGGCAGTCGCTGAGAATGTTGACCCCGCTACTGTTCGTCAGGGCAAGAAGAAGAAGACGGATGCGACTCTTGTTCCCCAACAAAAGCCATACTTCAACCCTCTCCCGGCACCGCCACCCAAGAAGCGCCCAGGACTCCAAGTCTTCGTCTGGGGTGCTGGTAATTTCGGCCAGTTCGGCATGGGTCCTGATGTCACCGACGAGGTTGACAAACCCAAGAAGCACACATGGTGTGAGGAGCAGATGGAGGAAGATACTTTCGGTGAGGACTATGCTGGTATTGAGACCATCGCTGCGGGTGGCATGCATACCGTGTTTGTCGATGAGAAGGGAACTGTAAGTTTGCATCACCTCGTTTTGCTTCCCGAGCTGACTTGCCTGAACAGGTTTGGACTTGCGGAGTCAATGACGATGCGGCTCTCGGGCGCGTCACAGAAGGGATATCCGATCCAGACGGTGAACTTACCAGCATACCTCACCCACTGGAGTCTCTTATCGCCGAAAAATTCCGGACTGTCAATGTTACAACTGGCGATAGCATATGCGTCGCTGTTGATGTCAAGGGCGAGTTAAGAGTGTGGGGTTCTTTCCGCGTAAGATATCTGTTGGCTTTAAATTGTCGTGGTTCTGACTTGTTCTAGGGCAATGAAGGCACTCTCGGCTTCTCTGAATCCGCTCGACACCAATTTACACCCATTCCTATCACCATGGACCTCATCCACAAACCAGGCGACTATGAAAAGGTCTCCTCTGTCGCGTCGGGCGGCAACCACGTTATCGTTTTGACTACCCATGGGAATATCTATACCTGGGGGTCTGGCCAGCAAGCGCAACTCGGACGCAAGGTCCTTGAAAGGCATCAACTTCGCGGTACACACCCACAAAAAGTTGTTCTTGCACGCTCTCTTCGCACCAAAGTCATTGGCGCTGGAACGTATCACTCCTTTGCTGTCGACGAGCACGGAACAGTTTGGGCATGGGGTTTGAACAGTATGGGTCAACTCGGGACTGGCCTGGAAGAGGATGGTGATGAGTGTGTTGCGACGCCTCGTGTTGTCCGTCGACTTAGCAAGGAGGAACTTGGCGGAGAGACGGTCGTGCAGATCAGGGGTGGTGAACACCATACCCTGTTCTTAACTTCTGGCGGGAAAGTTTTCGCTTGCGGCCGCGCCAATTGCTGCCAGTTGGGGCTTGCCAAGAACGATCCGGCCTGGGAGGGTGACTCAACTCGCGAGTTTTTGTCTGAACCTGTTGAGGTAACTTTCCCTGACGACGACGACCCTGTTGTTCAAATCGACGTGGGACTGCACAACAATATGGCGGTGACAAAGGATGGCGCACTGTACTGCTGGGGCCAGGGCACACAAGGCGAGCTTGGTGTTCCTGATGAAACAGTGACAACCCCCAAAATGATTGTTCGCCGTGAGGGTGGTTCATGGGCTACCGAACAAGTTTCTTGTGGTGGACAACATACGATGGCCTTGTTACGCAAACGCCCCAAGGAAGAATAGGCTTCAGGCCTCTAGCATCACAACATATCTATTTCGCATCGACATCTTCACTACAAACAATCTGGCTTTGCTATACATATCACTAGTTGTATTCGGTCCAAGCGAGAAATCGCAAGCTTCAGTTAGACTTCTCGGACTATGCCATAATCGGCTAAACTGCCAAAAACTTTTGAGTGATGGGCACTGATGACCAGTGCTAATTTCGGCATCGCCCAATATTTTTTTCCTCCTCCCGTCCTCGATGACACACACAGCGACACCTCCTCCTCCTGCAGATGTATACGACGAGAAGACGACAGTGATTGTCGTTGATGTCCCCGGGACCGCCAATCCCGTCGTTGAGAGTTCAGAGTTTGCGTATAGGGTTTGTTTGTTGTCTTGGACCAAGTACAGTACCAACGGCTTTCAGAGAACGAATATTGTGGGTATAAACGACAGTGGAGTGCGGCTGGCCGCCAAACATGTGAGCTTTCGTCCAACCCGTTGTTATTTCTGCTACATGCGCATAGATCCTCGACAAAATGCGGCGCGAAACCTATACTCCGCGAACTTGGCGAACCCATCCACTCCACCTCTGTCCAGTCGAACCGTACTCGCCGACCGCGCCGTCGACCAAGGCGTGTCTGGATTGGATATTCCTCATTTCAGCACTCAACTTCAGTTTTTGGTCCGAGAAGGAGGACGGCTCGAGGTATGGGGTCAGGTGGTACGAGAGCTGGGAGGGCAGCGAGAAGACAAGGATATGGACGGGGTACTGGAGCTTGGTTGCTGCGCTGGACCGAGGTGAGTTGGTTTTCGCGTCATTCATCAAGCTAATCTGCAAACAAGCACTGCAGGAGTCGATACCCATAACTGACCCGCAATTTTATGCGTCTGAAACGCTTTGCCCAGACTCGCTCATCGAGCATGTCTTTCGGCCAGCCGAAGGCTGCACCGAGAACGTTCCTCTGCTAGCGCAGAGAATTGCGATAATGCGGGAGGTGGGATTCATTCTTTGCCGTGTAAGTGGAAGGATTCTAGCTTTCATAGTCGATTCAAGGAACCCAAGGCATTTGGAGGCTCGTACCAAGGTCTTCTAGATGGTTTCCAGCGCGAACATGACGGCAAAGGCACAGCCCTCCAGCTTGTTCAGAAGGTCGTCGATACATTCCCGTCTTTCCGAGACGAAGTATTCTTTGAAGGTCGAAGAGGTGGGTGGGTTCTTGGCTCGTTCACGAAAGTAACTGACACAACTCACATAGTTTGTGTCTGGAAACGCGCGCAAATTCTGGTGGCAGAGACCTGGGCAGCCTTCTTCCCTGCCCCGCCGATAACATCCCACCCCCTCTTTCCTAAAGAGCCAGCGATCCACCAGCTGACGATGTTTGCGGACTACCGCGTCCCCCAAATCCTCCACCACCTCCGCATCCTCACCTACCCGCCTTCGTTGATCGCTAAACTGCACGCGGGAACATTACTCGCACCAGGATCGGCAGAAGAGCTGAGTTTACGGGCTGCTAGCGTCGTTGCAGTTGAACAAGTTCGGAAAGAGATGCAGTTGTTGGCCAATGACGACACACAAGTCAGCAGCGTGTTGATAGATTTCTACCTTTGGGATTTGGCTAAACGCGTGGAACGTGGGGAAGAGCGGATCGAGGGTATTGAAACAGCGGAAATGGTACCGACCCATCGCACAAGGAGTATCTGGTACTAAACATTTATTCGACTTTTACAACAAACAACAAGGAGTAACGATTGACGCAATTAAAATGCGTGCTCGAAAAGAGCAGAGTCCTCAGGCGAAGGTGGGACAGAAACGTTGATGGAATCCCGGGCTGCAGCGATTCCACGACCATCCTCGGTATACGGGTCAGTCGTTAACCGCACTGGAACCATCTCCCGGATGCCCACAAAGGGTGATTTAGTGACATCCGGGGGAGTTACTGTGAACAGAAGACAGTCCTGAACTGATAGACCCGCTATACGGAAACCCATGACTTTGACCGGGTCGATTTCAATCTCGCCTGAGAAGGACATCCAAGTCGCACCGTCGCCCTAGGGTCAAAGTTGAGCTTGCCGGGGCGAAAAAAAAATGCGTACAGCATGCTTAAACACCCCTTCACCAATGCAGTCCACGCGCCAAATATCCGTCTTTGTGCCGTGGACAGTCATTCCTCTGTTCATCTTTATTTAGCGCGCCTCCCGGCAAAGATGAAAACCCGTACCTGACATCGACAGTCGACTGTCGCATCAATTGAATCTTTGTGGCCCGCAACTTTCCTGCCGCGCCCGTGGTAGGTCCGTATGGCAAGAACGCAGCTAGCGAATAGGCACCGGCCTCGAAAGTGACATGGAATGGAATCGATTGTGCTGAACAGAATATGCGCGATGCTGTGTTTGCTTGTGAGAAACCCTTTTCTTAGCTGTGAAAGTTGTTGCCGAACCTGGGAGATGTAACTTGACATTGATGTCTTGCGCGTTGGCCTTGTGCTTGGCGGCCTGGAGGACGTAGCTGTAGGTCTTCCAGTCGGGGCTATTGATGAAGCCGCCTTCGCGCGGGGTAAGCGGGGATGGAACAGGGACAGCGGGGCGTGTCCGTGGGTAGTAGATGAACGGAGTTGACACCGTGCTTCATATTGAATTAATCTCGATGAGCGGTCAATAAAGGATTTGCGTACGTCGTGCCAATGTTGACTCCGAGTTTCTTGGACTTTACAAGAGGCACGATGGTGGGGACAGAGGTGGGTTTGTTTATGATCGCGCTGACTGAATACTGGGAGAGGTTAGATCAAGTAGAATGGAAGGAGCTGGAGTCCATACGTCAATGGATGCATGGAATCCAGGAAGGCCCTTCAGTTTAACCGAATGGGAAGGGGGTAATGGCTGGCGGGAAGATGAGCACAGAGTAAGAACTGCATTGGCTACGCACATAGCTGCGACCATGATATTGGAATTGAGTCGGAAGGGTGAGAGCAAAAGGTAAGGACGACGGGCAGGGAGAGTTATTAGCGTCCTTGATGAAAAGCACGACAGTGTCGAGACATAACGAGGTAGTCAACTGGCCGCCTTCTGCTATCTCCTTCAGCACCAAACGACCCTCAACCTGGAGCACAATTAGCTATGATAATGGCGGAGCAGCATTTGCGTACCTTGACCTCGACGGTAGAGACGTGAGTAGCCTTGGTAATCTCAACTATGCCTTCTACAACCCCACCAGTACCATAAACAGGCAGGTCGATCTTGTCTTGTTGAGCAGTGAGTCGCAAGATAGCATCATTGCCCTTTTTGATGTAATTCCCTGTGTGGCGAGGAAGCTGACGACTGTTGAGGGCAAGACGTTGTTCGTAAAGGCCGGGTTCCGCAGAGTAAGAGGGAGTCCGACTAAAGGTGGGCTGCAGCGGAGCAGGATACCGAGGGGGACTGGCGGTGGCCATAGATGGCTGTTGAGATGAAAAGGCTGTCTTAAATACCGCTGACAAAAGCAGAGCGCAACGAGCACATGGTATCTGGGCGTGAAAATCTCTGGCTTGGGTTATCTTGAGCCTAAGTCACGCGTCCCGGCAACGCCGGCAATCTGATGTGACATAACGCGTTACTTGGCGCGTTTAACGCGTCTCTAAATTTTCTTTCGAACCCACACCACCATGCTCGTGCCATCAGGCTATACCTACGCATTCCTTCGCCAGAAGTACTTTGTCTCCGTCGAAGCTGAGACTGTCGCAACGAAACACATTCTCAAAGCACGCCGAAGAGGTGGCCGATATGCCATTCTCGACAGCATCCTCACCAAATTGCATGGCCAGGTCCTTAAAAAGAAGTGGAACGACGCTTTCGTATCTCTCGAAGTGCTCACCCTCTTCAACGATCAGGAAGACGAATGGCCAAGTGTGTACCTTTCTTCTCCTGAGCTTCTAGCTGCGTCTTAACATTCCATCCAGTGGCTGATGACGGTGAGCGCACCGACCTTATAAACAGGCTATCTGGTGCGCTACTGGTCACTACCCTTCGAGCTTTGAAGCAAGAGAACCGCCTTAATGCTGAGGCTGTTCCTAGCCTTGAAACTGTGTTGCGGATGTCCGCGATTTGGGGCAGCTTAATGAAGGATATCTGCTGCAAATCAGACTATGACCTGGTGTGTAAAGCTATTGGAGCTCGGCTTGAGCTTGCCATGAGCCAAGAAGACCAGGAGGCGCGCGTCAAGGCGTGGTTGCCGACGCGTTCTGAAGAGGAACGCGTCGAATATCAGCAAAGAAGGACGCAAGAACTGGAGGATTTGGAAGATGAGGAGGATGAAGCGGAAGAGGGTCCATGGTTTGCTAAAGGCGAGGAGTTGGATGAGGACACTCTACTGAAAGATAAACAGTTTGATGCAGTATCGGTCTGGAAGAAATACCGTGGGTACGTAAAACCAGCGCCGGTGTAGATCTGTAGCACCGCTTTCTGGCGCTTATACACGGCGTCCATCTTCTTCGAATGCTACTCCTTGACTTTCTCCCACCATGACCTTTCGCCGCCGTGGTCGTCGATACCGGGGCAAAAATCGTGAAGCCGTATTTCCCCAGCAAGACAACCGAGCAGGGTTACTCGTCACAAGCGAGCTTGAGAAGGCTTTAGCTGAATGTAAAGCCCGAGTAGAACGAATTTCAGCTGACTGTAGGAGGCAGAATCGACGCTTCAGGTTATTATTTGTGCTTTGCTGGCAAGTGCGGCCGATTCTGATTCTAATACTCTAGAGACGTAGAATTCGACCTCGAGAATGACAGAGAGAGGTCTGCAGGCAATCGCTTGCTCTGGTCCGCTCACTGAACTAGCCACAGATGCTTATTCGGGCTTTCAAAAGAAAACTCGACCCTCGACCCATCCGATGTGCAGCGCGTCAACCAGATCTTCTCCAAACCCTCATTCTTCATTGACGGTGCTGACTCAAATGACCTGATTCAAGGCCGTCTCGGCGACTGCTGGTTCCTTTCCGCATTATCCACAATGACAACCGCCCCCGGCCTGATCGAGAAATTCTGCGTTGCTCGGGACGAGAAGGTCGGCGTGTTCGGTTGGATATTCTTTCGCGACACAACTTGGGTGACCGTGATCATCGACGAGTGAGTAAATTTCCCGTGTCACTTGCACCATGTTGAATGATTTCCACAGCCTTTTATTTACCACTATCCCGAAGTTTGAGGAGCTTACGCAGCAGGAGCAGACGCTCTATCACAGGGACAAGACACTCTACAATACATCGGCTCGGAAAGGTGGAAAGAGTCTTTATTTCGCGCGGTCGGGAACTGAGGGGGAAACATGGGTACCGCTGATCGAAAAGGTGGCCCTCAGTTTTGATGAATTCCACTAATCACCTCCCAGGCATACGCAAAACTGCATGGTGATTATGCATCGCTGAAGGGCGGTTACTCATGCGAAGCCATCGGTGAGTTTCACTGACTAGAACCGTATATATCCTGACTGGGAGCACGCAGAGGACATGACAGGGTATGGTCCCCATCAGCGTCTAGATCGGCGCTCATCTCAACAGCGGTGTAACGACGTTCATCCCGATCAAAGACATCCTTGATCCCGAACTGTTCTGGAAGGAAGAGCTTCTGTTGGCGACTACGGACAGGCTGTTTGGATGCAGCTTCGACTCCCTTGACAGCTCACGCAACGGAAAGGAGGACGCAACTGTCAACGGGCTCATTGGCGGACACGCTTATTCCGTCCTCCGTGCTGTCGAGTTCCGCGGAAAACGATTTGTCGTTCTGCGTAATCCTTGGGGAAATTCAGAATGGACAGGTCCATGGTCTGACGGGTCGAAAGAATGGTCAGAGGAATGGTTGGGTGCCTTGAAGGAACTGAAACATACTTTCGGCGACGATGGGGAGTTTGTTATGGAATGTGAGGTTTCTATTCTTACTCGTTCTTTGATCTCAAATCGGTAGATGGCGACTTTTTGGACAACTGGGACCTGGTGGAACGAACATTATTGTTTGACGATACCTGGGTCATGTCTTCCCAATGGTTACAGGTCACCGCCCGACCACCATCGACAGCATGGAGTTACGGAGATGTTTCCTGTCCGTTATCTCCTCTCAAATCACAACAATTGACCATATTTACAGTCACGGTGGCCGTCCCCGCACCGACCAAGGCAATCTTCGTTCTCTCCAAGCTCGACGAGCGGTATTTTATAGACATCTCTGGCAACTCTTGTTGGACATTTGAATTTGCGCTCTTCAAGAAAGGCTCCGCGGAACTTGTCGCACACAGTACACTCACTCGATTCTACCTCCGTAGTGTTAATCTGGAGGCACAACTGGAAAAGGGCGATTACGTTGTTCACGTGAGCGCGTTTTTGGCGTTGACATATTTGCTGAGGCATTAACATTGGTAGGTGCGTCTTGATCGTGAGGTAGTAAACGCCAACCCCAAGCAATACAATGAAGCCAACTGCGACAACCGCAAGTTGGCTCGTGTCCAAACCGAGCGTGCGAAGAGCCAGTCGATTGCGTCCAGTTTGTCATACTGATCGACTGATGTACAGTTTATTGACCCACAAACAGATTTCAAACCCAGGTTTATCTTTTTTTGTGGGGCAAAGCCGGGGCTAACAACTACAGTGTGGTGCTTGAAAACTTGCCCATCCCGCTCAACATTCTTGCAGGGCAAGATTTGACGGAATTGGAAGTTAAAGCTCTGCTTGCAGAAAAGCAGTTGCATGCTGCCGAAGCGGGTGTCGAGCCGCAAGATCCAACGATCCTGGCACCAGTCCAGCCTAATACACAGGCAAACACTGTTGTTGGTGGTGGGGTGGGTCCCGGTAACGGGACGAGTCCTCCAAATACCCGTTTCCATGTTCGCAAGCCAACACGTGGTAAGCGTATGGCACCACCGCGAATATTGGATGGGTCTGGGTCGGAAACGGACGAAGCGCCACTAATGGACTCGGATGTTGACTTGGATAACATTCCCTCTTCATTAGCCGATTCAGACGTGGAGATGAACCCTCGTTTGCCGTTCGTTGCCGAACCTGTTGACGTCGCTGAGCCAGAGCCACAACGGGCAAACACCATCGACACGGCGCGGGCGAATACAACAGATCCAATGATGCCCAGAGTTGAACCGACCAGTGCCTATACGAACGACACAGTTGTGCTCGGGTTGAAGGTATATACGCATCGAGACGCGCCAGTAGTTGTTAGTGGGCAACTACGGCACGAAATGAAGGTAAGCTACGCTGCGTTCGCGAGTGCTGGATTGTAGCACTGCTTGTACTGTATTCATTTCAAAAATTCATGCTGTCGCTTCAGCGGCCCAAGCGGCCCGGTTAGGAGGGCTTGACTCGAACTATCAAAATGTCGTCTATTCGATTTGGTGGTGTTCCTGGTCCTAGTACAGAGGCTCTTCGAAACTACCGCCCAAATGGTTTCCACCCTGTCCATCTCGGCGACATATTCTCCAATGGGCGCTACACTGTCGTACACAAACTTGGTCACGGTCGCAGTTCCACCACATGGCTTGCGCTCGATAACCAGGCTCAAACATATGTATCCCTGAAAATCGTTGAGGCAGGGCGTATCGTTACGGAAGTTCAAGTCCTTCAACATCTCGCTGCGACGTACGATGCAACAGAGGAGGGAAGTCAACACGTTGGACGAATGCTTGACTCGTTCATTCACGAGGGGCCCAATGGACAACATCAATGCATCGTTGGCGAAGTATTCGGTGCAACTCTGGGTTCCGATATGGTCTGGGGTTATCTGTGGGAGGAAGAGGCTTTACCTCTTGATATAGTTCGTCGCCTTTCAGGTCAAATCGCGCTGGGTGTTCGATACCTCCACCGGCGCGGCGTTGCCCATGGTGACCTCCACACTGGGAATATGCTCTTATGCATTCCTAATTCCTGGACTTGCTTTGAGGACGTGACGCGCGATATTGGCATACCCCAAAAACTTCAACGCAATGACTCCAACTCACAGAATATTAATCCCCACGTTCCCCAGTATATCGTCCGGGGTGTTGCCTTTAACCCAACCCTGCTTGGTCTTTGTCTGACCAAAGCCAACGTCAAAATATGCGACTTCAGCGAGTCTTACATTCCTGGCTTGTCTACAATCCCCAAGGTTGCCACTCCGTATATCTTACGTCCTCCCGAAGCGCTGCTCGACACTGCGCCTCATGCGACAACCGAGCTCGACATCTGGGCGCTCGCTGGTTCATTATACATGCTGTTGGCCTTCGGAGTGCCTCCATTCCCATATGGCCTACTAGGCTTTAATCCTGATCGTATGATCCAAGCCATGGTATTGAGATTGGGGAAATTTCCCGAGCCAATGTGGTCAAAGTGGACGGCGCGCAGCCAGTTCTTCGATGAAGATGGGAGGTCGTTGGACCCACAGGCCAAAAGTCGCCCCATCGTATTGGCCAGCCGTGACTTCCCGATGCGCGGTGAAGAAGAAATGGCGGTTTACGAGGCACTTTTGCGCTCTATGATGCGGTACCAGGCACACACACGAATCAGTGCAGAGGAATTGGTTGAAAGTCCATAGATACGTGACTACTGTCGTCCGGAGATGGGAGAGGATCGAACATTTGTGATACCAGAACCCTTTGTTGATGACGAATAAAAATACAATCGCTATGAGTAGGTGGCCGTCAGCCGTCCAACAATATATTCTGCAGTCCATATCAGTAAACAGCAGAGAACTGTGGGGGTGCAAACCTTCAGTGCTGACTGCAGGGTATTTAGGAGCCCCACAATTCGGTAGACACGCTATTTCTTGGGTGAAGTTGGGATTACAGAAGAACGCGATGCTCTTCCTTTCTCTTGTGACTGCCTCGTTGGCGTTTATCGGTGTCGCAGGTGGTGCAACCACGCGATGGAGGGTTGACCGAAGAACATCGTTACTCCAGCGTTGCATAAGGTCGCCTACGTTCACGACGATGGTTCCGGGCTATATATCCCTCAGAGCATGACTTGAGAGACGGAACAAGTACCCACAATCGGCGCTGCGGGGACAAACTGGCCAGTATGTGGATTTTGTGCCTCCAAACCACCCACATCATCTTGGAACAACAGTGTCATCGTCCCATAATCGCTATGTGCCCCGGCCCGCGCTTGCCCTTCCCCGTCCAGCAACGCCCGTTTTATCGGGGGGTACGACAGCAACCGTAAATTGTGGCTCTGTTCGTGAATCTTGTCTTCAAAGAACCCCTCGTCAAGCCGTAAACCAAGCGCAATTGCGCGCAAAACTTTCGTGTGCAGGACATGGCAGTCGTTGAAGAAGCTGAGCATGGTGGATTTGAACAACGGCGCGTCGGATTCGGCAGGCCATTGGTTCGGCCAGACAGAGTCCCAGTCGCGTCCAATCTCCATCGTTTCTTTGCAGTCGGGGGCCGTGGCGCGGAGAGCGGCGATTTCGGCAGCGTCGCTGGCCTGCGTTACTCGTTCACGGCCAATCTGGACGTAGCCACGGTTAGACCGTGGATCAGCCCATGCGAGCCTGTCTTTGGTTTCTGAGGGGAGGCGGAAGAACTCTGTGCTCTTTAGGCTGCCGTGTTGAGTGGAATAAATTGGATGGTCAATTCAGAAACGCACCTTAGCGAAGGCGTTCTCAACAGCCGCTACCGCCAACTGGTCGGGAAGCATTCGAAACAAGGTTCAACAGCACTCACACGCTGGGATCCCATGGTTGGAAAGGTATATAAACCCGCTCTCCTTGAACGCCCCCACAATCTTGTCTGCTGTTTGCTTCTTATCTTCCGCTGAACCGTGTTGAAACTTTGAAAAGTCGATAAGCGGGATGCGGAACGACGACGCTCCGGTCGCCAGACCTCGTTTTAATCCGCCGCGGACGACAATTGACCCACGAAATGAGAGCATAGGCCCACTTTCAACCACCACGTTGAGAGGGAAGATAATAACTTAGGAAACGTGACAGGCGATCAGTTGAGATTTTGAGGTACAACTAACGACGACAAAGGCTACTGTACAACTTGGAGTTCAACAACGAAAAGGATCTTTACGAACCAATCTTTTCCGTTTGAGTAAATTTCTTTAACTCCTTCGGCTCTGAAGGAAGACCCCACTTGTGCAATATCTTCCGGCTCCAAGTTAGGTCTTCAATTTGGACGAGTGCTCGTATCACGGTCTTTTGAAGCTCCGTAAGCTCCTCAAACGGGGGCATTTTGGTGGGACAACGACCATCGAATGCGATTGTCATCGTGGTGAAAATCAATTCGAATGGCGACACGTCTGATGACTGGGACACCAAAGCTTTTGCGAGAGCTAAGGGGACATAGGGATGGTCGCAGCCTTTGATTGCATTTAAAGGGTGCATGGCGGCACGGGTCAAGGAGAAGACAAAAGGGAAGTCGAGTGCCTCAGAGTAACGGTAGTACCGATTTCGAGGGTCGTGTTCATACAAATAGGTTTTGTCTGTCACTTTCCGCAGAAGCTCTACGATGTGCTTCTCTTCCGCGATTCCAGCAAACGCGAGACCCAGAGCGCACGAAAAACGGATGACGTCCTGAACACCATTCTCGTCAAAGAGAGCTAGAAGTCGTCGAGATATGGCGGTGTCATTCATTCTCTTTGATGAAGTCTCAGAGGCTTGTGGTGCTTGAAGGAGCGAAAGTGCGATGCACGCCGTTGCGCGGACTATAGGGATTTGCTCCTGGTCAAGGACATCGAAGAGGGAGGGTTGAATTGCGTCGATTTCGTCTGGGAACCAAGCGAGAGCGAATATGGCCATTGCACGCAACCTAGGGCTGGCGGTCGAGTCGTTTAAGAGGGTACAATATTTGGGTATGCCAATAGCGATAGCGTCATAAGCGCGAAGCCGCAAGAAGTCATCCTCCATCCTCCAGACTAGATCTTCTTCGTGCTTTTGACGTGCTACTTCGTCGGGGACATCATCGGTGTTGTATCTTTCTTGCCAGTGCTTTTCTACGAACCTCGGCGACCCGAGTTTGTGGATTCTGTCGCGAAGCGCTTTTATATCAACTTTGCATGCGGGGAGAGGGGCGGGGTCGGGGACTATGGCATGGATAAGCAGATTCAGAATCTGTGACCGGACGTGGTTTGAAGTGGTGGAAGCGTGAAGGATAGCGAGGAAGAATGGGATAGCAGCTAGGGTTGACGAAAAAAGTGTGCCTTGATGAAATATATTGCCTTTGAAGGGTTTTATCGGGTTTCAACCAAGCTACACAGTTGGGAAAACATGCCTTGAAACTCTTCCAACACGAATTCAAGCTCATCTGCGGTAATGGTTGGCGAGGCCAAACGTCTGAGTAAGCCGGGGACATCGAGTGCGGGTCCATATGCATGGCTGAGAAGTGTCCAGTCTACATCGTCAAGCCCATCGAGCGGCTCCATGGTTAAAGGCGAGAGCAAGTGTAGGTTGCATAAGTGGTGGCCGGAAAGAGAGAGCTTTTGATGGCCGCTGATGCCTTCTTTCACTTCCCATGTGGTTGCAAACTTGCTCTCGCTTTTAGCTCTGTCCCTCGCACTCTTCGCTTATCGACGCTCTATTATACCCATCTATGGCGCAGCTCCAACAACTTACTCTCTCAACTCTGTCGTGATTCTTGCATCGCTTGTCCACCCATTCCCAATATCGCGTCGTACAACTCTGTTATTTGGCGCGTTCTTCGCGTCAACTGCGCCGCTTTTGACGTACTGGGTTGCTGTTTGGACTGCAAGATGGGACATGCCCATTGTTGGCCCTCTTGTCACCCACCTGGCGACCGTATGGCCGCTGGTCATCATGCTTACTTCTCTCGCGGCTGAGCCCAAGGTAGCCATCGTCGTTCATCCACATAAAATCTAAAAGTCACACGAGATTCCTATTGGCTATCGTGTGCTAGCCAGCTTGGGCTGTTCCGCTGGCGGAATAGTCTTGTCAAACTTCTGGGCAGAAACTCGAGTGCTTCGAGTTGTTTCCGGAAACCAAGTGGTGCGCGAACCGAACCAATGCCTGAAGACGAGTGGATACATTCCTTTGACAGTTCATAGGCCTTGCCACCTCATTTCTTAATCTCTGGGTCGCCACCTCTCCCACCACATCAATGTCATTCCGCAAAAAGAAAGCCACATCTCCGTTCCATAGCCGATACATGAAGCTCGCATTGTTCGCAACATTAAATGGCTCTATTTGGGCCAGTTTTAATCTCCTCCGGTCCCCGATTCTCCCGCATCCCCTCCCGCAACCGTATTACCATCCAACATTCCCCTTGGTTATCCATTCCTCTGTCCAGTCGTTGACAGGGCTTATTGTTGTTGGCGAAGCACTCCCTCCCCCCAACGATGGAGGCAGTGGCGCGGATACGGATATGCATTCAATGCGCTACCTTCGGGCAGATCATTCTCTTCTTGGTGGCGTCTGGGTTGGCGACAAGGTCGCAACCATAGACAACGCTCCACCTCCAGTCGACTCGTTCGATCGGCCACTGGGTGACTCTATTTATAGCACATTTGTGCTACATGAAGCAGCACGGTTGGTCAATAGTACATCTCGAACTGCAGAACGGGTTGCGGTGATGTTGGTCCTCTTTGTACCATCTATGTCCTAATACTAAACGTGTTACAGCGGACTGGGTGTGGGAATTTCTCCGATCGGCTTTAGCAGACATGGTCTTTCTACCACCATCGTTGAAATCGATCCTGCTGTCTATGATGCCGCGCGACTGTACTTTGGCTTGCCTGAACACGATGATGAAACCTTGTTTCTTGAAGACGCGCGCGGATGGGCTGCAAGACGACGGAAAAACCTCTCTACAGATTCCTTATTCGACATTATCGTCCATGATTGTTTCTCTGGAGGCGGGGTTCCTGAACACATCTTCACTATCGAATTCTGGAGCGACCTCAAAGCCAGTTTACATCAACAGGGAGTTCTCGTCGTAGTCAGTCTTGTCATACCATCCGTGTTTTGTCTCATCATCTTCCTGCAGAACTTTGCGGGTTCAATCGTATCTGACTCTTCACGAATGATATCACAAACCCTCCTCAAGAGTTTTGGCAATTGCCGCGCATTCCATGACGCCCAACATCAGATAACAGAAGCGCAACGAACGACGGAACTAGTCAATATCGTCTTCTTCTGCACTCCTCATTCATCACCGTTGACCTTCCGCAAGGCACGGAAGTCAGACTATCTCAACTCATACCTGCGGGAGTTCATTTTATCGGACTTGCCTAAACGCGAAGTAGATTTTGAGCTCTTAACTGGGCAATTAGACGACGAGTTTATCATCCGCGATGACCACAACTTGTTGGGAGAGTTGCAGAATAATTTGGGTCACCATCATTGGCAATGTGCGCTGCCTTTTTTTTCCTGTTCTTCTGTTGACGAAATACTAGTGATGCGCAAAGTCTTGCCAGATATATTCTGGGAGACCTTTTAGTCGTTGCTACAATGTAACAAGGACTTGTAGATTAGAAAATGACGCGTGAATGCGTGATCGCGTTTGATGGAGATACCGCATTTGTCCCTCTCAATACTATGTCCGACCTTGCACGGACGTCGTCTCCGCTCTCCTCCTCTCCTGGTCGGGGTGAGACTTTTGAGCGTCCGACATGGCCTTGGCAGTCAAGGTACGGCAAACCTTTCAACCAGTTTTGTTGTACGCATGTTCTTTACCAACATCACCCACCTCAGATATTCGAGCAGCCGCCGTTCGAGCTCCCTGTCTACCTCCGGTCTCCAAGCAACTTGGGACCCTGCCTCGCCTGCATCTTCTGCCCGACCGGCAAGCTCAACAAGCTCAAGCAGCCACTCGGGTTGGCAGTCAACATCGACAATGCGGAACATGTCTGGGTCCACTATTGGATTTGGCCCCCCAGGCCAGCAGCAAGATGAAAACATCCGCCAGTGGTCGTTCATGGTGCGTTCAACGCGTCGTCTGATGAAGTCCTTCTTTGTGGTTGATGTCGTTCAATAGGGTTTCGAATGGGCGGTTCGTGATGTCCACAAGGTATTTCTCCCTGCTCAGGTCCTTGTTCTTAACTCGACGCTCTACTAGCTGAGAGATTTTGTCGAAGGCATCGCTGAAACTGAAGATGGAGTCGAATTGGAACCCGAGAGCTTTGAGATCCTCAAGCAGGCGCCATTAATTGGCGACGACAAATTCAAGCTCGAAATCGGTGAGTGTGCGACTCCAACTTCCTGCAACTTGACTCAAATACTTTAGCTCGTGCCACTGTTGGCGAAACCTCCATGGCCAAACCCGCCTCCCTGACACTCTACATAACCTCTCTCCTCGACTTTGCGCACAATCTCAACTACGAAATGAGCGCAAGCATAATGGTCGCTGTAAAATGCCAGGACGACCGCGTTGGTGCTCGCACAGAATGGGCATGGGAATTTTGGCACAACGACTGGATATTCCGTCACGAGTCTGAAGTCTGGGACTGCAGCCTCCCACCCATATCGGCGCTGCTGGAGAATCCTCGTATCCGCGAGACAGACTCGTTCACTGTTTGTGTTCAGATCCATTGTCCACTTGGGCCATTCTTTCCACAGCAGCCGACTGCATATTACGTTCCGCGCGACTTGCTTGACGGGTTGGAGGCATCTCTAGACAACCCCAATACAGGAGATGTGCGATTTGTCTGTTTGGAACGGATGACCAACGAATCCGATGGGCCAGCCACACCGTTATCAGACAGTGCGGCAAGTTTAAGACGACCTTCATCTTCAACGTCCTCACATTCGCCCTTTTCGACCCACACGACTGCTCGGAAACGAGTGATATATGCACATTCCGGTTGGTTGGTCACCCACATACGCTATTGTACCTAACTTCCTCCTAGATATTCTCACCCGTCGTTCCGAGTATTTTGCTGTAAGTACTATGTTTACCCAATACTAAAGTTCACCCTGTTTTGCAGACAATGCTTTCTTCCTCTTTCGCGGAAACAAAAATGATTCCCGGAGAAAGGAAATTGTACACCATTGTCGTTGAAGAAGCCGATTTCGAAACGATGTACTGGCTTTTGAAGGTATCTCTCTGGACAAGCTTACTGAAAATACTAAAACCGAACAGTATTGCTATGCCAACTGGCTGCACTTCAAAGACAACGATGATCCTCGAATAGCGGTTGAGGGAATCGGTGCAGGTTGGAGTGCGCGTTGGCTTAGTGCACGAGGAGGCGAGTGGGATTGGAAAACTTTTGCAAAGCTTCCTGGAGACGATAGCACCATAGCTGATGCCAGGAGTGTGGCCAGTGCGGAGAGCGCTACCCCGGAAGCAAATGTTTCTGGCAACGGCAAGAGTAAATCATTTGCGGCGGACTCTACACCGTCATCTTCAGCTTCTCGGTCCTCTCCTCAGAGCTCGCGCCCACAACCAAAGACAACGTCCAATGCAACAAGCACTGGGGCTTCCCGTCAAGTACCTCCAACAACAACTTCCGCCACTCGTCGGCCAACTCAGCCGATCACAGTTACTTCCAGCAGCGGAATCTCGCGCACAAAGCCAGTTCCTCTGTCCGCCAACTCGGCGACTTACTCTGCCGGCCATTATCCAATATCCCCCCGAAATGCTCGCCCCCATCAATCTTCCATTGTCCCAGCGGCGGACCCTCATCCACACCCAACACCCGCTCCACCACCCGCTTCCGCTTTGTCGGTATACCAAGTCGCCCATCGCTATGCCATGCCAGCTTTAGCGTCACTGGCCTTGGATCATATGATGTCCACAATCACACCCAGTTCCGCCTTCGGGCTCTTGCTTGCAACATCAGTTTGGGACGAGCTGCGTTCATTAGTGGAGGATTATGTTGTTGAGAAGTGGGACGATGTCTCGACTTGTGCGGAGTTTGAGCTTTGTTGTCGCGAGGTCTCCGCCGGAGAGTGAGTTTCATCTGCTAATTTCTTCCTTATTTGTGGTGGCTGATTCTGTTTTGTGCAGATGGGGTCCCGAGGGAGGGAAGACACTGATGAATTTGTTCAGACGATTGAGATCTCCAACGAATCCACTGTACACTCGTTCATAGAACGATATAATTTAAATGGAAGGACAACACTAAATGCAGAAACAACTCTGTGTCTTCAACTAATGCGATTCACAGTGAGGCTCAAACCACCATGATCTTGTCATCTCTGTCCGTGAACGACTCTTTCTGAACTTTGAACTGGATCTGGGTGCTCGTCGTCATGAGCTCGACGTTGTTTGCAGTGTCTTCAGCAAGAGTTGTGTTCCCTCTTGGACGCCCGGAGGTGGAGGTGAGGCTGACGCCATTTGGTCCACGTCCAATGTCCCGCAAGTGGTCGCGGTTGTTGAGACTACAAGCACATTACTACCGCGCTGCGTGCTAGAAGCCCACTCACGAGCAGAGGAGGGAGAGCGAATATGCGCGTGGAACCAAGAGAACAAAAGGTGCAAATTCAAGAGTATTGGGCACTGCTCCCCACTGGCATAGGATTGTCAGATTAGGATCGAAGTCGCCAAAGAAAACGGACCAAGGCAATGAGAGGAACAAGACACAGACTGCGATATTCCGGGTCAACATGGATAATATTCTCGTCAAATGAATTGACCACTGACACTTCAAGGAGACCTGGGAAATGTTAATTCAAGTTGCACGTTAGCACTGTTGCCGGCCACGCACAGGTGTTCACGACGTATCGGATGAGCACGTAGATGACATGCTTGGTTCTATCTCTCATGAGCAAACAGCGGTCTATCCAATAATTCGAAACAACAACTTACGACTTGATTGAGCTGCGTTCATGATGCTGGCGTAAATAATAGATAGAGCTTGCGGCGATGACCCCATCGGCTGCCAGTTCCAGACCAAACAGACTCATCACATAAGGCTCGAAAAGTGTCAGGTTCCATGCCATGTCATGATGATAATGAAGACGAACAAAATCGCTGGTCCCTCCGGAAAGTCGTTTGAAAGCGAGACTAGATGCCAGTGTTGACGAGTTGGAGAAATCATAAATCATGCCAGGAACTTACCCCATCCTCGTGTACACTTGCAAGTTACAGATTAGTCTTGTGCAATACCTCAGCAGATAATTGTTACCTATACCCATTGCTACCATCCCGATTGGTCAGCTCCGCGTCATAACATAATGCTGAATCAGCACATACCAAATTGAGCAAGAGTGAGGGTCATCTGAGACAAATCAACATGTGTTTATGTTGATGAATGGCTGGCTCACAATAATACAAGGTAATAGCAGCTTTTTGCCCCCACTGACTAGATGCTCCAAAATTTAATGAATAACACTTGATATGAAATAAAATAACGCACGAATATATACCCGATAGGCAAAAAATCTATATTTTATTATTGCTTGTTGTAGATTGGAATAAGGCTTGCACTTACGTTTGGACCATAAGTGCAATCAATGTCTATCCAGTTAGTAGGAGATTTGCAGAGCTTATGTTTTCTACTTACACTAAGTCCAATCTCAACCTGGATGAAATATTTAGGATATCATTGCTATGCTGCATTAGAAACCTACAATAACACTCCTGAAAGTGCATATTTGAGCAATTCTTGAGATTATTCTAGAGTGAGAAGGACATACCACACTGTGGGCTTGCTTAGAACATCAAGATCACCCTGTTTTTGATATTATAGAAAAGGACCAAAGCAAAATTTGAACCTACCCAGTTAGTAATGCTGTAGTAGTACATTCCATGGTTGATAAGCACAACTGTAATGAGCTCAAAAAACCTAGGAAAATATTATGTCAGCAGCTGGTTTGTATACCAAGTCCATACCATAGAGCAGCAACCTGAGAAGGCATGGACATCAAAAAAAAATTGACGATGATTGTAGACTTACATATGCCTTGAGAAACCGTCCATCATGTGCACTGTGTTCCACAAAATACAAGAATGTCTGCATGCAATTGATGCCAAAAATCCTGTTGAGATTAGATTAAGAAGTGTAAGAAAATGTGGTGCACACAGAGTGGCGGCAGTCACCCCAATTGAGAGACCTCCCAACGTGGAATCAAGTGGAATGGGGGACGGCATGGGGAAGGAGAAGGACAGGTAGCACAATTCATATAATTTGGCACCGGCTTATAACTTACTTGCAACTCAGCGCGCCGATAAGAGTTGTTCTAAAACGGTTGCACGTTCACGAACGTTAGTGCGGAGAAGAGTGATGGAAGGATGAACTGCCAACGACTCCAAGTTGCTAATTTGAGCGCGGAACTATCGGTATCGCACGAATCTTGACAATCGCGAAGATGTCAATCTATTAGTAGACTATGACCGCATTTAGGCTCCAACCACAGGCTTGAGTAGTACAGGCAACTGACTCCCAGCCTCTGGGGAGCTTCGGAGCAGAGGGCGAACAACAATACCAGTATCTTGCTGACCCACCTGGTCTGGCGAAACTGCGAGCTGGAACTCGAACGCGCGAATCAACACAAACAGGACCGCTTTGATTCTATGTTGTGTTTAGAGTCCACGAAAGGATGAGTGAGATGCGGGCGTACTCAGCAATAGCAAACCGGAATCCAATACAATTTCGGGGACCACCAATGAAGGTGAGCAGATGGCTATATATTCCGGGAATGTTGTTGTCCGTATTGTGTTCCCAGCGCTCGGGCCTCATCACACTTCAGAACAGTTTTAAAAAAGTCTATCTATCGGACACCTACCGGAATTCGGAGGCGTTTGCGCCCCATATTTTTGGATTCTTGTTGACAGAAATGATGGGCACGAAAATGAGCTGCCCCTTTTGTATCCTGCAGTCATGGCCATGAGAAGGAAGAGTTGGTGTTAGAAGGCTTACATCAAGGAATCGCGGACGACCCCTTTGGAATCGGTGAAAGATGTGTCAAGAGGGATGATGTCATCTTGTAAAGCAATGCGATCTGAAAAGGGTGAAAATTCGCTCCAAGAAGCCAATGAGAAGGGACATACTAAAGTCGGAAACTGGCGCATACAGTCGCAGCGTTTCACGAACGACGTTGTCTAAATAAGGCAAGTCATCCAATATATCCAGGGAAGGCTGATCAGTCGATATCGCAAGCAGTTCTTCGCGCAGCCGTGTTTGAACAGCAACATTTTGTGTCAAAGCGAATAGCGCCCAAGTCAGAGCAGTGCTGCGAATGTCCGATGAGTCTATTGAAAAGGACAATACGCACAACTACCTTGTTGTTTCATGACCGGCGACCAAGAACGTAGGCACCTCTATCGCGCGGTAGCACCGGAAGGCACTGGAGAGCAATAAAAACACTGACGAGCGAGAGTATCCTCATCAGAAAGTTGTTGAGTGATCGCGATGTCTTTTGAAGTGTTTGCACGGACAAGCAGCGAGAGAAGATCGCGACCGCGACCACTATCGTACTCAGTGCCCTCTAAGATGGCGCGCTTGCTCTCAACAAGGATTTCGCGTCCCACAGCCATCATTTGAGCCTGTGCTGCTTTGGCAACTCGATTGTTATGGGTCGGCTGATCAATTTAGCAGCAGATCGCGCCGACTGCTCATGCTCACCAAATACCGTAGAATTGGGAACTGATGCCGAATAAACCGCGCAACGCTTATTCCGGCCTGAAGCGAACATAGACGATTGAACGCATTGATGAGCGGGTCTGAGTTCGAGTTGTCATCAAACTCGAGCGCATGAATGTCGTAGTTGAATCCTATAACAGTCAACAAAAATAGGCACCGAACAAGATAGGCTTCAGACCTGCAAGTCCAATTATATCGAGGGATGCCTTACTAAGCCACGACAGCGCATCCACTTGCACAATGTCGCCATGTCGGGTAGCTTGCTTCATCCAGATATCACGAAGCTATTCCTTCTTGAGTTGACGACATTGGAGTGGATTAGCGTGTCACCTCGACCGATTTTTGGATGAAGATGTCATGAAGAGCACGAATTTGTGGTATACCAAACGCTGGATTCTGATGACGATTCAACCTCTTTGTCCCCACGATCTAACTGGACTTATACCATTATCTTGCGCTAGAACACATATCAGATGTTTTCTGTGGGAAAACGTAGACGAACCTGGCGCCTGTGTTCTTCGTTTTCAACCACTAGAAGACCTGAAAGTTATTAACATGTTGGCTAGAGAAGAGTATGCACAACACCTGGACCAACAATGAGCGACAATGTTTCTCTCGTCGTTGTCGATTTCTGATAGATATGGGTGTTGTTTAAAATATGGTGTATGGCCTTCAAGTCCGTAGTAACAAGTCGACAAGTCCCCTTGTACTCAATCAGCGACCGCCTTCAGCACCGCGACTCATGGCGTACCAATACCTCATGAATCCGAATGGTCGGACCGTACTGTTCGGCCCATCGTTCTAGCAGCCCAGAAAATTGCTGTGAAAAGCTCAGCATGCCAAACACAAAGAAGACGAACACCGACATCTTCTACCAACTCTCGGGTGTTCCCGTAGAGCCAGTGGGCAGACGGTGGTCCTGGCAGGGTTCGCAATGGTGACGTGAACTCCACGTATAGCCCCTTCACAATCCTGTACAGAGCGTAGCCGGCGAGCGGCGCCAGAAACGATGTGTAGAGAGGATGGACCATGCTCAAGGTGTGCGTCAAAGTGCCGTCCAGGGTTTACGATGCGGTGAATCGTTTATTTGGCATTGCCACACTGCTTCACGTGGCGTGGGAGCGCGGAAGAGAAGACCTCTATCGTCGATTGCGACTTGCAGTCGCTTCTGAACCTCATTGATACGAGCCCACGATGCAAAGCCACAGGGGAGCTTCTGATTCATTACCAGAGGGTTGGTAGATGCAATATGACCGTCTACCGCCGTGCATAAGCAGTGCTCACAAGTAAAAATAGAGCTCAAACCTGAATTCGAGCATTGTATTCTGAAGTAGCCGGAAAACCTTCAAGCTTCATGTCACATTGTCGTGATCTCAAGCGTCATGTGTCACACTTCTTCGGTGGGCGGTCTTACTCTCAGCTGCTTTACTGGTAGCTATCCTCATCATTCCATGCTTGCATGACTGCGTACTAATTGAAGTATTAGGGTGGTTACAGTACATATCTCATCTGTGGTGCAGTAAATTCCGCTACAGGAATGATCAAGAAAGAGAGGTCGAGAAGCTTCCCTCTGCGGTAACCTAACTAATCGTAGTTGACGGTAAGCTAAGTACTTAGATTTCCCCGTTGTGGAATGCTTCCTTTCGGGAGGCGCTGAAGTAATCCAGCAAGTGATATCAACGCCAGGCCCGTGAAGATCGTAACCTGCGTCTATCAATTCGAGCGACAACCTGGAGCTGGATCACGAACCCCACTGAACACGATTGGATCGATCCATGTGTACCGCGGCGGATGGAGGAGTACACCTGAGATGGGGTTACCGGTGAGCAGAGTGAAGCTGCACGTGAGGCTCATCAGCCCAATACGGGTCCTAGCTCCAAGTTTAGGCCGAAACTAATTCGAAGAATAACTTACCCGATCTCGGCCACGGATCGAGAAAAAGTCGCTGACATGGGCACGGACAGCGAAACAAAGCCTCCACTGAAAAACCCATATAGAATGGCGAATATAACGAGACCACCATCGGATTTAGCGCCCAAAAATGCGAAGGACAGGCAGCCTGAAATGAAGACGACCGGGACAATGACTACAGGCCAATTCGTGAAATTCCCTGGCTCCAAACACATTGAAACCCACCATAGAATGGCCCCCAGAGATCTGAGAAGAACATGGGCACTGTCCGGCCGAAGAAACCAGCTGCGTTAAGTATCGCAACCTGAGGTGTCCATGAGATCATTTCAATTTCTGATCAATCGAAAATGCCTCACACAATAAGTCTGTAGTGTTTTCGACGCGTTGTGCTTGACGGAAAAAAGCTGGATGTAAAATACTATCTAGCGTTAGAACTTTCGGGCTCGAGTAAGGCGAAGGGAGCTGACTGGGAATGAAGAGGCCCCAAAAGGTAAATGCTTCCCTGAAAACGCGTTAGAGTCATCATTAATCCACTATGCGCTTAACTATTACCCGACAAGACAGGTCCAGAACGGCACATCCTTCAAGATTGCTTTCATGTCGACTTCCGAAGGACGGGGCGCGAGTCTCGTTTTCATGATGAGGTTGGCGCAAAGGAGAAGGCCGGTATCAAGGAAGGACACTGCTCGTACGCCCCATGCAAAACCCACAGAGGAAAACAAGTGATTGATCATGACTGGATAGATAACGGCGCCAACCGAAGAGCCTGAGTATGATAAATTCTCTGAGCGATGAGAACGAATTGATGACTAAGTAGTACCTGAGAGCATGATTCCAACAGCTATTCCCCGTCTGCGCTTGAAGTAATGTGCGGCCACTGATAAACTTGGCAGAAATATCGTCCCCATTCCAATGCCCATTCCACAGCTCTGAGCCAAGAAGTTTTGATAGAAGTGGTGAGGTTTTGCGAGGGATAGCAAGAAGGAGGAGACAATGTAGAGCGTGCTTCCGCTGACAAGCAACTGTCGGAAATACCCATGGTCGAAAAGCTGCAGAAAGCCTTGTTAGACCACAGGCATAAGGAGAGTAGCCAACACTAAAAACCTTGCCACTGAAGATGCCGATAGAAAAAAGGAAAAATATTTGAACAGAACTATGAGGACTATATAAGTCACGGATAGGAAACAGGTGAATTCAAGTACCCAATCCACGAGATATCGGAGGGAGGGTGCTCGTTGAGGAAAATACGCGTGTAGTAGTCTTGGTACACGCCGAAGGATTGAATAGCGCCTAGTCCAGATCTAACCAGCGCCTGAAAACTTTGCATGGAAGCCCACCGAAAGTGCAGAATGAAACCATCCACCTGGACATGAGAGCATAAGACTTCAGCTATTCCAGTCGGTATTTTCAACTGACCCGCCTGCAATGGTGAGCCATGCATCCCGACCGCCTTCCGGGAACACTAATGGTGCAGAATCCTGCATTGGCATAGGACGTGGCTGAGACTCTTCAACATCGAGCGGTTTCTCTATGGTAGAAGGAGCCATGACGCGGAGAACAAGCGAAGGACTTCAAGTAGTCGAATCATGCCAGTGACTGTGTTCACTGTGGAATCGAGATACCAAGTTGAGAGTGGCGGTGCTCCGGTCAACATACGAGAAAACGGGCGATAAATATAAACTCTTTTCCGCGGGGACAAGTAGCTTAAATTTAACCAAGCCGCTACAGCTTTGGAGCGGGCACTTCTGTACCAGGGCGGAAACTCAGCAGAACTACTACTCATGATGATTATCTTGCATTTGAACTTCTGCTACTCGAGTACACTGCTCGATATTCAAAGTTTCGAAGCATACAGCGGCAATGTCTCAACCCAGTTCTCCCAGGCGGAGGACGACATGATCGGCGCATAAATAAAAGGCTCGCATCCATTCTCGGCTAACACCATATCAAGGATGGCGAAGGCCTCGTTGAGTGCAACAACCTCCTTTGCCATGGCAGCCTTTCGGGTGACCAATCCATTCTCGATATACCATGCAACGTTCCGAAGAATCGCTCCAGCTTCGAAGAGTCGAACCAGCTCCGGTTGGACGTGGGCGTCAATAGCTGCCTCGAATGCCATGCGATAACCAATAGCAGTGATCAAAGGTACACAGCGCGGCAAGAGAAGTTGGTTGAATTCTTGTGAGCGGTGGTCGCCACCGATCGACTGGAAAACTGTTCGCATTTCTTCAAAAATGCCGCGCTCATACTTGGCGAGCAGTGTGTTGGGGTATCTTGCCGAAGGAAGACCATATCGGCCAATGAGCAGTTCGCTCGCAAGACCTAAGTTGGGTGAGCGCTATGATCCTGATGAACCCTCTGCGTTTGACGCACGAATGCACAGAACAAGAATGTCCCCTTCCGCGATTGTCACGCCACGGAGTTCCATCTGCCCAGTGGATGTGATTAGTGAGATGTAGTGGAGAGGCCTCGTTGCAGAAATCTTACATCCATCGACATGACTTGACTCTCGTTGAACAGCCCACGCGCACCAAGGCGATCCGTTAGGGTGACACTAGTCTCGCGCCAGCAATGGATAGCAATGGTCTTGAACACGCCGGTAATGCCATTTCGGTCGTTCAGTACATGGGCCAGCCGACTGTTGTCTGGAAGAGAATAGTAAGGCCGAATCTCTTTATAGAATGCCTCGATAACGGCAGCCTGCGCTAGCGCCTGGAGAATTGGAGCCTGTGTCGTTCTAAATGATAAGATAGGCGCTGTCTCTCCCGCTGAGTTGGTGACCATTCTTTGGGCCGCATACTTTGCGGCGATATGGGCCGCGATGCGGAGAGCGGGAACGACCATGCCCGTGATGAAAACTGAACCGATACCTAGACGCCAGATGCTCAGCAGAAACCGAGTGCGGGGTGGAGTCTTGGCGTCCAAATCGGAAATGAGGGCGGTTGCGGGAAGTTTTACGCGATCGAAGTAGGTGATCGCGTGCCCAACAGGTCGAGTACCAGTCTTGTCGGGCAGGACACTGTGGTGATTTAGCAACGATGAAGAGAATATTGTCACTACACACCGACAAGAAACACCCGGCTTCATAGTTTTACCATCATTCAAGTCTACCGCAAAAGGTCGGATACCCATAAATGACCCGGTTTTTCCGATGAGCCTTGCTAGCACAATAGTCATCCTGGGTATCCCACCAGCGGGAACACTCGCTGGCATAAATCTGGAAAAATATTGGTACGACTGCGACATTGGGCTGCGATTGACACTCACTTGCCGGCTCCTGCATGGGGAGTGTGTAATTCAAAGCCCCCATCGTCGAGTAATGTCGCAGTGGTCTCGATATTCTGCGAGTCTAGACCATGATTAACCTCTGTGAGCATATAATGGCCGCTGGTTGTCGGGTCAAATCATTGTAAAGGCTTTGGCAGTGTTTGGACTAACGAGATTTCGAAAGCAAGCAGCTTGCGGCACAATTCGGCTATCTCGGGGCGATGGACGTGTTCAGCCAGTGTTCCAACAGCGAGATTCACTTGTATGGTAGCTAAAGCAAAAGCGCCGACATCCAGAATATTCAACGGGCAAAGTCCCGAGTTCCAGAACTTTTCAGAACAGGCGAAAATATCCTCAGCAGTGTAGCCTATGGCGAGGTCATCAGTACAAATATTCCTGCACAACGGAATGACATACCGAAGGACATTACGAGCGCTTTGCTTCGTGCATGGCTGAGTTCTAGACGCTCTGCTTTGCTGAGAGTAAAATCGAACAGCGCATGCTTGTACAAGTCACTTTGGGCGAGGGCAACCGGGTTGGCCATGGCTGAATAGTTGTGGTTATAACTTGCGAGCTTAAATACGGCTGCATCTTCTGGTTATCGACGCTGGAGCGGTTGATTAAACTTGTGCAGACAAGGGCCGTCTATCACATCTAAGATTGTCCCGTCGCACTGCGTATTGCGAGTTCGGAAAACCATGATCTCGAGGGAACAGAAATTCCGCAGAACAAAACTTCATCTGGACTTGGGTGGAAGGTGATCGATGATGAGGGCCCGAGGGCAACTTTTCGCGTTCGACCGAAAGATGCGGCGCACGCATTGGCTTATCATTCAGTCCAAAATAGTTCAATTCGACAAGAGCGCCCATCGATACATTCTAGGATTCCGTGTGGGAGTCCCCAATTAGGACTGTCAGGTCGCTATTTAGACGGAGATGACGATGATAACCGCGAGAAAGTGTTGCACTGATCCGTTGAGAATGTGTTTTTTGTTTCTGAGTTCCCTTGCACACAGATGAGACGATGACACCGGAGGCACATGCGTAAGGAAGTAGACTCACCTACCAATCAAGATTCGTGTGTTAATCCTACGCGCTAGCTTGGATATACCGCCGCAGTTCAGATTGCGTCGAGTATAAGCCCCACGATCGAAGAATATCCAAATAGTTGAGGTAATTCCAGTTGATGGCTTCGACCTCGGACAGCGCTCGAACGACTGCTTGTTGGGCAACAGAGAGCGATTCAAAGGGAGGAAGCATCGCAGGCCTGTCACGCGGGGCGGGGTGTTTCCCATCGAAAGCAGTTCTGAGGGCTACGCCGGCCATGGCATGCGTGGCTTGTCCTTGAGATGAAGGCAGCGCACTTGCCAACGCTAGGGGCACGGCGGGATGTTCGCTGCCTTTTACTGCTCTCAGAGACACGCACGCAATAGAGGCGAGATCAGGTTCCGCGAAAGGAAAAGCTGTGGCTGAGCTCAAATGTCCTGGCTCGTAATCTTGCAAATATGTGGCGTCGGAAGCTTTACGAGTTATCTCCTCCAAGTGCTCGGCTGAGGGTGTGCCAATCATCGCCAGACCGAGTGCTGCACAGAAATGGGCCAGGTCTCCTCGCTTCGTCTGGGCAAATACTTCTGACACTCGGGTTTGAATCGGCGATGATGATGGTGGCTGCGAATCCGCGATGGAAGTTTGAAGTAGACTTAGAGACAGCAAAACTGTGCTGCGAACAGCAGCATCGCTTTCGCGGCCGAAGAGGTCAAAAAGCTCCTTTTGATTGGTCTCGATCTCTTCAGGGAACCAGCCAAGCGCATATGCAGCCATAGCTCGGACACTTGCTGATTCGTCGCGAAGTGCTTGACGAAAAACGGGCAGGCCACCTTTGACCGCGTCATATATCCGAACTTTAATTAGGGTGTAGTGAATGATGCCGTCGACGCTGTCGGAAAACATGAATTCTCTTTCCCGTTTGCGCCGTTCTTCATCGGTTGGCGCGTCTGCAATGTATTGCGCTTTCTTTCTCTCATACTCCTCTGCGTAGCCATCAGCCTGGACTTCTGAGGCGGCGGCCCGGATGCCCTTGATGTCGAAGCCGTCAATGAGATTGGGGTAACCGATTGCAAGGGAAACGAGGTAGCGAATCAGGCGGTCGCGGCCGATAGTAGTCGGGCTTTCAGCAAGGGCTATGAGAAATGGCGCCGCGGCTACGGATGCAGAGTAGCGAGTGCCTTGGTGGAAGAGATTGCCGTACAAGTCGTAGTAGATGCTCTGCAAGTTTTCTGGAGTTGCGACTGCTAGTTGTCGAAGGAGATCTGGTATGTCGCCCGCTGAACCATATGCGTGGTTTAGGGCGGTAAAGTCGACATCATCAAGTCCAGCGAGTGGATCCATGGTCGTTGGGGGAAAGAGGAGGTCTGGTGTCCATCGTAAACCAGTCGAACTTGACAAGACGTGACAAGTGACCGCCGCCCGCTGCTTCACGCACTCACCCGCCAAAAATGGTACATCGGTCATTCAGAATGGATTCACAACGAAGCTGATCCTGTCATCTCCTCCAGGACTCTTCAAAGGCTCCCGTTAAGCTTGCAACTGTTACCAAAGTCTGCCTTACTATCATCAATGCGGCCTAGTATTAAAAACCTTTCTTTCCTAGGTCCTCGGTCGCACGGGCTCTCGAGGAGGCGTCACTCAAGTCCGCGTAGAATTTATGGACGACACATCTCGTAGTATCATCCGGAACGTGAAAGGCCCCGTCCGCGAAAAAGACATATTAGCACTGCTCGAAAGTGAGCGTGAGGCAAGGTGAGTTGTGGTGGACTTTGTTCCCGGGTCATGCCTCTTATTATTGCGATTCTCAGGCGGTTGCGCTGAGTTTTACACGTCTTGTACCTCTTGTATATTCCAGCGTACAAATCCAGTCAAAGCACACACACACAACAAACGGAATATGAACAGCTTGGAATCAGCCCAGCACTAACGTTTCTATCCATCCTTTCTTGACCCCATACTCGACAACCTCTCCTGCACACAGAGGCCCTCGTAATAACCCTGCCGGCGTTGCAGCTGGCGGAGCAACCTTCTTCTTCCGCCCTCGCGACTTGCTCTTTCCCTTTGATGTCTCAATTATACCAGCGATAGAATGCCCGAGCCATTCTTCCATGTCCAACAAGCATTCATAGCATTCTCGGTCTGTGTACCCAGAGCTAGGCGGAGTTGGAGCTTGGCTTTTCCTGCGTGTCGGTGCCCGTAAACCTTTGGACTTGAGCAGTTTGACAACGAGATAGTGAAGCCACTAATCAATCGATTCAATCAAGTTCACCGAGCAGGAAACAAAGCTTACTAATGAATTCGTAAGTGGGCTGAATGCCTCCCAATTGTCACCATTATGGTCGCGCATATAGCGATAAATGTCGAACTGGTAATCGCCCTCACCCTCAAAGATCTCCTCTTCAAAAGGTGTCCAATGAACGGTCTCTCCGCCAGATCCGTCCCCAGCATCCATGCGGGACAGCCCAAGGTCGATCACAGTCGCCCGGACACCATGGATTGGGTCGTCCATCATAGGTTTTTTGTGCTTGCTGGGTTTTTGGTTCAGATTCATTGCTTGTAATGGTTTCGTAACAACCGCATCAGTTTCTTCCTTGACCAATATTTGACCCAGGTGAAGATCGCGGTGCTGTAGTCCTTTAGTTCACCATATATTGGAAGAAGACAACTTACTTCAAAGGAGACCAACTGCTCCGCATGCCCCAAGGTTTTGGCCACTTGCCAAAAAATGCTGCAAGCCTGTTTCCAACCATTCTTGGCCGCAAACGTGTACGCCTCTAAATCAGGACCACCATTTGGCAGAACGATGATAGCATACGCTTGGGAGACCGCGAAAGTATCGGGTCGGATACCCTCTGAACCGACACGTTCATTATACTCGTCCCAAAGTTCCAAGAGTTGTTGCGGATATCTCCCACGAACAATATATGTCCTCAAAAGCTTCACGAACCCTCCCCGGAGTTCACCCATCGCCTCAGTGACGATGATTTCCTTCAGAACATCCTTCACGTCGGTAGCAAAAGGCGTTTCTGTGTCGTCCGCAACTTGCCTCAGCCTCCTTTGCGAATCGTCGCGCAACGGTATGACCTTGAGCACCACTTGGCCGATGCCGTAGACTTCGGAGTAGCTAGCCTCGCCAATCTTCTTGAACCCTCGGGAGGCCTCTCGATGGCCAGAGACAAGCGGATCGAATGGGAATGATTTGATGAACGCAGAGAATTCGTGTAATGCTGTTTGGCGGCACTCTGCTAACAGAGGTTGCAGATATTGTGGCGTCGTAATCGCGGGTTCTTGAGAGGAAACGGAGGATAAGACATCGCTGCAGTCGGTCAAGTCCGAAAGCGAGATATCGAAGTTTCCATCTTCTGAAGTTAGCGGTGAAGGAGGCGAAGGTGGTGCTCTTAGGCCCAAAGCGCGACCACGAATCGGTGTGAGCGGTCGAGCACGTGGGATAGGGGAAGGCACATGTTGGTATGTTTGACTGGGAATAACGTGACGAGGCGGAGTAAGTGGAGTCTTGGCTGGTAGTGGAACCGAAATGATGATTGGTTTGGGTGATAACGGCGGCTCCGGAGAGATCACAACCTCCAGCTCGAGGGACATGTCTTGGGACTCGTCGATAATGGAATCCTTCACCACCAGAGGTGGCTGGACAACAAGGACTTCGGAGTCGGATTCGGACTCGTCCGAGTCTATTCGCTGTGAAGCCACCTGACGGAGTCGTCTTGGAGGCTTGGGTTGGGGGATATATTCTTCCTCGTCATCTGTGTCAATAACTATTGTTCTAGTCAGCTGAATTCTGAGGACGTCCAGCGACACACACCGACAGCCCGTTTGCTGATCCTGTGCTCCTTACTAACTGTCTTTCCCTGGTCATCCAAGACTAAGATCTCGATCTTGGATGCGAAGCTCTTCAATGGGGGCGAGCCAGAAAGCCGCTTGCCCTTGTTGACGGAGGCGGGCGTGTTAAGGGGCCTAACACCCAGCGGTTTTCTCGACGGAGTGAATCCCTCCACCTCTTCCAGCCTCCGGATTTGGGGCAGCACCTTCCGCTGAGGGGAAACAACCCGCTTCTTGCTGACATGCAGGATCTTGGGAGACGGGGTTTTGGACTTTGACTTGGGCTTTGGGTCGTGGTTTTCACGCTTCTTCATGCGGGAGGCGAGTGGTGCTTTTGCGATGGGTGGCAAGTCATCGAATATGGAGGGTGGGGGTCGCGGCAGACGGTCGTCGTCGTTGACGATCCGTTGGCGGCGTTTACCATAGGTTGTGATCTGTTTTGTGCGGGCCCCGAGCATAACAGTTAATAAAAAGGCTGCACAGACGGCGATGGCAGCGGCGAGGATAGTAGTTGCGGCAATGGTGGTGAAGGACGGGAAATGCCAACTAGCACGTGTCGTGTGTGATCGCGACGCGGCGCGTTACCGTGACGATATCATCAAATCATATTGCAACTGGGAAGAGTCAAAGGTGTTCCGATGATTGTCGACTTACTGCCGATGTCAGAATGTTGTGACTGGACCCCGAACAGTCCGTGTTGGCACTCCTTGTGCCATCCCGAAGCTGAGCATGGCCCTGGGTGGGCGGGGGGTGTGACACTATGCATGCATGCTGTAGCAAATGCTTACCGGTGTTGCCAGGGCATATCTTGAGCAGCGTCAAGGGCAGCTTTGTCACCGTCCGGCTATTGGATGCTGTGGAGCCGGATGCTGTGCTTGATATGACGTAGTTCCGGGTAAGGTTTGGACGCTCACAATCCAACTACGTCATCCCTTCAGTCAGATCACCGTGACATCGTGACCTTGCCACGTCGACACTCTTTTCATCTGCCATCGTCTTCGAAGCTTGCTTGCAGCTACTCAAGGGTTGGGGGATGTAGGAAGCCGAGTTTTTAAAGAGGAATGGGCTACAGGTGCGTCTCCTTTCACCTTTCTTGGCTGTGTCTTGCTTACAATGTCCGAACAACCAAGGTCCGACCGTTTTTCGAAACCTTTTCGTAATTAAGCGGCGAATTTCGGTGGCTGGGCTTTGTAGCGCAAACAGTAGCCAGCTGCTTATGCCTTTCTGTGTACTTGTAGCAACCCCCAAATCCTATCGCTTCCTCGTCCACTCCCTCTTTGTTTCCCACTCAACCTGAGCAAGCATTTTCGAGCAAGCGCCATTGGATTTGCGGCCACCGTCCGCTTAGCTGAAACACCAGCGGCCAGCACCAGATGTTTGGTTCCTTCTATCCGCTGTTGTTCAGAGCCCTTAAAAAGCGGCCTCTTTTTGTGTCGACCGCCCACCATGCCTCCTCTCTTTGCAGCCTCATTCACAGCCGATGGCGATTCAACGGGGCCTGTACGGTGTGCGCGTGGCAAGGCCTGCCGTGGTTCACCTGGTACGGCTGGTGTCTATCCAGCTGGGACGCAACTTCAAGAAATGGGCGTTGGCGATACGAACAAGGTCACGATGATCTGTGCTGGTTGTTGCGACTATTACTTGGGGAAGCCAACGACAAGGCGTATTGGTGCGTAGATGTTTCTTTACTATTTGTCAATGTCTCATGGGATATACAGAGTATCAAGCAGAGAAGCAGACCGGTGTGTATATTATGAGTTGCCTTCTGCGAGTCGTCTAAGGTGCTGTAGCTCAAGGCCCAGTTCGTCGTGTTGCAGGTCGTGTTCCCAAGGGCGATGCTCAGATTCATCGAAACATTGCCGCTGCTCAACGCCATGGTATGACCTTTAACGACATCATGGTCCGTTGGTTACTCACTGAAATTCAGAGAAGGTCGAAGTGCGAGCAATTGGTAATCTTGCGGGCTCACAGTCAGGCCCCCGCGTTGCCTATTCTAATGGAAGCTATACACCGAGCCATAGCAGTTACGAGGCAACAAGAAATTATAATCGCAACCGTGCAATGGCTGTCCATACGACCATTACTGGCTCAATTACTGTTCGTCTTGTCTCTCTGCCACCCCGAGCAAAGACTCTGCAGACCTTTGATGTACGTTGCAACTTCTGGGTCCTATGTATTACTAACAATCCCGACAGACGTGCCAGGTCTCTGTCGGTGATGTCTTTGTTGGCATTGGTGCGGTCGATCTTCTTTATACCGCATTTAACGCCATCAAGCCGGCATACCAAGTTGCGATGGAAAACCGGGGCTACGAGAATGTCGCTCTATACCCCCTGACTATCGACGACGTTCAGATGGTGAACAAGAACGGTGTCCCATTCAACATGTCCTTGCAACAAGACATTATCCGTCAGCACTTCTATCGTCCTGCAAAGGATGGCATCACTCTTGTCTTCAACAACTCGGCCAAACCAGCTGTTGTCCAGCTACAACTCACACCGAAATGGTGTGCAGGGCTGCGTCGGTGGGAGAATGATATTGAGGAGGAGGAAATGCGGTTGGAGGAGGGAAAAGATGTCGGGGTAAAGAGGAAGAGTGTGGCCAGTACATCCAAAGCGCGTAAGCGCGTGGAAGTGAGAAGTAGAGAGGGGGACATCAACTCCATTGCCGAATCATCTCGCGGTGAAGGATCATCTCGTGGCCAAGGTCCCGTTTCTCTTTTGCGTACAGCTACTATGGGTCTGCCAAGTCTGTCTGACAACAGGAACTCCGTGGCAGAGTCCTCTCCCTACGGAGCTCAGTCACGGCTTGTGCAGTCGGCGCCAAGCATAGCTGTTATTCGGTCATCGGATGTAGCAGCACCCCGCTCAGTGCCAAGTGTAATGGGGGAGTCCGCACTAGTTACACCCAGTGAGCTTGCACGAGCCCTTTCAATGGCAAAGAAGCACCAACCCGAGGAAGCCCGAGCTTTTGGTATGTTGTTGTCTAGTTTATTGGCCCATCTGATATTTTTATAGTCCAAGTCCGAACATTCACGGTCACTCTCTACAAAATCAAGCTCATCGCACTTGGTCCTCTGATTCGGCTGATGCTTGCCCGTACCCGCTTCGACATGTATGACACACCACACATTTTCCACTTGACTGTCGACAGTAGCATATCCTCTGCTGGTGGCTTCAAGACGGCATATTTCGGGACAATTCAGCCATCGCCTTTCGCCTCAAAGCAACATGCTATCTGTGCCAAACAGGCGCACAAGGAAGGTGAGATGATCATGCCTGTGCATTATCAACGCTCATAGGATGCTAGAAGGCAATATTCTTCCGTCACAGCGACAGCTTGAGCTGCTGCCTGATGAGCTAATGACGCTGCAGTGGGCAAATGCGCTCATGAGCTCAACCTATGAGCTTATTGCAGCAGTCAAGGAACGGAAGCTTCTGGAGAAACCTACATGGAAGCCAAAGATAAAGGTTCCCGATTTGTGCTTCACGGAGGCTGGCTTGGCTATCGAGCAGGGACAATCAAATCGAGCGAAGGTCTATATGATCGAGGAGCATATTCAAGGCGAATTCCGAAAGTATCTCCACAACGGCTCAGCTAAACTTACCGGGACATCAAAAGGTGATCCTGTTGCATTATTTCTCTCTTTCAGCCAGCATGCACAGTACATCAACTCAAATGGACTAGCATTTGTGAGTGACTACCAAGGTGATGTTTTTTTTTACCTATATACTTGCTGTGCTAATATTATCATTTAGGCGGGCCACTTCACAGTGGCTCTGACACAGTTCTTTTGACTGACCCACAACTTCTCACCCATCCGTATGTGTTTGTATATTGCTTCTGGCTTTTGCTAACTTGTTGTCAGTGATCTTGGTGCCATCTTTGCAGGTGGAAATGTGACGGCTTCATTTCTCCGATTCCCTCAGGAACATGTCTGCAATTCCTTTTGTCTTGACTTTGAACTTACTCCACTTGCTGAATTTGTACCCATTCCTACTTCAGCTTAGTAGTTTAAAGATGGAGTAACCTGATTGACTATAATATATTTCACTTTAATATACTTAGTGTGACCGTAAGTAGTGGTCTACCTCGATCTCTTCATCTTCATCATCTGTCAGCTCAATCTGGTAGCGCCATTGAGGGCCACTTTCATCATTGATGTTTTCGTCTTCATCATCATCTTCATCATCAGTGAACAGACGATCATTAAAAAATGAATCATCAATCTCCACCTCATCAAGTGGATTTTCAACAACCTGAACATCTTGTTCAAAGTTGGCCTGTAAGGAGTGGAACTCTGTTTGGACAGCATCCCGTTCAGCTTCTATCATATCATCCTCAAACTTTTCTTTGAGTGCCCCAAAGATATTCCAGATAGAATCAAATGTGACTGTGGGATTGCCAATATCACTGTAAAATTGTTGTGCCCGAATGTTGAAGGTTCGTGAGGTAAGTTCAAAGACTGGGCTTTCTGGAGGAGACCATAGGGCTTCCATCTCATCTAAAAGCTCCTCACTAACTGGAACCTATATTTTCATAAATCCTTAATTCTCTAGTTGATAAATATTATGATTTTTCACATACCGAGAAATTTTTACCACCAAATTGTTCTGGATTATGATGTATCTCATCCGGTATCCCATGAGGTAAGATCTTGTGTTTATAGGCACGCCGCATGCTACCATTTTGTCGATTGACCCATGCATCCAGCTCAGTTTGCAGGTATGGAATAAACAGCCACCGGAAAATGAAGCTAATCGGTAGTCAGTAAGGAAACCCAGCTCTGCGATACAACATACATCTCAATTGCATCAGCTTGAGCAAAGTCAATTAGACCTTGAACTTCGCCCTGTTCAAGTAGCCGTTCAAATCCAAATGCCCACCCACGTCGAACACGTGCCCAGCCAATTTCGGACTTGATATTCATTTTATCATGGAACCATTTATGCTGAATAGTTCCCTGCAAGCTTGGGTCCAGTCTTTGACGGAGGGTTGTATGACATTTGGCAATCCCATTATTTTCACGCCCAGGATCACTAAATGTCAAAAGTGGAATAGCTATAAAAATATATTATATTAAATATATAGTATTCAAGTTTCCTTACCCTTTTCCTTCCGAACTGCACCAAGATAGTATGATGTCACAAGTGCAGTGTTGCGATTGGTCCACCAAATTTTATTCCAGTGAAACCGTCCAGTATAAGGATCTAGACCAAGATGAAGATAAAGGCCAAATCGTTTCCATTTGTCATGCTGATCGAAGCTGAAAATTTCCATTACACCTGCACTATAAAAGCGGGATCTTTTGAATCGAGCACCCTTCCGGGCAGCAACAGACTCAGGTTCAATCTGTTTAAGTATGCTTGCAAGGTCTTTTCTAAAATATCAACATACATATAAAATTGAAATCAAATGAATAAACAACATACTCCGGGATCTTGATTCCATGCTCCCATCTTAAAACTACAACCATTGAACGGGCCCCCATATGAGGGTATGCCGGACGCAGTGTTTCTATAAGTTCTGGAACATCTTGATATGCCCCCCTCCTTTTTCTTCTGCTGACGTGTTCCCTCTAGACCGAGGACACCCCGCACTCGCAGACAACCCGAGGTACTATATCCAAGTATGTTTAGAATTACGCAAGGACAAGGATTCACATACCTCATAGAGTAGTTTTTCCCATTGAAGGATTCCTCCTTGGCAATATCTGCTATTATTGCTTGTGCCATCCGCTTATCACCATAGCCAAGCTTAAAATAATGTGAAACTTTCGGATAGAGCCACTCAGTTGGTGCTGCCAAGAGAGAATAAGTTATAGATCTGCGTAGGCAGGGGAGAAAGCATACGGTGAAATGATTTAGGCATGAGGGCGGAAGGAGAGATGGCCTCGTGGAACCCAGCCACTATCCACGTTCCTCACACGGCTGAGAAATCAAGATTAGATATATTTGTGAAACCATGCAGATGACAGATGATAGGTAGATTATCTTCGGGGTCCTTGCTTCTTGACATTTGATACTCGGTTAACAACTGGTAATCAACGGAACACCTTTGACGCTTCCCAGTTGCAATAAAATCAATCACTGTCACACACTCATGTCCTGCAAAAATCTTGTCCTCGATGCTGGCCCACTATTGTCCCTCTCTCCGCTTAGAGGGCTAGCACAGACGTACTACACCGTCCCACAAGTTCTTTCCGAACTAAAGGACAAACGGGCGCGCGATCACTTCGACCAACTTGGTCTCACTGCAGGAGTCAATGTCGAGATCGCCTCTCCGGACCCGGCCAGTTTAGCAGCTGTTATACGTACGGCAAAAAAGACGGGCGATTACTCAGTTCTATCTCATCCGGATCTATGTGTCTTGGCTTTAACATATTCTCTCCACGAACGAGAGAAAAACTTGAAGGCACGTTTTCCCAAAGCAACACGAACTTAGAGATAACAATTTGCGATAGTAGAAGGGACAGGATTCTGTAGCTCCCTCGGAAACTCCCGCCCAGTCTGAAATCAAGCCAGAGGAATCGCCATCGGAAACAACCGTCGATGAGCCAGAAATCGAGTCAGATCTCGAAGAAGAGACCAGAGGGGAGGATTTGGAGCCTTTGAACGTTGAATTAGAGCCAATCGACACCGACGAGCATAGAAAGCCCCCAGAAGATTTGGAACCTGCTTCCTCTCCCCCCTCTTCTCCCGAACCTATTTTCGACGACCCTTCAGACGAAGATGATGGTGAAGGAGAATGGATCACGCCCTCGAATGTTGGCCTACATAAATCTCGCGCTCTGGATCTACTTCCCCAATCCGGCACCAAAGCCAGAGGGAAACAAAAAGAAGACCCTTTCGACGTGGGCTGTATGACCGCTGATTTTGCTATGCAGAACGTCTTACTACAGATGGGCCTCAATCTCGTGGGAGTCGAGGGTCAGAGAATCCAAAAACTCAAGAGTTGGGTTCTTCGTTGCCATGCCTGCTTCAAGTGCGTTTTCCCGACATCTTGTACCCATTTGTGTTTACCCCCTTGTAGGATTTGCAAGGACAACTCCAAAAAGTTTTGCCCGTCTTGCGGCAATCCTACTTTGTTGCGCGCTTCGGTCACGATCTCAAGTCCGGATGCTCCGGGTGACGCGCCCGTCATGGAGGTCCACTTAAAACGCAACTTCCAGTACAAGCTGCGCGGCACAAAATACTCCATTCCTGCACCCAAGCCAGGATCGGCGAAGACTGGGACCGGGGAAGGATTGATTCTACGAGAAGACCAGTCGGAGTATGTTCGAGCTAAAAAGATGGCTGATGGAAGAAAACAACGCGAGGAGGCAAAGATGAACAAAGGGCTCCTTGGTCAGAATGGGGGGATCGGAAGTTGGTTGGACCCTGACTGGGTTCCAGAGATGCTTACAGTTGGTGCTGGTGGCAAGGGTCGTACGGTTCGACCATCTGGCCGCGATGGCGATATGCCAGTCATTGGACATGGAAGAAAGAATCCGAACGAGCGCAAACGGCGCAGGTAATATAGAGGTGGTTCCTAAAATACAATCGATTTCTACGTGCCCATTCATGCCAGACTTCTGTTCATGAATCGCCGTTTTTGGAAAGACATCCACCACTTGCTCGGTTTGCCTGTCCCATCTGCATAGAGAATCTCGACCAGACGGGCTGCCAGCTCCTGCCGGACCTGAATGAGGTATTGTCGAAGATAGTCTGGCATATTGGATTAGAAACAAGTCAACTGGAGATAATAACTGCGCACCAGCCTCCTGCCTACTCGAGGGTGCTGCGTAATGGGCGTTCAATGCAAAGTTGGCGTCACCGGGAATGGGGAAAGTGTCGACGGAGAGCGTGTTGAGACTCTTTCCGGCCTCAACCTGAGTTGGCGTGGTACGGGCTGAGCCGATCTTTGCTAGACAGTCGGAAACATAGAGAATCAGGACAATAAGCGTTCTGTCCGCTGGGCCCTTGATCTCAAAGTTGCGGAAGAGCGAGTTGGCGCGGAAGAGGTCAAGGGTCTCGTCGATTATGTCCTGAGCCTCAGGCTCGGCTGTTTCAATCGCATTAGCGTGTCTTGACAAGAAGAACGATAAGATGGACACACCTATCGGCGCTGGACCTCTAATTTTCGTCTTGATCGGCAGAATGGCCATGTTTCCAGCCAGACGAATGTCTGCCTCCTCATTGAAAGACGAGTGGTATGCCTGCAACAGTCGGGACAAGCACTGTAAAAGCGACAAGCCTACTCACAGGCATCTGTTGTTGTGGACGGGAATAAGCAAGCTGTGTCACACATTCTTGCCTCGTTTTGCTTTGCGTCATAAACTGTCGCCTTGTTTTAGGCTGGGTTTTAGCGGCCCTTGCTTCTGCCCGTCATGGATCTCGAGGACCGCCCTCGTATCTCTTTCAGCTCCCCAGAGTCCAAGCCCTCCCCTGCAACACTCACCAGTCAGTGCTTATCTAATTCAGTAACCTTGATTCTGACCTACGTGCCAAGAACTCGTGAAGCGTATTCGGGCACTGACTTTGACACTGTTGCCCGTCGAAGTCGATCCAGAAAAGTGCTCTCCATCCTCATACCACATGCACAAACTAATGCGTTCAGGATCAACGAACCGACAAGCCGCGTTATAACCCCCAAGGTCATAAAAGCCTACTATGACGCTGCGGGTGATTTCGTGGAGGCAGTCAGTCTTTTTGAAAGTTGGCACCAGCAGAAAATGACCCCATAAGCTTCCATACTGCCTCCTGCGCGCCAGGGCCGAATTTATCTATGATGCAAACCACAATCCTGCAGACTACGGAGAAAACCTAGGGCGGGGTGCGCATAAAGCTTGACCAGTATGCGCCCTCTTCTCATATACGTTAATAGCAACCGCCTGTGAGGTTCTTGCCCGACGAATAGTTCACATGGTTCCAGATGACACGCTCAACGAACTCGTATCAACGCGTTTCCAACACATTCAAGTTGACGGGGACAAGAGTGATATGTGTAGTGCCTTGGAAATGGCTATTGACACGCATTGGTTTGTTAATCTATAAAAAGCTTCGTCTGTTCTATTCATGGTTAACGAAACTAGCACAATTTTTCTTTCATCAACGGAGGCTCAAGATGGTACATATGTCATTCTCAACCTTTCTGTCTTGTACTAACTAGAGTATCAGTGGTCAACTTGTTGTGGCGTGGGGACATCATCCAGCAGAACAACGTCAACCACGACATAGAATGTCGGCTTATTACTCTGCGTTCTTTTGTGTGGTTTTAACTGGGCCTAGATGTCCAATACTCGGATACTCGGGCCACCGAGTCATTCTTTGAGCGCTTGGATCCTTCACGCATGTCCGTACCTCGGTCAGTTCCATGCTTCTGCTCTTCGCGTCTCTGAATTCAACTACAGATATCAAAATATCATCCGAATAGTTGTCTGGTTGTTTTTCCTCTTCGTCTATTCCCAAGCCGGTAAACACATCCAAGTTTAAAGGGCTACAAACTCAATGAACTGCAGTTCGGCAACCTCTGGAGAGATCGCAAGGTCCACGAGAACTGGATGAATGGGAAGTGACACTATACACTTTGACATTAGCATTTCTATTCGAAGGTGTGTTTCTACTCGAAGCCCAGACATATGCTGAAATGGTCTCCAGATTTAAATCGGGTAAGTAGTCCCTCCACCAGAGAGTTTGCTGGTATTCAATACCTTATAGGTGTGGAAGCTTCTCAAATTCGCGACTTGGAAAGTTTTCAACTTTTGGACAATTGGTTAATCAGATTTTACCTCTCTTTTTATTTTGCTCAAACAAAGCCGCCTCCCATAGTCTCCCTCCTGACCGACGGAATCCTTACTGCCGCTTTTGTTCTTCGTATCATCGGCATGACAGGCCCCGAAAGCACAGCAGCACCTTGGCGATTAAAGAGCTTCCAAACCCTCAGTTTCGCTGCACCGTTGTTATGGATGAGTATGTCAACACTTGTCTTCGCATCCCATTATTCACATTCTGCAGAAATAATAACGATTTTTGACGGCTACAAATACGTCGGGATGATGCAGATTTGTGTTGCTCGGATGTTGCAGGAATCTGGAATCTTCTTCGCGGTTCGTTTCATGATCTGGTTAAGACTGAACCTTTTAAATGTGTCTTAGTTATTGTCCCTGCTCACGGTGGGCTTTGCTCAAGGTTTACATGCGCTGGATATATCCGATGGGTCCGAAGATGCACCAGAAACAGTAATGAAGTCTTTGTTGTTCTCCCACAAATTAATGTTCCCCAGATCGCCAACGTCCTGATACAAGCGCTATTGCAGTCGCCGAACTACGACCAATTCAAAGATTCGCCTATGGGTTTATGGCTCTACTATTTGTGCGTTTTCTTCTATAATCATCCCTGATTATACTGACCTCCTTCAGCTGGGGAATCATTACTTGTGCGTGAAACGATCAAATAGCACGGACCGTTTTTAACATTATTCAGGTCTCATCCTCCTTAACATACTCATCTCGCTGTTCTCTTCCGCCTATTCTGATGTCGTGGACGATGCAGAGGCCCAATACCTAGCTTTCTTCGCCAGCAAAACGATTGGAATGGTTCGAGCACCGGACTCGTACGTCTACCCTGCGCCATTCAACCTCATCGAGGTGTTTATCGTCTCGCCATTCGAGTAAGGCACCGCGGTTCTTTTTGATGATGCTGATCTCTTCTGCAGACTAGTCCTCAGCCAGCACAGCTACGCCACGCTCAACCGCTACGTTATGGGCTTCATCTTTTTCTTCCCGCTCACCATTATCGCCTTCTACGAAGCTGTTCGGGGCGATGCAGACAAGCACGTGTGGGTGAAGCGGTGGCTGACGGCCAACGATGAGGGTGCGGAGGACCGACCGGAGAATAGAGACCCACAGATGGACGACTACAGCGACAACAACGAGACAGCGCAAGACGCGAGGGTGATCAGCAAGGTTTCGTTCGACGATCTCGTCAAGGCATTTCCAAACACGAATCAGTCCAGCGAGGCCTTGATGTTGAAGGAGATTGCCGCACTCAAGAAACAGCTGGCGCAGGTGCTGGATTTGTTGGACGCGAAGACAGACACGAGTGGTAGTGCAATCAGCGCAAAGACTGAGACATGATCATGATAGCGTACAGACATTTCACGACAACTTAGGAGGAATGGACCTTTTGAAAAATGGACAACAACTTATTAATCCGGTCAATGTGTGAAGGTGAAAAAAAATACAGTGTGTAACATAAAGCGCAGAGTCCCGTCCTTCCACATCATGCTCCCCCCACTCAAAACATATTCGCCAGACTTTTAGCAGCCTCACGGGCATCCAACCGAGGGCGTTGTGGTGGCTGCCGGACCGAAGCAGACACCACAGTGGGCGTGGCCTGACCGAGCGGGTCAAGTTCATTCCGCAGAACATGATTCACTCCATGCACTGTATTCCGGCCATTGACTGGCCCGCCAAGAGGGGGAGTCGTGCAGCGGAGATGCTGTGCTTGTCCGCGAAAAGGTGCTCGGGCCGACGCCCGCGCCGAGTAACGGATCAACGGACTGTCCAAAGGTGGAGGAAGGCGTCGGCGTCAGCGGCGAAGGAACGAGAGGGGAAGATGCCGAAATCGAAGCAGACAGCGGCGAGGGCGGGACCACCGCTGAGGTTGGCGTTTTGATAAACATGGATTTCGAGCCGTCGACCAGCCGCCCGCCAAGCGGTGGCCCATTGCTGCTCGCGGTTGGCGTTTGAGATTGTTTTGGAGAGGGTGGAACTGACGAAGACCCAGTCGGGGGTGACTGGCGGGCAAACGAGGACACGGAGGGTGATGGGCTTGGTTGCAAAGAGGATTGAGTGGACGAGGGGGTAAGTGGGTCCCGACTTCGATCGTAGATGGCTTGTGTCGACGAAGCAGAGGGAGGACCAGGAGTGGGTGCGGGTGTTTGGTGACCCAGCGGGTTTGCTAATGATTGACTGAATGATTGGAACGGTGCTCTTTGTTGTGGTGTTTGGATGTGAGGTGGTAGTGGTTGAGTGCCTGGGGCAAAGCGGGAGCCATTCGTTGCCGGGGCAGGCGGTGGAAGAGAAGGAACAGCTTTTGGCTCGGGCGGGGGTGGAGTCGGTTTTAGTGATTCTTCCAAACCGGGAATAACAGGTGGTTTGGGGACTCCATTTGCTGGTGGCACCCATTTGTCCGCTGCGGTAGCCACATCGGCACGCAATGCCTCCAACTCACGGAGAAGTTGTCGTTCATACATAATCGAGGACCGCGTATGCTCGATTAATGCTGTCGTAATGTCGTCGTTGGCGAAGCGGTTGTGTGTCTGCAATGCTTGGTGGAGGTTTTGCGAAATGCCCTGTGCACGACGAGCCAATGTTTGCTCATATTTGTCAGCCTCCTCCATCTCTTCTAGCGCTTCATCAACTCGTTCAGGGCGGATATTTGAGCTCGCTTTAAGACGCTCAATTTGTCGGCGTTTAGAAATCGTCGTTTTTACGGCAGCCTGGTACTCTTCCAACACACCCGTCCTCATAAGCAGGGTCTCTTTAGCAGAACGCGCGTTCATTCCCTGATAACCCAACGAGTCCCCAATAATGACACACTCGCTGATGGCCTGCGCCTGGTCGAGATCAGCAAGACTATGCCAAGCACGTCCAATCTTGCGGAATGCATTTCCAAGCGGAGGATGCGCCTCGGTGGTCGCCACATTGATGAGTTTATTGCCCATTTCAGCATGCGCCACAGCCAGTGCTATAAACGTTGAGTATCTGAGAGAGAAAGGAAAAAAAATAACAACTCACATTTCCGTGAAATAGACAGCTTGTCCACCGCCTTTGCCGTGTCGAAAAACTGGCCCTCCAACTTTGTCAACTCGAATCGTGCCCGCTGCAAATCCTCGTCTTCATCTGGCACCCCTCTCCGCATGATGCCGAACCCAGAGCTGCCCTTCCTCCTCGGTTTCGGTGTCGGCTGGTAGCCAAAATCATTCTCAATAAACGACCGCAGGTCTTCGTCGGTGATCAGGATTGGGTCCTCTGACACGCGCGCAATCCACCGCTGCAGCATGATCTTCACCAGCCGGTCGTCCTCCTCGTCAGTCGGGGCAGAAGTCTGCGCCAAGGGGAGGGCGGGAATAATAGTCTGGGGGTTGCTGGTCACGAGCGCATCGTACAACTGCTGGAACTCGAGGTACGAGCGAGAGACATTCCGATATGTCGTGCCCGTGAAATTCGACAAGTTTGTCTGCAAGTTTGAGATGGTACATAAGCGAGAAGGGGAGGGCACATCCACACACCTGAGCATCAAGCTTGAGCAGAATGTCTCTTCGATTTCGATCCAGACCCGTAATCCGAACACGCAAATATGGTTCTGGCTTCTCGTAGTTGTCGCCGTTTGAGCTGACCGCCTCCCGCGGAGAGATGAGCCCAGACTCGGGCTGGCCATAGATTTGCGGCTCCTTCCCAAACGGACCCAGAGTGGGACCCTTGTCAGGTGTTGGCGGATTCGGGGTTGAGGCTCGGCGGAGGCCTTCGAGCAGCGGTGAGTTGGGAGTATGGGGAGTTGTCGGCCACGGGGGCCGGATATCGTCCCCAAAACCATTGGCCGGGTTAAGCGGGTCGTCAAACATGGCCGTTCGCTGTGCGCCGTGCTTCGGAATGGTCACATGTCACGCTGCGGAGACCGAAAAAATATAGAAGCTTGTAAAATAATACGCGAAAGGTATGGATAAATTCGTAAAGCTTCGTACAGACAGATAGATAGCGTGCTGGGTGTCCATTATACCATACAGTCCAATGTGAGATGCCAGAACAGAAAATGTGCTACAAATTTGGAGGCAAGCTTCAAGGCGAAGCGCAGTCTGGAATCTTGACATTCTTCAGAGTTCGGCTGGAAAGGTTATCAGTGACTGGTCAAAACTCTTAAAGGACAGCTCACTCAGCGTTGAACAAGCCCCACCAGCCCTCGACACCACCGAATTGGACATCCTTCCAGCCTTCGTCAAAGTACTCAAAGAAGAAGTATCCGACATTGTTCTTGTTGGCTTGACAGACGAAGGTGTCCAGGAAGATCTGCAGGTTGTCCACTGAAGCTAGCGATTTGCCATCCGACTCCGCCTCTTTCGAAGACGATTTGGTGGGCCATCCTGTTTCAGCGATGTACATTGGTGGTTTGTTGGGCAGAGCGTTGGCAGGCGCTACATTCGTCGTCGCGAAAAAGTCGAATGTCCATGCTGCAGCGTCTTGCACAGCTTGAGATGCGAACCAAGGGTGAACCTGAAGCAAGTCAGAGATAGCGAACAGAATGAAAGATCAACAACATACGTTAGCCATGCCATAGTCCACAGCCGCTAGTATTTTGTTGTTGAAATACGAGCCAGCGTCTGCGTTGCCGACCGGGATCTTGAGACCCAAGCCACTAACCATTGAACGGGCGTCCGAAATATTGGTAAGAAGGAGGTCGGCGCCGGCATTTCCGACAGCACCATTGGGGTCCTGTGTCGTTCCACCGTTGTCCCCTAGATAGCTAAACAAGACAGGTGGTGAGCTAGGGACATGACAGCGACATGCACGACCAACTTGAGGATGAACTCGTTTCCAACTGTCAGGCCTAGAACATGATCCGTTCCGTAGGTTTGCAACGCAGACTTGATAATGTCTCTTTGGCGCACATATGCGGCGCCAGCGTCGCTGGGAATGGGGTAGATACCGAGGTAGACCGACATGTCGACTTTGGTTTGCTTGATTGCCTCGAGGACAAGTGCGGACTGATTGCAGTCTGTACCAGTGTTGTAGCTCCCGAAAATACAAAAGAGGCAGGCTTACCAGCACCGTACAGTCGGATCCGAGTCGTCAGTTGGGACAACAACTATAACCCAGGTCAGTCCAGACGAGCGCTTTGCAGGTGCCGAACATACTTGGATGTCGGTGATAACATCCGCTAAGTATAGATGAATTTTATAGGTACAAGGGCACCATAAACGAGCGCACCCAGCGAGTTGTTGCAAGTTGGCAATTGCGAGCCGTACGGCGTGTAGGCCATGGCATAAAAAGACTTCTTCAGCGCCGGGTTCTTGACAAAGGTGCTTGGGTCATTCGGGTCCGTTTGCGGGACAACGCCCGAGCTGCTGCTGGCCCCATTCGAGTTAGAGTTCGTCGCGGCAGATTTAGGCGAGCCACTACGGCTTTTGGCGACCCCTACACCCACGCCGACACCGATCGCAACGAGAACAATGATACCGACAACAGAGCCAATGGCCTAAACAGACAAGTCAGCGACGGACACAGGGACCAACGACGCGTACAATCCACTTTGAGCGCTTGTTCTTCTGTGCCTGTTGGTTGAAGTAGCTGCCGTAGCCGCTGTTGTAGCCGCCATCGTTGCCGTTGTTGTTGTTAATGCTGCTATATGATGCAGGCTCAACAGATTGATATCGGTAGTCCGCCATGGTGGTCGTGGCGTCCCCAGTCAGTCTGTCAGAGGCAGGAGGGAAGAAGAGGGAAGAGGAAAGAGCAGAAACGGGGTTGCTCAACCGATCATCGACACAGCTTCTCGTCACGCTGCTAAAATTATCGGGAACCCTGTGCTAAGCAACAGGGTGAGTTTGGGCTAACTTTAGTTTTTCGAGTTCATTCAAAATCGTCTGAATTGAACAACAAGAAATCTGGCGCCTGCTCAAGCACTCGAATTACAGGTCATATATACTCGTGTCCGACCAAACTACCACGCCGCGGCCACCGATTATGAGACTATTATTTCCTTGAAAACTTGAATTTATCGTGGATATTTTCGAGTCGCAGGGCAGTTCTGGCCTCTAGGGGAGGAAAGAAGAGGCATGAAAAGAAGGGCAACAAAACTTGGGTATCGCAATCTGGAGTCTTCTCGCTATTGATATTTCTGGAAACCAGGCGCTTTCGCCGCCGAATTCCGCTTCAAGTTGCCTAACGAGGGCGACAAGTGGTACTCCTCATCGAGTGGCTTCTTGAATGCAAAACCAGCAAAGGTACCAGACAGGGTTGGCTGGCTTGAGCGAAATCCTTTAAGTTCACGATATGACCGTCGACAGTCAGAAAAGTGCTGGGTCATGGCCCCTCCGCTTGGGAAGTGTGTATCGTTGTCCCAAGGCGGGTTGATCGTGGTTGTGGCTGTCAGCGACAGGAAAACGAAAGAGACGGACCTCCTCCACCGAGCAAGTGTCTCAGCAAAGCTTCAGAAACGAGCTCATCCGAGTCGTGCAACTCAGAGATTTCACCTCTGACAATGTCTTCAAGTTCCACCAGCTTTGTCGTCTCCAGATTCGGGTCTTCGCCAAAGATGGCGACGAGTATTAGGATCCGTTATTCAGGGTAGACCGAGGTGCCGGCCGCAGCACCGGGAGTACTTGTACATATTACTTGGGGTTGGGGGACTGGGGTCGCCAATGCACCATCTTGAACTTGAAAGTGGCCTTCTTGCCTTGCCTCTTTTTGACAGACCCTTTCGTGGCGGTCACGGTCGCAAACTCCCGAATAGCATTCATTTGGACACCGAGATCATGATAGATTTTGCAGTCCGTCGATGCCTATGACAAGCTTGCTTGTCTGCTGCAGCTGGCTATCAAGCCACGGTGATCATGCACTCAAGAGCTCTCGGACCCGATACATTCCCTACGTGGACAAGAGAGCCCCCACCACAAGATCAGACCCCCGGCCACCAACCAGTGCACATTCTTGCCGTGCCAATACCACTGTTAGCCTAACCGTGAGCGCGAGGGCAGTAACCGGTTGGCGGAGCGCGGCCACCGTTTGGGCCACTTGCAAGAGCCCAATGGCGGGAGGGGGTTCATACATGGGAATGGCCGAGTCGCAGCCGGCTTGTACCGGTGGACCGGTAATTTCAGGAAGATGCTGGGCGGTGTAGCTAGACTCGAGCGGTCTGGCTTGCCGTTGGGTTGGGCTTGCCGTTGGGTTGAACCAAGTGAGTGCATCATCAGCGTGTGAGCGAAAAGCTGTCGTCCCGAGTCTTTGATGGATCTGATTATCAATCAAGATCTGATGATAGCCCGGGCGCGTTTTCCCATCCAGGCTGGGGCGCGCGACGAGACCAAGGTATTCACTGGCACTGGTCTTGCTGCCATGCTGGTCTTTCGTCACATCAGTTTTCTACTACAATGACTGAGGTATGCGCTCTACATTGCATTATATTTCACCCACTATTACTGTAGCAGTCCTGCAGCAATTGCAACAATGCCAACAAATCGCACATATGGAGTTGACCTATCAATGATTATGATTTTTTTGTGCTCTACCAGAAAGACGGCAATAGAAAAAGGAAAACGGAAACGGCGCACACTTGACACTGTCCTCGTGCTTCCTATGCAGCCTCCTCCTCCTCTTCCTTTGTCTTCAGGCCATCCGCCGGCCCGGGATCCGGTCCTATTGCCGGCTCGGCGACCGTGTCCACCGTAACACTTTCCATCCGCGGGCGCTTCCGCGGAGCGACGTCGCGATCTCCGTCCTGCTCCTGCTCCTGCTCCAGCTCCAGCTCCGCCCTTGTTCGCTTCAGCGACCCGATCGCGGCTAGCGGCGGGGAAGTCGCCGTCGTCGTCGTCGGTGGCGGTGTTCCGCGCCGGCGCCGGACCGATGCCGACAATTGCCAAAGATCGAACCCGGTGGCATCCCGACGCCGCCCAAATTGTGCCGAACCAAAGTGTGCTGAACCTGGCCGCACTGGTGTTTGGAGGCCGAGGCTCGGGATCTGTGGCCCGGGGCGCGCTTCTGGCTGGGTCGATATCCGGAGCGCCGGCAGCGCTTTGTGCTGGCGTTGCTGGTGTTGCGCTGGTGGTTGTGCGGGCACCACGTGCTGTTGTTTCTGCTGCGCCTCCGGATCTGCCCTGCCGGCCGGGGGCTCCGACTCCGAGTCGGCACCGTCACGCGGCCCGGGCCTGCAACGCCGCCATCGTCGTCGGGAACGGTAAGTATTTGTGTCTGCTGCTGCTGAGCAGGCCTTTACTCGTTGTTATTGGGGTGCCCGCATATTAATACTAGTACTTATATCTGTACCCGACTGCGGAGTGGACCGCTACTGACGCTTCCGCTCCGTATTCACTGTTGACAGAAAGCTCATTGACAACCGTCACTGTACTCTCGTTAACGTTACTCATCCAAAAATACAAGAAACACGATAGCAATGCAATCTAGTAGAACCCTATACTAGTACCAAAAGATATGCAGACGTATGTACAGTACGATGCGACGAGCCAAGAAAACGCTACATTTTTAGATGCAGGAGATGATGCGGCAGAAAGCAGAGAGAATGGAATAGAGAAAACATCATTCGTCTTCATCGCTGTCGTCCGCGCTGTCCCTTAAACTCGTCCACGCCGCAGGATGCTCCCCCCTCACAATGTGTCACCCGCACCTCAAGCGACTCTGCTGCAAACGACGGCGGCGGCGGGTCACCCACCACCTCTGCGCGGCGTCTGTTGAGTAGTCAGCACACAATTACCAATCAAAGGCTCAGCACACACCTGCAAAACCGACAGACCCACCCCTCGTCAAACATACTCCTCACACAGTCCTCCTTCGTCCGCTTCCCGTCCTCGTCCACCTCCACAAACTCGTCCTCGTCGTCCTCCACCACCGGCCCCGCCAGAAGCACCGGGATCGCCCGCTCCTCCTGCTTCAGCGCATACGCCGGCCCCGGCCCGGGAACCGGTATCGCCGGCTCGGCCAGCATCTCCTGCTTCACGCGCACCTCGTCCTCCTCGTCGATCATGTCTACCCGCGGCCGCTTCCGCATTTCCGGATCAATATCCCGCTCCAGATCCACACTCGTGCGCTTTCAGCGACCCCGTCGTCGTTGGCGGCGGGGAAGTCGTTGTCGGCGGCGGCGTTCCCGGCCCGGCCGATCCCGGCGCAGAAAGTGGTCCAGGTTGCGGCAGATCGTCGGACTGGGGCGAAGGGATGTGTTGCTGGAGAGGATCTGTGGTGGTACCATTAGATCCCAGCCTGCTCGGTCGCACGTCGACTGGTGCCGATTGTGTCGGCGTTTGGACGTGAACTTGGGCTTGTACTGGTAGCATCGCTTGCGGATGAGGTCGCGGTTGTAGTTGTGGTTGTGGCTGTATTTGCACTTGTGCCTGAGCGGACACAGACGGGGGTCGCCCCAGCCCCGGCCCCATCGGCGTTTCTTGTTCCTGCTGTTGCTGTACCTGGTCCTGCAATTGCTGCTGCGGAATTTGCGCGAGTGTTTGCGGTGCTCCCTCTAACTGCGCTGTTTCAACCGATTGCACCTCTCCCTCATCTCCGCGCCCCCGAATAGCAAGATCGGCCGTCTCGCCTTCCCGCTCTGTCTCCACCACTGGCAACGGCAACGCCTCCCCGCCACTGACTGCAGGCAACGACGCGTTACGCTCCATCGTCTCGGCCCGGGACGGGAGCCCGTCGATCGCAAGCGGGGGTGGTTGGTGTGGAGATTGGAGTTGGGGTGGTATTTCTGGCGGTTGGGTTCGAGGTAATACTCGTGGCACCGGCATCGGCATCGGCTGCGGTTGCGGTTGTACTTGCACTCGCACCTGGACCTGCCCGGGCGCAGACGGCGGGCGCACCGGGATCCGGACCGGCTCCGGCCGCTGTTGATGTGGTATTTCTACCTGCTGCTGTATCGGAATTTGCACCTGTTGTTGTGCCATCGGGATCTGCACTTGTTGTGGTATTTGCACTTGTTGTTGTTGCAGTGCCTGAACCTGCGCCGCGTCAACCGCCACCGGCCCCAACGCACCCGCAATCGACGGCTGACTCGGCCGCTGCGGGATCAGCGCGACGGGGCTGGCGAACATGCCTTGCAGCATTGCTGTTGGCGAGGGCGACTGTGTTTGTCCTTGTTGTTGCTGCGAAAGACGGCTGATGGCGGGTGGGAGGAACGCGGTCTGGGGGCTGCTGGTTGCTATGCGGAGCGGCGGGTGTTGTTGGAGTTGGTGCTGGGGAGGATACTGAAGCTGCTGCACCCGCCCGTGGTTGTTATATATCTGTGCCGGCTGTTGCGGGTAGAGAACAACAGAAGGGGATGGGATCGATGGTGAAGACGCGGGGAGGCGAACTGGACGCTATGTCCGTCTGATCTTCTCTGTAAATGCTGTTGCTGTTGGAGCAGTTGTTGTTGTTGTGCAAGCTGCTGCTGCGGGTAGGGAACAGAAGGGGACGGAATCGACGGTGAAGAAGCGGGGGAAGAGGCGAACTGGACGCTATGTCCGTCCGATCTCCGTCGTAGATGCTGCTGCTGCTGTTGATGCTGTTGGTAGAGAACAGAAGAAGACGGAATCGACGGCGAAGAGGCAGGGGAAGAGGCGAACTGGACATTATGTCCTTCCGATCTCCGTCGCAAATGCTGCTGCTGCCTCGACATAGGCCAGCTTTTCGCGCATGCCGGGTGCGTAGCCCAGCTCGTGCAGGCAGCCGTTCGCCGTCGCACTCAGCACCCGCACAACCGCGTCCCGTCTCCGCGCCCGGATCGCCGCCGCCAGCCCCGCCCACGCCTCGTTCGCAACTGGGTCTCTGGTGGGTACACGGGTCAGCCATAACGTTAGGAGGGCAGATCCACGCACCCATCTAGCTGGGCCATCCCCACGTCTGTGCGCGTCCCGGCCATCGAAAAGAAGCGGCGGCACAGCCCCGGCCCGGTGCCCGGCCACCTCCATCGTTGGCTCAATTCCTTGTCGCGGGGCCTGTTTAACAGCTGCAAGTATTGGTTAGCACGACAAATGGTAAGATAATGTCATACCTTGTCTTCACGCTACATAACTGGCCACAGGGCGGGCCAAAGACAACGACAACTGGAATTAAAACTTAGTATAAGCATCAATAAGCAAAGGTCAGAACTCACCGACACTACTGCCTGGCTCTTCAGCGAACCACACGCCGCACTGGCCTCGTTTTGAACGCGGCGGACGTCAGGGTCGACGGTGATCGATCGATCACACGTGACGCCGCCGGCGTCTCTTCCTTCTCCAACCAAACCACCACCCACTTTCCTCAAGCCATCTCCTTCCGCTCTCGGCCCCCGCCCTGCCTCAGTCACAAGTACACTACAAGCCGCAGCTCGGCCAGCAAGACTACTAGGTATCTACTGCCGCCAACTCCAACTCGGCCCAGCGGCAAGCTCTGGCTCTCCCAAATCGAACTCCGGGTGCCGTTTATCGCTAAATCTGGCCGTTTAATGGGCCTGCTCCAAACCGGCCTCCCGCCAATGTGTCAGGGCCGCGCGGCGCCTACAATAACGGCGCAAACGGAGCAGTAAACGGCAAGCACGCACCTCAAGGACGGCAACATCTTCCCAAAGTCGAAATCGCTATACATCAAGGTCAGCATCTTATATTCTAAGCCGCGAGAACGCCTACCTTGACGACAAGAGCACCATATTCAACAGGCCTGTTAACCACACAACTGCAACGACATCAGTGAACGCGAAAACAATCAGCACGAAAAATGACAACTCGGCGCCACCTTCAAGTTCCGCGCCAGCCCCAGTCTGACGCGTTAGTGTTGCCAAAGGTCAAGCACGAACACCCCCAAAAGCAGTCTGCTCAGCAAACACATCTGCAACAATGGTCAGCGACGGCGAGGAGGAACGAGGAGCGGGGAACGGTACCGATGGAGACCCCCGGGTTGGTGACTGCGGTAGCAAGTGAGCATAAATCTCAGTGCGAGCAAACGACTTACTGAGAAAGGACAACGCAATTGCGCAGGGTGCTTGACCGTCACGCGCGGGGTCTACGAGAAGGTCAGCGACGCCGGACACCAACAACTTGAACGAGAACAACGGCGGCAATAGATCAAGGCCCCGACTTGGCAACGCAAGCGCGCGGCTCCAAGACAAGTAACGGACCACGCACTCGACGACAACAACGGGGGCTACAGGAGATGGTCAGCAAAAGGGTTATCCAGAAGTACAACCCCGACCGGCAAGCGCCGAGAACGACAGCTCGAGTCGAAGGGTCAGCAACTGACATTGGAGTCAGCGTCGATCGCAAACATGTCCGCGCAGTGGGGAGAGAAAACGAGTCGGTGGGCTGTAAATTGGTCAGTGTTCACTCCGAGAGCAAGTTGAAACTGACCAACATATTAGTGGCGCGTTCTTGCCTAACGGGTCACTGACAACGACGAGGGCTGCGCGAAATCGTTAGCAAACGGGCATCAAGAACGACCAACATACCGAGCGCTGAGGGTGTGGAGATGGTGAGATTATCTCGTTCTGGAAGGAACAGGAACTGAGATTTTGGTCAGCGTGTTGATCGCAAGCACGACACGTACCTACAGTCGGCGCGGCACAAGTTGAAGGACTGTGAAATGGTGAGTGTTTGGTTTGGGAGGAAGGCAAGACTGACTGAGATGAAGGAGGAGGCGACGACGGGAGCTATGAAATGGTCAGCGGTGGGGGAGTTGATGTAGGTATATGGGTCAACGGTCAACAGCAGTTGTAACGGGTAGGTAGAATGCAATGAAGAATTGAGTGCGGCATAATGGTGAGGAGAGAGTGAATAAGTAGGAGAGAGAGGTAGCGAGCAGGGTAACTTGAAGATGAAAGTGTAAGGGGATGGCGACGACGGCGCAAAGTAAACCAAGACGTGGTAGGAGGGAAAGAAAGAGCTGGGGCGAAAGTCAACATGCGTGACCTCTTATAGAAGCGTGCGGGACGGAAATAACGCGCTCAAGAATCGCGCAACGGATCCACCTGTCAAGTGGACTTAGCGCGGAGGCTTCGATTGTAACGACAACACGAGAATCACTATACGTGTCAACAAAGATTTTCAAAGATCGTACGAGGAGGGCGTTGTGCGGCCAATCGGAAGCCGTGGTCGGGTTCGAATGGTCTATTTATATCTTTCAGCGTCCTTAATCGGCTACCGCTGACATCACCTGTTGATTCGATGCACAAACATGAGTTTCTTGTTTTGCGGCATTTTGCTTTACATCGCAACGGTCGATAAGGCGCGGATAGTGCGGGTTGGTTCCGCGGAACCAGTTTGCGAAACTTATCTGAATTAGGCTAAACGGAACATGGCGCGGGTGTTGAACCCAGGCCGTACCGAGGCAATTGCCTCATTTAGCGTTGGATGTCAGTGGTGATGCGGAGAGAAAACTGAGCGCCGAGTGGTACATGGCCTACGGGAAAATTTGGCATGTTGCGCGGCGAAAACGCGGCATGTTCACAGGCAAATAGTGGTAATTTGGAGCAAAAAGCAAAATGGGATGCTGTCCCAGGAAAAGAGGAGGGCGGAAGGCAGCAGTGCGAAAACTAGTACAGTAGCCAGCCAACTGAGCAAGGAGAACTCTGGCAGCCAAGTCAGACGGGCTTACATGGCATCACCCCGAGGCCTGTCAGTCACACTGCTGCTTCTGTTCCGCCTCAACAACGAAGAACCTTTTGCGAACCGCACAAGCGCCACAAGCTCCACCAGCCGTGTTCGCTTCCCTGATACTTCTTAACTTCATTTCGGCCTGGTTGGGGAAGGTTCAGGTGGGTCCAAATTTATAATTAGCTTCCAATTTGGTGCTTGTTGCCCATGAGCTCAGGATTCCCGTGGCATCACTAGTACACTGGTACCTCACCCAAGTGCAGCTCTCAAAAAGCAGATATCTTGCTATGTGCACTCAAGTGATACATCACCGTGGTCACACTCTGATGGCCGGCGCCGAAGCTTCCTCCCGACCGCCACCTGCCAGCGCGTGAATCGGAGACATGCGCTAGTCTTCCTCCGCACTAACCTGCAAACACCACGCAATACTCGCTTCAAGGCTTCCAGTCCGCTCTAAGTCCATAAGAAGTCGTCAACGCGCGTGATCAGGAAGCTCGTCAACAAAGTCACGCTGCTGTATCTTGGTTGTCTCTGCTCCACCACCTCGTCCGCACTCACCGTCGCCTATGCGCTCCACTTTGAGCTCGTCGCTGCCGCCACTTTCCTTGTAGGTCTGCTCTTGTTGTGCCTTGCAGATGCTGACTGCAATCTCTACAGCTCTTTTTCCCCGGAGCCGACCGCAACTTGGGCGACCACTCTCTGACGCGACCCCCACAACGTTTCAATACCCAGCGACAATCCTCTGCTCGCGTTCAAGCATCTCTCCCAGGTGTGTGTTGTTCTTCATCCTCTTTCTCGGCTTTGCTGACATCACTTGCAGATTTTCAAGTTCCCTCGTGCTGCGGCACGTCGCTGAATGCTACCCAAGGTGAGTCTTCACGCGTTCTTACCAATAGCATTTGACTCATTAACTTCTCGCTTCAAGCTGCGGCAGGCTTTCCGGGCACCGCTGACAGCGCTGTCTGAGTCTTGTGGCTCGGTCGCAAGCATCAACGTGCTCCGGGCATGGTTTCGACTTCTCCCGATGGATCCCAATTATCTTTGATTGGTGTTGGGCGGTCATAAAGGTTCGTGTTCATTTTCCTGTTTTTTTTTTGCCCTTGTTGATCTTAATATCATTAAGACTTGCATCGCCAACGGCTTCAAGTGTCAGCCCGCAGTGCTCATTCTCGGCGACCACCTCCTCTCTGTGCTCGTCATCGCTGCTGGTAAGTTTGCTCCCCATCATACATTGCACTAGCAGATGCTGACTGCAACGGCAGCTGCGTGCCCAGTCGCAACTTAAAGTTTCAACAGTTCAAGAGTCTCCTGAAGGTCCGTATTGCTTTTCTTTCCTTTCTGCTAACTTTGCTGACATCACCGGTAGAATTTGGCGATGGCCTTTGTGCTTGTGTTGCTGGAGGCTGACGCGTCCTCTCGTGGTCCTGTCGCGCGCATGCTACGGGATTCGGCACCGTTCTCGTGTCTTGCTGACTCCCGCCCCTGCGCCCCGTCAAGCGAAATCCGAGCCTCGGCGGTCGATTACGTAAGCGGTTCGAGCCTCACACAAAACACGAATAAAGTTGACTTTTTTTCCCAGGATTTTTGCCCGCCGGAGGCACATACCGCCCCTACGACAACGAATCGGATGCAGGGGCTGTTTCCCCCGCACTCCCTTCCAGTTGCGCGGGCCTTCATCAGGTCAAATCCGGGCATCACCAGTCCATTACGTAAGCGTTTCGAGCCCCACCAGAAACACGAATAAAAGTTGACTTTTTTTCCAGGATTTTGACCCGCCGGAGGCACATACCGCCCTAGCACAAAGCTGCTTATGCTAGAGCTGTTGCTCTAGCACCCCACTATTGTGAGTTTACTTCCTCCTGTGCTCTTTGATTCAAACTGATGTTCAATCTCAGGCTAGTACCATGCCGCCCCGGAGGCCACGCATCATTGCGGCTCACTGTTGCCACGGCTTGCAACGCGTCCTGGCCATCTCTCGGCTAGTTTTGATGAATCCTCGGTGTACGTTCATCAACACGTTTGTTGTTTGCAACACTCACCTTTTTACAGGTTCCGAGCGCAAAACCTGCCTTCCGACTGCGTGCTAGCCGTCAACGCCGAGCCCCTCCTCACGCCGAACTCCCTCCGCCGCCATCAACCATTTGGCAAGCCGCTCGGCGGTTCCACGGCCTCGGTGTCAGCTGCAGTCATGCCGGCTTCTCGATCGCGTGTTTGCAAACTTTGCGTGCGATTCTGAAATGCTCTCTGGTGAGCTTTCAATGCTCTTTTGTTTACTTCAACAGTCACTTTTTTCCAGCTTCTGGCCGCTAAAGGCAAGCGCTACGGCCCGGGCAGCAACGTCGGCGTTGCATCCAAGCCCGTTCCTACGGCCACTCGGCCGAGTTTGATGGTATTCCAAGGTACACTTTTGACTCACTTTTTTTGCAATTCAGGACTGGCTTTTTCTCCAGGTCCTGCCGCCGGAGGCGTGTGTGCCGCCCGGCCAGCAATTTCCCGGCTGTGTGTTGATCACACATGCTGTTTTGATGGTATTTCAAGGTGCGCTTTTGGTCCACTTTTTCACGATTCAAGACTCACTTTTTTCCAGGGTCTTGCCGCCGGAGGCGCAAGTAACGCCCTGGCTTGGCAACTGGTCGGCTGTGTGTTGGCCACACATGCTGGCCCGCGCGGACTTGGCGTTAGGAGTGGGCTGGTTGCGGGATCACGTTGGACCTACGTGTTAGGAGTGGACGTGTTGCGACGCGTAGGACTTGGAAATGCCATCAAACGCGTCGCGACGCGTCGTAAATTAGCGTGTCCCGATGTACTCTTTAAATAGACAATACAGAAATTTTGCACTCCTTCATGCCTGCCCGAGAACCCCTCCGAAATGCCCTGAAAACACTGTTAAACCCCCAAAAATCTCCCGCTACTCGACGCACAAAGTCCTCAGGTGACCTTGTTGATAGGTCCGTGCGCGCCCCAGAGCAGTATATTAGAATGGCCTTGGCCTCGCGCGACTTGGCGAGCGAGCGCGACTTAGCGTTGGGGCGAGACAGCTAAAGGGGGGATAACAGATGACTAAGCAAGATATATGTACAGTGCAAGACTTTTCGATGCGAGAGAATGGAATACAGAAAACATCACGGCTCGTCTTCATCGCTGTCGTCCGCGCTGTCCCTTAAACTCGTCCACGCCGCAGGATGCTCCCCCTCACAATGCGCCACCCGCACCTCAAGCGACTCTGCTGCAAACGACGGCGGCGGCGGGTCACCCACCACCTCTGCGCGGCGTCTGTTGAGTAGTCAGCACACAATTACCAATCAAAGGCTCAGCACACACCTGCAAAACCGACAGACCCACCCCTCGTCAAACATACTCCTCACACAGTCCTCCTTCGTCCGCTTCCCGTCCTCGTCCACCTCCACAAACTCGTCCTCGTCGTCCTCCACCACCGGCCCCGCCAGAAGCACCGGGATCGCCCGCTCCTCCTGCTTCAGCGCATACGCCGGCCCCGGCCCGGGAACCGGTATCGCCGGCTCGGCCAGCATCTCCTGCTTCACGCGCACCTCGTCCTCCTCGTCGATCATGTCTACCCGCGGCCGCTTCCGCATTTCCGGATCAATATCCCGCTCCAGATCCACACTCGTGCGCTTTCAGCGACCCCGTCGTCGTTGGCGGCGGGGAAGTCGTTGTCGGCGGCGGCGTTCCCGGCCCGGCCGATCCCGGCGCAGAAAGTGGTCCAGGTTGCGGCAGATCGTCGGACTGGGGCGAAGGGATGTGTTGCTGGAGAGGATCTGTGGTGGTACCATTAGATCCCAGCCTGCTCGGTCGCACGTCGACTGGTGCCGATTGTGTCGGCGTTTGGACGTGAACTTGGGCTTGTACTGGTAGCATCGCTTGCGGATGAGGTCGCGGTTGTAGTTGTGGTTGTGGCTGTATTTGCACTTGTGCCTGAGCGGACACAGACGGGGGTCGCCCCAGCCCCGGCCCCATCGGCGTTTCTTGTTCCTGCTGTTGCTGTACCTGGTCCTGCAATTGCTGCTGCGGAATTTGCGCGAGTGTTTGCGGTGCTCCCTCTAACTGCGCTGTTTCAACCGATTGCACCTCTCCCTCATCTCCGCGCCCCCGAATAGCAAGATCGGCCGTCTCGCCTTCCCGCTCTGTCTCCACCACTGGCAACGGCAACGCCTCCCCGCCACTGACTGCAGGCAACGACGCGTTACGCTCCATCGTCTCGGCCCGGGACGGGAGCCCGTCGATCGCAAGCGGGGGTGGTTGGTGTGGAGATTGGAGTTGGGGTGGTATTTCTGGCGGTTGGGTTCGAGGTAATACTCGTGGCACCGGCATCGGCATCGGCTGCGGTTGCGGTTGTACTTGCACTCGCACCTGGACCTGCCCGGGCGCAGACGGCGGGCGCACCGGGATCCGGACCGGCTCCGGCCGCTGTTGATGTGGTATTTCTACCTGCTGCTGTATCGGAATTTGCACCTGTTGTTGTGCCATCGGGATCTGCACTTGTTGTGGTATTTGCACTTGTTGTTGTTGCAGTGCCTGAACCTGCGCCGCGTCAACCGCCACCGGCCCCAACGCACCCGCAATCGACGGCTGACTCGGCCGCTGCGGGATCAGCGCGACGGGGCTGGCGAACATGCCTTGCAGCATTGCTGTTGGCGAGGGCGACTGTGTTTGTCCTTGTTGTTGCTGCGAAAGACGGCTGATGGCGGGTGGGAGGAACGCGGTCTGGGGGCTGCTGGTTGCTATGCGGAGCGGCGGGTGTTGTTGGAGTTGGTGCTGGGGAGGATACTGAAGCTGCTGCACCCGCCCGTGGTTGTTATATATCTGTGCCGGCTGTTGCGGGTAGAGAACAACAGAAGGGGATGGGATCGATGGTGAAGACGCGGGGGAGGCGAACTGGACGCTATGTCCGTCTGATCTTCTCTGTAAATGCTGTTGCTGTTGGAGCAGTTGTTGTTGTTGTGCAAGCTGCTGCTGCGGGTAGGGAACAGAAGGGGACGGAATCGACGGTGAAGAAGCGGGGGAAGAGGCGAACTGGACGCTATGTCCGTCCGATCTCCGTCGTAGATGCTGCTGCTGCTGTTGATGCTGTTGGTAGAGAACAGAAGAAGACGGAATCGACGGCGAAGAGGCAGGGGAAGAGGCGAACTGGACATTATGTCCTTCCGATCTCCGTCGCAAATGCTGCTGCTGCCTCGACATAGGCCAGCTTTTCGCGCATGCCGGGTGCGTAGCCCAGCTCGTGCAGGCAGCCGTTCGCCGTCGCACTCAGCACCCGCACAACCGCGTCCCGTCTCCGCGCCCGGATCGCCGCCGCCAGCCCCGCCCACGCCTCGTTCGCAACTGGGTCTCTGGTGGGTACACGGGTCAGCCATAACGTTAGGAGGGCAGATCCACGCACCCATCTAGCTGGGCCATCCCCACGTCTGTGCGCGTCCCGGCCATCGAAAAGAAGCGGCGGCACAGCCCCGGCCCGGTGCCCGGCCACCTCCATCGTTGGCTCAATTCCTTGTCGCGGGGCCTGTTTAACAGCTGCAAGTATTGGTTAGCACGACAAATGGTAAGATAATGTCATACCTTGTCTTCACGCTACATAACTGGCCACAGGGCGGGCCAAAGACAACGACAACTGGAATTAAAACTTAGTATAAGCATCAATAAGCAAAGGTCAGAACTCACCGACACTACTGCCTGGCTCTTCAGCGAACCACACGCCGCACTGGCCTCGTTTTGAACGCGGCGGACGTCAGGGTCGACGGTGATCGATCGATCACACGTGACGCCGCCGGCGTCTCTTCCTTCTCCAACCAAACCACCACCCACTTTCCTCAAGCCATCTCCTTCCGCTCTCGGCCCCCGCCCTGCCTCAGTCACAAGTACACTACAAGCCGCAGCTCGGCCAGCAAGACTACTAGGTATCTACTGCCGCCAACTCCAACTCGGCCCAGCGGCAAGCTCTGGCTCTCCCAAATCGAACTCCGGGTGCCGTTTATCGCTAAATCTGGCCGTTTAATGGGCCTGCTCCAAACCGGCCTCCCGCCAATGTGTCAGGGCCGCGCGGCGCCTACAATAACGGCGCAAACGGAGCAGTAAACGGCAAGCACGCACCTCAAGGACGGCAACATCTTCCCAAAGTCGAAATCGCTATACATCAAGGTCAGCATCTTATATTCTAAGCCGCGAGAACGCCTACCTTGACGACAAGAGCACCATATTCAACAGGCCTGTTAACCACACAACTGCAACGACATCAGTGAACGCGAAAACAATCAGCACGAAAAATGACAACTCGGCGCCACCTTCAAGTTCCGCGCCAGCCCCAGTCTGACGCGTTAGTGTTGCCAAAGGTCAAGCACGAACACCCCCAAAAGCAGTCTGCTCAGCAAACACATCTGCAACAATGGTCAGCGACGGCGAGGAGGAACGAGGAGCGGGGAACGGTACCGATGGAGACCCCCGGGTTGGTGACTGCGGTAGCAAGTGAGCATAAATCTCAGTGCGAGCAAACGACTTACTGAGAAAGGACAACGCAATTGCGCAGGGTGCTTGACCGTCACGCGCGGGGTCTACGAGAAGGTCAGCGACGCCGGACACCAACAACTTGAACGAGAACAACGGCGGCAATAGATCAAGGCCCCGACTTGGCAACGCAAGCGCGCGGCTCCAAGACAAGTAACGGACCACGCACTCGACGACAACAACGGGGGCTACAGGAGATGGTCAGCAAAAGGGTTATCCAGAAGTACAACCCCGACCGGCAAGCGCCGAGAACGACAGCTCGAGTCGAAGGGTCAGCAACTGACATTGGAGTCAGCGTCGATCGCAAACATGTCCGCGCAGTGGGGAGAGAAAACGAGTCGGTGGGCTGTAAATTGGTCAGTGTTCACTCCGAGAGCAAGTTGAAACTGACCAACATATTAGTGGCGCGTTCTTGCCTAACGGGTCACTGACAACGACGAGGGCTGCGCGAAATCGTTAGCAAACGGGCATCAAGAACGACCAACATACCGAGCGCTGAGGGTGTGGAGATGGTGAGATTATCTCGTTCTGGAAGGAACAGGAACTGAGATTTTGGTCAGCGTGTTGATCGCAAGCACGACACGTACCTACAGTCGGCGCGGCACAAGTTGAAGGACTGTGAAATGGTGAGTGTTTGGTTTGGGAGGAAGGCAAGACTGACTGAGATGAAGGAGGAGGCGACGACGGGAGCTATGAAATGGTCAGCGGTGGGGGAGTTGATGTAGGTATATGGGTCAACGGTCAACAGCAGTTGTAACGGGTAGGTAGAATGCAATGAAGAATTGAGTGCGGCATAATGGTGAGGAGAGAGTGAATAAGTAGGAGAGAGAGGTAGCGAGCAGGGTAACTTGAAGATGAAAGTGTAAGGGGATGGCGACGACGGCGCAAAGTAAACCAAGACGTGGTAGGAGGGAAAGAAAGAGCTGGGGCGAAAGTCAACATGCGTGACCTCTTATAGAAGCGTGCGGGACGGAAATAACGCGCTCAAGAATCGCGCAACGGATCCACCTGTCAAGTGGACTTAGCGCGGAGGCTTCGATTGTAACGACAACACGAGAATCACTATACGTGTCAACAAAGATTTTCAAAGATCGTACGAGGAGGGCGTTGTGCGGCCAATCGGAAGCCGTGGTCGGGTTCGAATGGTCTATTTATATCTTTCAGCGTCCTTAATCGGCTACCGCTGACATCACCTGTTGATTCGATGCACAAACATGAGTTTCTTGTTTTGCGGCATTTTGCTTTACATCGCAACGGTCGATAAGGCGCGGATAGTGCGGGTTGGTTCCGCGGAACCAGTTTGCGAAACTTATCTGAATTAGGCTAAACGGAACATGGCGCGGGTGTTGAACCCAGGCCGTACCGAGGCAATTGCCTCATTTAGCGTTGGATGTCAGTGGTGATGCGGAGAGAAAACTGAGCGCCGAGTGGTACATGGCCTACGGGAAAATTTGGCATGTTGCGCGGCGAAAACGCGGCATGTTCACAGGCAAATAGTGGTAATTTGGAGCAAAAAGCAAAATGGGATGCTGTCCCAGGAAAAGAGGAGGGCGGAAGGCAGCAGTGCGAAAACTAGTACAGTAGCCAGCCAACTGAGCAAGGAGAACTCTGGCAGCCAAGTCAGACGGGCTTACATGGCATCACCCCGAGGCCTGTCAGTCACACTGCTGCTTCTGTTCCGCCTCAACAACGAAGAACCTTTTGCGAACCGCACAAGCGCCACAAGCTCCACCAGCCGTGTTCGCTTCCCTGATACTTCTTAACTTCATTTCGGCCTGGTTGGGGAAGGTTCAGGTGGGTCCAAATTTATAATTAGCTTCCAATTTGGTGCTTGTTGCCCATGAGCTCAGGATTCCCGTGGCATCACTAGTACACTGGTACCTCACCCAAGTGCAGCTCTCAAAAAGCAGATATCTTGCTATGTGCACTCAAGTGATACATCACCGTGGTCACACTCTGATGGCCGGCGCCGAAGCTTCCTCCCGACCGCCACCTGCCAGCGCGTGAATCGGAGACATGCGCTAGTCTTCCTCCGCACTAACCTGCAAACACCACGCAATACTCGCTTCAAGGCTTCCAGTCCGCTCTAAGTCCATAAGAAGTCGTCAACGCGCGTGATCAGGAAGCTCGTCAACAAAGTCACGCTGCTGTATCTTGGTTGTCTCTGCTCCACCACCTCGTCCGCACTCACCGTCGCCTATGCGCTCCACTTTGAGCTCGTCGCTGCCGCCACTTTCCTTGTAGGTCTGCTCTTGTTGTGCCTTGCAGATGCTGACTGCAATCTCTACAGCTCTTTTTCCCCGGAGCCGACCGCAACTTGGGCGACCACTCTCTGACGCGACCCCCACAACGTTTCAATACCCAGCGACAATCCTCTGCTCGCGTTCAAGCATCTCTCCCAGGTGTGTGTTGTTCTTCATCCTCTTTCTCGGCTTTGCTGACATCACTTGCAGATTTTCAAGTTCCCTCGTGCTGCGGCACGTCGCTGAATGCTACCCAAGGTGAGTCTTCACGCGTTCTTACCAATAGCATTTGACTCATTAACTTCTCGCTTCAAGCTGCGGCAGGCTTTCCGGGCACCGCTGACAGCGCTGTCTGAGTCTTGTGGCTCGGTCGCAAGCATCAACGTGCTCCGGGCATGGTTTCGACTTCTCCCGATGGATCCCAATTATCTTTGATTGGTGTTGGGCGGTCATAAAGGTTCGTGTTCATTTTCCTGTTTTTTTTTGCCCTTGTTGATCTTAATATCATTAAGACTTGCATCGCCAACGGCTTCAAGTGTCAGCCCGCAGTGCTCATTCTCGGCGACCACCTCCTCTCTGTGCTCGTCATCGCTGCTGGTAAGTTTGCTCCCCATCATACATTGCACTAGCAGATGCTGACTGCAACGGCAGCTGCGTGCCCAGTCGCAACTTAAAGTTTCAACAGTTCAAGAGTCTCCTGAAGGTCCGTATTGCTTTTCTTTCCTTTCTGCTAACTTTGCTGACATCACCGGTAGAATTTGGCGATGGCCTTTGTGCTTGTGTTGCTGGAGGCTGACGCGTCCTCTCGTGGTCCTGTCGCGCGCATGCTACGGGATTCGGCACCGTTCTCGTGTCTTGCTGACTCCCGCCCCTGCGCCCCGTCAAGCGAAATCCGAGCCTCGGCGGTCGATTACGTAAGCGGTTCGAGCCTCACACAAAACACGAATAAAGTTGACTTTTTTTCCCAGGATTTTTGCCCGCCGGAGGCACATACCGCCCCTACGACAACGAATCGGATGCAGGGGCTGTTTCCCCCGCACTCCCTTCCAGTTGCGCGGGCCTTCATCAGGTCAAATCCGGGCATCACCAGTCCATTACGTAAGCGTTTCGAGCCCCACCAGAAACACGAATAAAAGTTGACTTTTTTTCCAGGATTTTGACCCGCCGGAGGCACATACCGCCCTAGCACAAAGCTGCTTATGCTAGAGCTGTTGCTCTAGCACCCCACTATTGTGAGTTTACTTCCTCCTGTGCTCTTTGATTCAAACTGATGTTCAATCTCAGGCTAGTACCATGCCGCCCCGGAGGCCACGCATCATTGCGGCTCACTGTTGCCACGGCTTGCAACGCGTCCTGGCCATCTCTCGGCTAGTTTTGATGAATCCTCGGTGTACGTTCATCAACACGTTTGTTGTTTGCAACACTCACCTTTTTACAGGTTCCGAGCGCAAAACCTGCCTTCCGACTGCGTGCTAGCCGTCAACGCCGAGCCCCTCCTCACGCCGAACTCCCCTCCGCCGCCATCAACCATTTGGCAAGCCGCTCGGCGGTTCCACGGCCTCGGTGTCAGCTGCAGTCATGCCGGCTTCTCGATCGCGTGTTTGCAAACTTTGCGTGCGATTCTGAAATGCTCTCTGGTGAGCTTTCAATGCTCTTTTGTTTACTTCAACAGTCACTTTTTTCCAGCTTCTGGCCGCTAAAGGCAAGCGCTACGGCCCGGGCAGCAACGTCGGCGTTGCATCCAAGCCCGTTCCTACGGCCACTCGGCCGAGTTTGATGGTATTCCAAGGTACACTTTTGACTCACTTTTTTTGCAATTCAGGACTGGCTTTTTCTCCAGGTCCTGCCGCCGGAGGCGTGTGTGCCGCCCGGCCAGCAATTTCCCGGCTGTGTGTTGATCACACATGCTGTTTTGATGGTATTTCAAGGTGCGCTTTTGGTCCACTTTTTCACGATTCAAGACTCACTTTTTTCCAGGGTCTTGCCGCCGGAGGCGCAAGTAACGCCCTGGCTTGGCAACTGGTCGGCTGTGTGTTGGCCACACATGCTGGCCCGCGCGGACTTGGCGTTAGGAGTGGGCTGGTTGCGGGATCACGTTGGACCTACGTGTTAGGAGTGGACGTGTTGCGACGCGTAGGACTTGGAAATGCCATCAAACGCGTCGCGACGCGTCGTAAATTAGCGTGTCCCGATGTACTCTTTAAATAGACAATACAGAAATTTTGCACTCCTTCATGCCTGCCCGAGAACCCCTCCGAAATGCCCTGAAAACACTGTTAAACCCCCCAAAAATCTCCCGCTACTCGACGCACAAAGTCCTCAGGTGACCTTGTTGATAGGTCCGTGCGCGCCCCAGAGCAGTATATTAGAATGGCCTTGGCCTCGCGCGACTTGGCGAGCGAGCGCGACTTAGCGTTGGGGCGAGACAGCTAAAGGGGGGATAACAGATGACTAAGCAAGATATATGTACAGTGCAAGACTTTTCGATGCGAGAGAATGGAATACAGAAAACATCACGGCTCGTCTTCATCGCTGTCGTCCGCGCTGTCCCTTAAACTCGTCCACGCCGCAGGATGCTCCCCCTCACAATGCGCCACCCGCACCTCAAGCGACTCTGCTGCAAACGACGGCGGCGGCGGGTCACCCACCACCTCTGCGCGGCGTCTGTTGAGTAGTCAGCACACAATTACCAATCAAAGGCTCAGCACACACCTGCAAAACCGACAGACCCACCCCTCGTCAAACATACTCCTCACACAGTCCTCCTTCGTCCGCTTCCCGTCCTCGTCCACCTCCACAAACTCGTCCTCGTCGTCCTCCACCACCGGCCCCGCCAGAAGCACCGGGATCGCCCGCTCCTCCTGCTTCAGCGCATACGCCGGCCCCGGCCCGGGAACCGGTATCGCCGGCTCGGCCAGCATCTCCTGCTTCACGCGCACCTCGTCCTCCTCGTCGATCATGTCTACCCGCGGCCGCTTCCGCATTTCCGGATCAATATCCCGCTCCAGATCCACACTCGTGCGCTTTCAGCGACCCCGTCGTCGTTGGCGGCGGGGAAGTCGTTGTCGGCGGCGGCGTTCCCGGCCCGGCCGATCCCGGCGCAGAAAGTGGTCCAGGTTGCGGCAGATCGTCGGACTGGGGCGAAGGGATGTGTTGCTGGAGAGGATCTGTGGTGGTACCATTAGATCCCAGCCTGCTCGGTCGCACGTCGACTGGTGCCGATTGTGTCGGCGTTTGGACGTGAACTTGGGCTTGTACTTGTAGCATCGCTTGCGGATGAGGTCGCGGTTGTAGTTGTGGTTGTGGCTGTATTTGCACTTGTGCCTGAGCGGACACAGACGGGGGTCGCCCCAGCCCCGGCCCCATCGGCGTTTCTTGTTCCTGCTGTTGCTGTACCTGGTCCTGCAATTGCTGCTGCGGAATTTGCGCGAGTGTTTGCGGTGCTCCCTCTAACTGCGCTGTTTCAACTGATTGCACCTCTCCCTCATCTCCGCGCCCCCGAATAGCAAGATCGGCCGTCTCGCCTTCCCGCTCTGTCTCCACCACTGGCAACGGCAACGCCTCCCTGCCGCTCACCGCAGGCAACGACGCGCTCCGCTCAACCTCTGTATCCCCCAGTTGCATTTGCGTTGGTGTTTCGAGTTGGGGTGGCATTTCTGGCGGCTGGGATTGAGGTAATACTCGTGGCATCGGCATCGGCTGCGGTTGCGGTTGTACTTGCACTCGCACCTGTACCTGCCCGGGCACAGACGGCGGGCGCACCGGAATCCGGACCGGCTCCGGCCGCTGTTGTTGCGCCATCGGGATCAGCACTTGTTGTGGTATTTGCACCTGTTGTTGTTGCAGTGCCATCTGAACCTGCGCTGCGTCAACCGCCACCGGCCCCAACGCGCCCGCAATCGACGGCTGACTCGGCCGCTGCGGGATCAGCGCGACGGGGCTGGCGAACATGCCTTGCAGCATTGTCGTCGGCGAGGGCGACTGTGTTTGTGCTTGTTGCTGCGAAAGACGGCTGATGGCGGGCGGGAGGAACGCGGTCTGGGGGCTGCTGGTCGCTATGCGGAGCGGCGGGTGTTGTTGGAGTTGGTGCTGGGGAGGATACTGAAGCTGCTGCACCCGCCCGTGGTTGTTATATATCTGTGCCGGCTGTTGCGGGTAGGGAACGACAGCAGGGGACGGAATCGATGGTGAAGACGCGGGGGAAGAGGCGAACTGGACGCTATTTCCGTCTGATCTTCTCTGTAAATGCTGTTGCTGTTGTTGGAGCAGTTGTTGTTGTTGTTGTGCAAGCTGCTGCTGCGGGTAGGGAACAGAAAAAGACGAAATCGACGGCGAAGAAGCGGGGGAAGAGGCGAACTGGACATTATGTCCTTCCGATCTCCGTCGCAAATGCTGCTGCTGCTGTTGGAGTAACTGTTGCTGCTGCTGAGCCGTATACTGCACCACGGGGCCCTGCGCGGGCACGAGCGGGCCAGCGACCTGCCATCCCGTGACCTGCCCGACGCCGCCCCCGCTCCCGCCGCGCTGACTCGCTGCCTGCCCCGGCGGGATCGCGATCTGCGCCCGCCCGCCCGACGCGCTCCGCTGCACCGGCCCGGGCCAGTTCGGGTTGGGATGTGATGGGATCGCGGGCGGGCCCGACGCCCTCCGGGGCGGGGGCTCTTGCTGTTGCTGAAGTAGCAGCTGACTACTCTTCTGGTGCATCGCGGCGGCCACCGCGAGCTGCTCCCTCAGCACCGCATTCTCGCGCTGCGCCCTTCTTGCCTCCTGGATGAGCTTGGCGTTGTCCGCGTACAGCCGGCTGTTCTCCCCGACGTACTCGTCGAGCTTCTGTGCAAAGTGCGCGTTTTGCTGTTTGGTTATGTCAGCATTTGACGAAGGAGGAAAGGGAGGGACGGACTGTCTCGACGTAGGCCAGCTTTTCACGCATGCCGGGTGCGTAGCCCAGCTCGTGCAGACAGCCGTTCGCCGTCGCACTCAGCACCCGCATAACCGCGTCCCGTCTCCGCGCCCGGATCGCCGCCGCCAGCCCCGCCCAGGCCTCCCCGCTTCCGTTTCCGTTTGCGTTTGCGCTCGCGAGTGGGTCGCTGGTGGGGACAAAAAAAGCACGGGTCAGCGTAACGTTATCGTATCCCAGCTGCAGATCCACGCACCCGTACAGCCCCTCCTGCGCCATCCGTATCCCACGTGCGCTTTCTCTTTCTCTTTCTCGCTCTCAAGTTGCACCCCCGCTTGCTTTTTTTCCGTCGGCGCTGGTAGGGCAACGACGAGCACCCGGCGTCAAGGAAGAGTCAAAGAGTCAACGTCAGAGGATCGGCTATTAGTCATCCGCCGTTCTGCGAGTCAGACAGAGAATCGCTGCGCGATCACGTGTGTGTCCTTATCGCGGACGATCTGTGCGTCGCCGTCCACGTCGACGTCGACACGGGGGGAGGACGAGCGCGATTGCAATGGGGCCTGGGGACGGACGTGTGCGCCGCCGGTCTTCGCTCCCACGCCACGCCATGGATCCGCCTGAGCCTTCCCACCGTCCGTCAGGCCTTCTGAATCCCTTCGCGCCGTATGGACATCACCCCATCAGATCACCGCAGCATGCCCGGACCCCAGCCACCCATCGGCGCTGGAGCGCGTGCGGTCGTCTAGGCGCCACGGCGAGAAAGACGAAGGAATGCCGTCCTTTAGCTATTCGAAAAGAAAACAAAGCTATAGTCTCTGCTCCTCTTAGCCCTGGGTAACACCTGCCACGTGATCGCGTCGCCAAAGGACAATCAATCAGCGGACCATCAGACAAGCACACATCCACATTCCATGTACGGTAAACTCTAACAACGTCCGTCCCTAAATATAATAAGCTACATATACACGGCGCCGAGATATGGAGAGTGAGGGAGTGTATGGGTAGTGTATGTATATCCGCAGCATGGCTACCCATTCGGTTGCCTGCTCAACGGCGTGCTCTCGTCATCATACTCCGGCGGGCGCAAATACGGCGGCGGCGGCACCACCACCACACTCTCCCTTCTCGGCGGGTTGCGCTCCAGCTCCGCCATCTCCCGCTGCAGCTGGTGGCGGTGCAGAATCGCCGTGATGCGGTCGCGGGCGGGCGTCCGTCGGTAGATATACAGACAGCGGATCACGCTGAGCAGCAGCAGCACGCCCGCGAGCGCGCCGACGACCGCGAAGATGAGCGCCGCGAGCGACGGGCGGCGCGCGCGGCGGGGCTCGGCGTCGGGCGGGGGGCGCGGCGGCGGGTGGTGGCGGTGCGTGGCCGACGGCGCGGGGCCGGGGCCGGGGCCGCGCCCGTCGGGGTCGGAGGAGACGCGGGAGGCGTGCACGGCGGTTATCTGCTCGGAGGGCCGGGCGCTGCTCGTGTGGGGGCTGTCCGCCGTCGCGGAGGCCTTGCGCGTGGGGCTGCCCGATGTGGAGCTGTGTGGCGGCGTGCTCGACTCGTGCTGGGTCTGGGTGGGCGTGGCCAGCTCGCTGGACCCAGCAGCAGCAGCAGCAGCAACGTCGTTGTCGTTGTTGGGGAGGGCAGGGATAGCATGTGTCCTACCAGCAGGGCGTTAGCGCGGCAATGATAAGCTTTCCAAACTCACAAAGCGGCAAAGAGGAGGAGGAAAAGACAGAGGCAAGGCAAGGAGAGACGGCGCAGGCGGCCCATCCTAGGTCATCGCCGGGCGAAAGCAAAGTCAAGAAAGTGAAGGCAAGGCACGTGCTCGGCCATACAATGCTGTGCCTTCGCAAAGTGGCACCCGCGTGATTTTGGCGTGCTTAATTTATCTGGGAACCCTCGCTTACTTTAGAGTCTTTCTCTAATCGTCTGTATCCCACTGGGATTTCTGCCACTGCATTCATCTGGCAGATGATAAGATGTCCAGGACCTCTTTTGTGAAGACCGGGCCCATATATATACAGGCTACCGCACTCAGGCTTGATGCTCTATCTTTCTCTGTCAGATGCTGATTCAACATCTCCCTTACATCTCCAGACTGGACAAGGCACAGACTGTAGCTTTGACTTTAACACTAGCCTTTTAGATCAAGCTCAATCTCTTACAGTGAGGTCGGGGTTCGCGAAGCCAGCCGCAAAGGGATAGCCGCTACCCTTTCATTCGCTCCGTTCAACCCGACCCAAATCGCAGCCCAGTGAGCTGCGCAGGTGGAGACCCTGAACGAAGGCTGTGCCGGTCCCGGTGGGCCGTGGGCGGCCGGCGGGGACCCACGTCCACGCCACACCCGCGTGATTCCGGCTGACCCGCGCGGGAGGCGTAAGCATCTGCATAAGGATCTTCTTGCTCATCACCCTTCTCGCCCCTTCCTTTCCTTTCCTTGCCTTCGTTGCGCCGCCTATATAACCCGCCCCCTCCTCCTCCCTTACACCCTATAAACTGCAAACTACAAACCACGGCCCAGATAGATGGCGCACCACGCAACGCTCGGACCGGCGGACGCCGCGCTGCTCGAGATGCTCACCGCCCCGGCCCCAGGGACAAAAACGAATGCGAATCTGAATGGAAAAACGAAGGCGAAGCTGCCCCGGCGAGATGCTGCGCTTGACCCGCTCATGATCGCTGCTGCCCTCGGTGCGTTCCTTTCCTCTCCTTTGCTTGCCTTTCCCTCCCGTTCCATTCCTTTCATCTCCTTTGCCTGGCTTTCCCTCCCTCCCGTTCCATTCTCCCCCCCGTAACCCCACTCCTCTCCGCTCTCTTCCCTCCCCTTGTTCCCTTCTCCAATTCCTTCCTTTCCCTTCCCTCCCCTTCCCTTCCGTAGTCCATGTCCGTTTACCCGCCCGCAGCGTCCGGGCCGCACATTACCCGGAACCACGCCGTGCACGACTTCAACCCCGGGGAGCCGCTGCCCACGAACGTGAAGAGCCCCATGGCGTATGTCAGCCGCCAGGCCCCGCGGCGACAGCGTCTGGGGACCATCCAGGCGCCTGTGGCTGAGCAAAATCACAACAAGGAGAACACCGACACCCCGCCCTCCCCCGTGACCAAAAAGCGGCGGGCGTCGGTCATCGCTGCACCCGCCCCGAAAAGCGCGGACACCCCCGGGCCCGGCCCCGGCCCCGTGACCGTCAAATGCATGGCGCGCACGCGCATCCCGACGCCGCACGGCCCGGCGTTCCTGCACCTCTACCACAACTCGCGCGACGCGAAAGAGCACCTCGCGCTCGTCGTCGACGCCGCCCAGTACGCTGACGACAGCAGCACAGCCCCCCCGATCCGGTCGGCGTCGCTGGACGCGGTGTGGCCCGAGGAGACGCCGATGGACCGCATCGTGCGCGGGGCGTATGTCGGGCGGCTCGGCCCGGAGAACGCCGTGCCGTCAGTCCCGGGGACAGGTCATAACGCCCCGGGTTCGCCCGCGCTGGTGAGAATCCACTCGGAGTGCTTCACGGGCGAGACTGTGGGGTCGCAGCGGTGCGACTGCGGGGAGCAGCTCGACGAGGCGTTGCGGCTCATTTCGCTCGCGGGCCGGGGCGCCGTGGTTTACCTAAGACAGGAGGGCCGTGGGATCGGGCTGCTTTCTAAGCTGCGGGCGTATAATCTGCAGGACCTCGGGCACGACACGGTCGCGGCGAATTTGCTGCTGGGCCACGGCGCGGACGAGCGCGCGTACGACGTCGCGGGCGCGATCCTCGGGGATCTCGGGCTGGGGGCGGTGCGGCTGCTGACGAACAACCCGGACAAGGTCGAGGCGCTTAGTAAGGAGGGCGTGGGGGTCGTCGAGCGGGTGCCGATGGTGCCACGGAGCTGGCGCATGCAGGCCGGGACCGACGCCGGGATGGAGACGGAGACCGGGGCGGCCGGGTGGCTCCCCGGGGACACCGCCCCGGCCCCCGGCGCGACGCTCGTCGGCGGACACGCGGTGCATGGCCCTGATCTGGACAAGTACTTGCGCACGAAGGTGCTCAGGATGGGGCATATGCTGCCTTTGGCACTGGCGGGCTTGGAGTAGACTATGTTGCTTTTAATTTTATGTGTGTCGGGGTAAGAATAGACTGTATAGCGGGTTTGTGTGTTTGACGGAAAGTGTCAAACGAACGGGACAGGCGTCTTGCTCAGCAGAAGCTCCCTCTGCAGACATCGACTCGTCTTCCTGCACTACCCTCAATAAGTACGTATCCTTCATTCTGCTCAGAAGTATATCCGAAGTCGGGGGATCGGCGCGCACACCAAATCTTATCGCTATCCACGGGCAGCAGCGCATCTGAATAGCCCGAACAAGGTTGGACGCATGCGGCCCGGCCGGCCGGGATGCCCTGAAACCGGACCATCGATCACACGTGACAGCGGCGTTTGACTTTGACTCCCACCACACCGGTGCCATATACAAGCTTACTCATCTACAGGGCTGCGGGCAACTAATACTGTGGTTCCCGCTGATTGGGTAATTTCCCATTGACTGGGTAATCACAAAGTCCTAGCATAGTTTTTTGCATAGTGCTTCCGGTATCATCCGGGATGGGTTTCGTAGCCTATCAAGTATATCCTGACAAAAAATTAGAGGTATCCGTGAGGAGATGGTGTGCCGGCGCAGTGGCCGATCATGCGACTCGTGTAATATTTGGGTCCAAACTTCGTATTTGAGCTCTCCTGAGTGTGTACTGGGCAATAAATATGCCACAAAGGTATAAGCGGCCTTATATGCCACCCTGAAGTCTAAATTTTGACCCCAAGACATTTCTTCTTCGTTATCTTGAGCCACTGCTAGATTTGATGGGCCCGTGACAGAGTGTCACATTTGTCTCAATTTCAACGCTACGGAGCGACTGGTGCATAGAAATAGGTATCAACACACTCAATGTTACTTATTAGGCATATAGAGGTTGCCCAGGTGTTCTGGATAATAACCTCCCCCTTCAACAACAGAAAATGGGTATCTGGACCCAAATATTACACGAGTCGCATGATCGGCCACTGCGCCGGCACACCATCTCCTCACGGATACCTCTAATTTTTTGTCAGGATATACTTGATAGGCTACGAAACCCATCCCGGATGATACCGGAAGCACTATGCAAAAAACTATGCTAGGACTTTGTGATTACCCAGTCAATGGGAAATTACCCAATCAGCGGGAACCACAGTATTCGGCTCCACTGCTGGTGCTGGTCCTGTCGCGCAACGGCGCGCCGTGCAAGTGGCCGAAATGGCGTCCGTTTGGCCAGCGGTATGACGAGCTGCCAAGCAGCGCCGCGAGCATCTGTGCCGCAGAAACCTCCCCCCGCCCGGCCAACGCACGGCAAGCATGGCAGGAAATAATGACCGCGTGGCAATAGAATAAACAACGACGGGCAAGCGGGGATGCCTAAACGACGCGACCGACCGCGCGCTTCTCGTTGCCGGTGGACTCGGGAACGAAAGCTAGCAGCGAACAGGGGAATGGAGGCGACTGATCATGAGTGGCTGAACATGGTGAGCACATTTGACAATAATGCGCAACTCGTGGATTTAATCTCGTAGAATCAGGTCCATACTGAGGACCAACGACTACGGCTGCGTATTCAATACGAACACTAATCGGCCAAGTCTGCCCGACAAGGTCTACAACAAGGGTTGGTCGTTTGTTCGAAGGATTGACAACTCGCCATCGGGCCGGGAGATATAAATGAATCGAGGCATGGGAGCGGACCATTGTGTCAAGTCCCGCAAGTAAAATAAGTATATCTTTATCGACAGTCCCGCAAATCCAACTTGATAAACCTCTCAGGATGATTGGTTGCGGGATTTTCCTCCAGATGAATCTCGTCTACGCACGCGTGCACTGAATGATACAGCAGAGCCTCGGACCCTCCAAGTCCGAGTCCCGAAGAAGATCGGACGGTTAATTCTCCCGCCGCGTCTTCGCCGTCAAGTCAATGCCACTGCCAGTGTTCCCTCCACTCCAGATATATGCGGGAGTGGCGTGTCCAGTGGCTACAACTCACCCCCCAACAACAACACCTTCCATCCCAGTCCCGTCCCGGACGACAATGTTGCAGGGCGTCGGCACGAGCTCCCGGGCGGTCACGCCGCCGACCCGGAGCCGGAGCCGGAGCCCGCTGTCGATTGCGCCGGATGTGTTTGGGCCTGTGGGTACTAAGGAATTACAACAGAAAGTACAGGCAGTACTAGAGCAACGCCAAGAAACGCTGGGCCCACTGCCTCCGATACTGCTACCACAAATATCGCCCCTGCAGCGGCGGCGCCAGAACCAGAAGCCGCTCCCGGCGCTACAGATATCGACCGAAACGCTGATGGCGAAATTCGAAGCACAGATACAGCCGAAACTCAGGACACCAACACACGAGCATGCATTGTCTGCCCGGTCACATTTCGCCACACCGTTGCCGGTGCAAATGGACTCGTATCAGCCCACGAGCGAGCAGCTGGTTGTCCCGATGATGCAAAAGAGCGAGGAGCTGTTTGTCCCGATGAAGCGCACGAGCTCGGAGCTGGATTGGGACATCGATGGAGATGGAGATGCAGGTCCGCGGAAGCGCCGGCGGGCGGAAAGTATGCAGACCGTCGTCGAGGAGGGGCCAGCGATACCCGGGGGGGCGACGGATCCAGGCCGGGTCCAAAAACTAATGCGAATCCGAATCCGAGAGGAAAAGAAAAGAGTTGCGAGAATTTTATGGAGCAATGTCACGGCGGCTCGGGCTCAAGTACACGAGCAGCCACGACCGCAACCGACGGATTCTCCGTACGAAGAACAACCAATCCTTTCGCCGGAACCCGAAGCCCTTTCGGCGCCGGGATTGGCCGGGCCGGGAACGCCGCCGCCGCCGACTACGACTTCACCACCACCAACCACGACGGGGTCGCTGAAGCGCACGGAGCTGGAGTGGGCGTGGGCGTGGGAGGTCGATCCAGATGCGTTTATGCGGATCGGGAAGCGCCCGTGGGTGGAAAGTATGAACACTGTCGCCGAGGGGTGGCCCGCCGAGCCGGCGATACTGGTGCCGGGACCGGATCCCTGGCCGGCAGCGGCGGATCACGAGTGTGTTTAACACCTTTTCCGTTTGTTTCAAAACCATTCTTTTTCTACCATCGTCTTTCTTGTAGAGCACAAAAAACACGGGGACCAGCTGATGTTTGTCCAAATCGGAAACCCACTTGTTACACCTCCCGCTCAGTTCTATGGTCGCAGTGAGGGCTGAGACCGGATAGGCCTTTGTAGAATTGACCGGAAAAGGCCTGCTCCGATAACAAAAGCCACGTCCACTCAAGTAGATTTCTTTTTTCAAGGGTCATTGCAATCGTGATTCATGACAAAAGACATGACATTTCATTTTCCTCCCTCCGAGCTCTGTTTCTCCTCCACCTTCTCGATGCTCTGGACAGCGGCAGCGCCAACCTCCATCTCGACCCGCCGCGCCTGCTCCTTGCGCATCTCGTCGCCCTCGTACACTGTAGATAATCAGCGACGGAACAACAAACGAGGTAACTATCGTACAGAATGCCAGTTCCTCAAGCGTGCGATTGGACGTTTCGGGGAAGAGGAAGTACACGAAGAGGATCTCGAACGCGAGCCAGACGACGTAACTGGTTCTCGGTCAGCGTTTAAATCTGCTAGGAAGGGGGGTAAATACCTGATGTAGAATCTCCATCCGGAGCGCGCGAGGCCGATGGGGTTGACTAGCGGGAACTCAGGGACTACAATGGGCTCGGATTGTGTTGCCTACCGAATTGGTTGAAGAAGGACGCGCCGCGGCCCCACCATTGGAAGATCGTGATGCCTTTGGCACGCGCATGATATGGGAATAGTTCGACCAGGAAGGCTGGGACAATCAGTTGATTGATAATATTCCCTCGAAAGAGCTAAAAAAGCGCACTGTAGGTCAAAGCATTGTATCCAATGTTGTAGGCGGGGCTGTAGAGCGTAATGAAACTGTCGGGATTGAGAAAAGATATTCCTTCGAGAAACAGTTTTGACATACGCCAAGACGGCTTTCGAGGCAGCGTCGCTGCCCGTTTGCACATACCGAGCACTGGATATCGTCCAGCTGGTAAAGACGAGGAAAAGGGAGACCGTGCAAGTCTAATTGCACCACATCAGTCCCGATTTTCCAACATCGTGCCTTAATAATTACCAGATAAATGGTCCTTCGCCGGAACTTGGACACCGTGAGCGCAAAGAAGGTCGCGTTGACAAAGCCCCAGCAGGTCAGCGCCAAATTGATCTTGTTCTTCGTGCGGTTCGAGTGGATGCCGATCTGGTCCAAGATGCGGGCGAGGAGGTAACTAAACAGGATGAGGACCGGATAGAAAATGCAGACAAAAACGCACGAGGTCAGCCCGTTTCCACTCCACTGCGTGAACAGCCCCAGCCCGGACGCGACGAGCACGCGTTTCTGCATGCCGCGCGCCTTGATGAACTGCAGCCACGTGATGCTCCGGCTTTCGCGCTCCATCTCGAGGGTCTTCTCGATCTGCGCGTATTCCGCCTTGACGAACTCCTCGCCGTTGATGCCCTCCCCGTGGTATTTCTCCAGGATCGCACGTGCTTCGTCACCACGGCCCTGCTCGATGAGCCAGCGCGGGCTCTCTGGGAGGAAGGGGATGAAGATAAGCTGGATGAGCGAGGGCGTCAGCTGGAGCAAACTCGGGATGCGCCAGCCCCAATTAGACGGCATACTAAATGTCCCGAGCGTTACTCCGGCTGCCACAATGCTGCCGATGAAGAAGCACGAGTTGAAGAGGGAGCCCATGCGCGCGCGTTCTTTCGGGTGGGAGAGTTCGGCGATGAGAGAGGCGGCAGCGACGACGGCGAAGGGGATGCCGAGCCCAAGGATGATGCGCGAACAGACAAACATGGCAACTGGAGCCTGTCAGAGCGTGTCATTTGAATAGAAACAAATGGAGTTTACAGTTGTGTGCCGCGGTTTGTAGGGCAGCGCCGAGAAGCATGAACATGCTGCCAAAGATGATGGCTTTCCGGCGACCAAAGGTATCGTTCACGTAGGAGACGGCAGGAAGCGCGATGATCGCTCCAAGAGAATAGGCAGAGGACATAAGACCGAGTAGTGTTGACCGGGGAGAGTGGAAGACTATCGAAATGAGTCAAGCCCCAAAACATATTTTAGAGTGGCTCACAGGTATCCCAGCTGTCCACAGCTTGCAAGCCGTTCAACATCGACGAATCAAATCTGAGAAAAAGTCAACTCAAGGCAGAATCGGAGTTTTCACAAGTATACCCGCTGGTCATCTCGACGCCAATACATGTTGGGAACAGCAGCAGGTAGAGGTAGCGCAGATTAGGCTTCTTGTACCATGGAATTGTGTCCTCTGCTGCAAGCTGAGAGACGATGGCGTCCTCAGACGAGGTTCCCCGCGGGGCAGACATGGCGTGAGGGTAAACGCTGTTCAACTTGGGGTTCTGTGCCTTATGTATAGAATTCGAAGTCATTCTATAACGTATCGCTTAAAAGTTTTCGTGATGAAGATTCTCCGAGAAGAGTTCAGTAGAGCCTCCTTGGCGTCCCAGCGCAGCATGTGCGGGACGGGCGGCGCGGGAGGAGAAGATCTTGTGAGAGTTTGGGGAGAGTCATGTGTATCAGAGGCCGACTGTAAGAATGGAGGAAAAGCGGCGCCTAGTCGTCGATAACAAGTGATAGGGAGCTGAAGGAGTGCGAAGCCTCAGGCGCATCTGTTGAGGAATTGCCTGGTGCCAGAGAAATAACAGCGCAAGGGTCGACGTTCAACATCAAGTCGTTCTAAGTTGACCCGAAATTTGATCGGAATCGGGACGGACCTTCTTATTATGGCTCCACCACTGCTGCGAGCATCGAGCAAGGCATTGTCGAGGATACGCCCGCAATGTCGACGGAAATACCACGCGACGGTGCTCCCCTCTCTCGTCTCAACGGGGTCACCAGAATTCGCCGCCAAAGCTGCTGCAATGGACACGCTTGTTGCGGATCTCGAGCAAAACCTGGCGCAAGCGCGTCTGGGAGGGGGGTTCAAAGGCGGCTGAGCGCTTCAGGAGTAAAGGGAAGAAGCTGCCCCGCGAACGGTGCGCGTTTATCTATGCTTTTTTCAACCGAGGTACTGATAAAGTAGTTAGACTGAATCTCCTGCTCGATCCACACACGCCATTCCTCGAGCTTTCTGCTCTTGCCGCGCATGACGTGTATCCAGAAGCTATTCCGGGAGCTGGGCTCATCACTGGCATTGGCCGAATTCGGGGGCGCGAATGCATGGTCATCGTAAACGACCCCACCGTCAAGGGCGGTGCATATTACCCGCTCACCGTTCGTCGCGGTGTTACCTTGTCATACATAATGCTGAGACAGCTGTAAGGTCAAAAAGCAACTCCGAGCTCAAGAAATCGCGCGGGAGCACGGTCTTCCCTGTGTCTATGTTGGTGCGGAGTAACATCTTCTCCTGTTGTTCATGATTGACTGGGGGGAACAGTTGAATCTGGGGGTAAATGAGTTGACCTTCTTGCTCTCTCATTCTGATGACCCTTGCACAGGTGCTGCTCTTCCGCATCAGGCAAATGTTTTCCCCGACAAGGAACACTTTGGTCGAATATTCTACAACATGGCAAGTATTGCACATAACACCGCCTTGAATCTACTAAATATCTGAAGGCTCAAATGTCCGCTCTGGGAATACCACAAATTGCTTCAATACATGGAATATCTGTTGCAGGTCTGACCCACTTTCCTCAAGCAAGTTGCAGCATAACACCTTTCTAAGGTGGCGCGTATGTGCCTGCGATGGCCGACGAGAACATCATTGTTCGAAATCAAGGCCGTATCTTTCTCGCAGGTCCTCCATTGGTCAAAGCAGCCACCGGAGAAGAGGTTGACGAAGAAACGCTTGGCGGTGGAATGATGCATTCCAGCGAGAGTGGGGTTACAGACCATCTTGCGAACGACGACGAACACGCGGTAGATACCGAAATTCCGAACGAACAAGTACTAACTCGAGTCTAAGCTCGAAATCACAAGAGATGTCGTTGGTGATTTGGGACATGCTGCCGGACTCCAAGGACTGGTCAGTAAAGCAAAGCGCTGTAAAAGTTGGTCCAGACTAATTTTGACGTTATAGCCCTCTGCAAAACCTGAAGACCCATTATACCCCGCATCTGAACTCCACGGAATCGTTGGCACCGATGTCCGTCAAGCGTTTGATATGCGGGACGTTATTGCGCGAATCGTCGATGGCAGTCGGTTCCGGGAATTCAAGAAAGAATACGGGCCCACGATGTTGACAGTGAGTGGCCTTTTCTTTCTTAGTACTGGCTACAAATCATTCTAGGGATTCGCGCATATACATGGTTACGAAGTGGGGATTTGCGCCAACAATGGGATCTTGTTCTCGCCGTCTGCACTCAAAGCGACGCACTTCATCGAGCTCTGTTCTCAGCGCAAGATTCCACTGCTGTTCCTCGTTAATGTTACGGGGTATATGGTTGGGTCCAAGGCTGAACGTGGAGGAATCGCGAAAGATGGTAAGTTTTCCCCCCATCTTTTGGGTGAGGTTTATTAAAGGATGGTAGGTGCAAAGATGGTTCGCGCCGTTGCATGTGCGGACGTACCCAAGTTGACCGTTATCGTTGGCGGCTCATTCGGTGCTGGAAACTATGGTTAGCCGTCACTTTCACCATATTGATGATCTACTAACTTTACCAAGGCATGGCGGGACGAGCTGTAGGTTCTAGGTCTCTTTCCAACTCTATCCTCAATTTCTTCTAGTATTCGCCAAGGTTCTTGTGGATGTGGCCAGTAAGATTTTCATTTGCATCGTTTTTACTTTGCTCAGTATGACTAGAACGCAAAAATATCAGTAATGGGCTCTTCCCAGTTGTCGCAGGTCATGGCCACCGTCTCAAAGTATGACTTTATTCACAACTCTCCATTGGTTCTCATTCCTTGATCAGAGACCCAACACAACACGCATCTCTCCAAGATGAGATTGAAGCACAATCGACAGCACTATACTCGACAGCGCGGCTGTGGGATGACGGAATAATTCGCCCCACAGACACCCGCGATGTACTCGGTCTTGCGCTCGGTTTATCAGCCAGGAAAACTGCTGCAGGCAATTCAAGACTGGGAACCGGAACCACTTGGGACGGCGATGGAAAGGGTTTCGGGGTATTCAGGATGTAGAAGAGCGAGAAAAAAGATGTATTATAATGTTGGTCGTGCTGCGTGTAATCCGCTCCAAATACCACGGGCCGCCTCTGTGGTGCTCTCTACTGTCCTCCGCTTCAGCGGCTTTATCTTCATCCCCGAGGAGTCAAGTAGCAGTTGCAACTTTTGCTCGATGCCAGTTACTTGTAGTTTGTTCAGCGCGATGACTTTGTCTCGTCCATTTGCTTGAAGTAAAAGACGAGGATGAGGAAATGTGAAGACCAAAGATATTAGAACACGCACCATAGAAGCCCCTCACTATTGGCTCCTTTCTATTCCGCTGCTTCACTACAATCTCCACATGTGGATGCTCCCTCGCAAACGCAACAAGGTTCCGGCTCAGAAAAGTGCGCGTTGGCGCAGACGACGGCCAGTCATTGCAGTACTCAAACACGAGTTTTCGAATTTGCGGAACGAACGCGCCGTGGCCGTTTGCCGGCAGGGAGTTGGTCTGAGCGCGGAGGAGCGGGATGGGGTTCATGCAGCAGAAGAAATGTGTGACCAGTGGTGTGACCGTCACGGTAACGTGCCCCAAGTTTTCCTTCGCTTCGTCCATGTCGCGACGATGTCGCTCTTTCCGTCTGGCGCTGGCCCGACCCTTGCCTTGCCCGAGTTCAAGTCCATCGCGATAAAAGGCCCCTATCACGCGTCGGCACCGATCTATCTCGCGCTCTCTGTTGCTGAAAAATACCCCGATACGCGGATTGTCATGATCACGCCCTCGCGCGACGCGCTTTCTGCAGCGCTACAAGAGCATAAGGACAGCTGGATGATAGAGAACGCGGGGAACGGGAGTGTACTTGAGTTTGCGGACTGCACGGTCGTATAGTGTGTCGTCCTTTCTTTCTTAAATCCATGGCCTCATACGAAATGGCAGTTATCCCCCTACGCCAGCCCATTTTTCGTACCTGGTGTCTTCACTGTCGACAAACGTCGAAGGGTCGGATCCCAAGGCGATATTATACCGCCCACCTTCTCTAATGGTCTTGATCGAGCTGTCTGCGTATTTCATGCTGGATGTCGAGGCTGATCCTGGTAGGTTTTTGTTCCTCTTTTCAGATAAGCAGTCTAACCATTTAGACCACCACCAATGGACGCTTTCGTCCTACCTGACGCTGGTGGCACGCTCACTAGCTGCAGTCGCGGTTCTTTCCTCATCTGCCGATGTTAGGTTGGTTTGTGCTGAAATCATGATGAGCATCAATAACATATTTTTTCTGATTTTGCAGAAAACATCCAAGCGAGCTATCGCTGGCACTCTTCGACTCGAACCTCGACAACCTCCGACTCCCCGTGCTCAAACAGCCCTTGGCGGACTTGGGCAGATCGCCATCGACAGTCCGCAAGGAAGTCGTGGCGCGGTATGTGCAAAAATACTTCGAGCTCTTTGCCGTTGTCGAAGAAGGTGCATATTTTCTTTGACTTGGAAGTATAAAACAACTACAACTGCATGTCAACAGACGACGATGTAAATCTTACCCCTTCTCAGGAGGCGGACGCGGAGATCCAGGAAGCTGGGCGACAGAGATGGAATCGGATGCGGATTTATGGGCAGGGAGACGTGCTTCTCAGTTGCTTAAAGTGGCTAGAAGCGCGAGATCCACAGACGGATGGCGTTGTTTTCAGTTGGAACTGAATCGTTGGTCAATTTTGGATTCTTACCCGTTGTCAGTGGTTCCTTCTGTCTCAAGCCACATAGCTGACAAAATATAGAATAAACCTCAAAAAACCGTTAACTTGTCAAGAATCTTTTTATCTCAGCTTTGATAAACTCGTTGTCCTCTTTCGTTCCTCCTCCCCCGCCGGCAATGTGACCCCAAATGCTCTCAATCACGCGAAGTTCGCCATGCTTCAGATATTTTACCTCTTCTGCGCTGTCCTCTGGAGGGAAATAAAAGTCGCTGCGGCTCGGCATGAGGAGTACCCTGGCCTGAATTCGTCCTAGGGCTTTCGCCAAATCGCCCTTATCCTCCTCCGGCCCGAATTGGGATATATCACCGCCCTGCCATGTGTGAATCATGGCCAATAGGTCATGGGCATCCCAGCCTCCCCGTCCTCCTTCCCACACGACACGAAGATACTCCTCTAGGTCCTTATATCCCAGCGTCTCCCAGCTATGCGCGCGAAACCACGCCTGTGAAAGTGCCCACGTCGCGTAGACCCGCGCGAAAGCCCGAGTTCCCCGGACAGCAGGCGTCTGATAATTTCCGTCATGGAAGTCGACACTGTTGACGAGCGCGGCCTTGGGGCCCTCGAGGAACGAATAGTTGTGCCAACTCGTCCGCGCCGACGCAGCGATGACCACAACACGGTCAGCAAACTGGGGGAAGAGCACGGCCATGTGGTACGCCTGCTGCCCGCCCATGCTGAACCCGATGTACGCGTAAAGCTTTGTGACGCCCAGGCTGAGGCACAGTGCGTGCTGCAGCCGGATGTTGTCCTCGTAGGTCAGCTTGGGGAACCGTGGGCCGCGGAGAGAATCGGGAGAATTTGACGGGGACGACGACTCGCCTCCCGCCAAGCAGGCCACAGACGATGCAGAAGTAGTCTTGCAGCACAGGCGGGGTGTTGTCAGCGGATGGGAGGTACAGAAAGGTCAGTGTGGTGTCTAGCTTTCCGGAGAAGCATGAGGGGATGAAGACCACAGGGTTTGCGGGGTTGCCGAATGTGCGATAAGCAAGCGTTAGGGCGGCGTTGGAAGAAGGGGGCTCTCCATTGGTGTTGGCATCATGTTGGCTGAAATATCTGGTTTGCGCCATATCTCACAACAGACAAAGCTAAGGTTCCGCTTATATGTATGTGGCATTCCGTTATCAGCAGCGTTTCTCACGTTTCGGCACCATAATATCTTGTCTTCCACGTGCTTCAGTAAGTACTATGAATCTAACTATTCTCAGCTTGACGGACCGATTCACAGCTGAAATGTCTCAGGCTGTGGTGCAGCTTTTTGGTGTCTTTGGGCAGTTTGTTAGTAACGCTCGGGAGCACCCTCAATCCAGTGAACGGCAGCGTCCTTGACATTGTGCTTGTCGAGGATGGCGAGGATGGGCGCATTGGCATCACGGCAGGATTTCTCGGACGTGGTGCCGGGGAACACGGAAATCCAAATGACGATGTGCTCCTCAAGGACAGATTTGCCCTGAGCGTTGGGAAGAGAGAACTGGACAGGGGCCATCGTGGAGACATGAATGCCATATTCTTTCTTCTGGAGGAGGTTCATGATGGCAGGGCCAACGTCTTGGCTCCACAGCTTTGAAGTGAGGATAGCATGGGAAGCGCCGTGAGCAGTCTTATCCGGAATGGCAGTATGCTGGTCTTCGGAAGCGGGAAGAACAAAGGGACGAGTCTGGATGTCGGAGCGCTGGAAGAGGCGGGGATGGTCCTCGGAAACACCCTTGTAGAAGAAAGCCTTCTCGATGGGCGAGCAAAAGTCGGGGTCATCTACGAGCGTAACGATAAGCAGGGGCAGGCATGCAAAGCAACGAAAAGACACTCGCCAGGACCTATGGAACCTAGGTCTTGGTTGCTCTCTGTCCAAGGAAAACCCACACGTAAGTGGACGAAAGACAGAAACAGCTAGCGACACTGACGCTGTGGGTTTTCGGCAGCCATTTGAGATAATTGCAGAAGTAGATCTTCAAACCGTCGTCACACAAGCAGCCAAGCAGCGACAAACAACCAAGGGTTAGGGGCCAAAACACGATAACGTGACCCGAAAACGGACAACCAACAGCGCGCGCGCGATGACGCGACAAGGGGAGGGAGGAAAAAAACAACCAGCTCAACCGTAACAGCGTCGCAAGTAGTGCCAAACAGTCTGGTCTTGACTGAGACCAGAAAGCCATCCAAACGGGGAAAAAGCCTTCTGTCATAGTAAACAACAGTCAACTATAGAGAAAAATGGATCTGTAATGACGGTCTCTCAACATTTTAGGTCAGAATTATATGATTCTTTTGTTTGGGTTATATGCTAAATGTTTACTCTACTTATACTCTGCTCCTGCCTCCCGCGGCACGGTATCCCTGCAGCGCAACAGGCACGACATCCATGGTTGGTAGTTTTTTGTTTGTCGTGTTCTCGTTAACGAATGGCTGCTGCCCAAGGGTACACTCGTTCATACCACTTTCCGAGACGACGCTGCTCCTTGTCCTCAAACCACGACACCTCCGCAACCGTGTCAGGGTAGCTGACGAGGATCTTCTCAAGCCTCGTCGCCGCCTCCCTCTTCCTCGCGGCCAGTTCGTCCTTCTCCATCGTGGACTCATCCATCGCCATGTCCTCCCGTTCCGCGTCAATCGGATGGCCGGCCCGGAGCCGGAGCAGATTCCGGAAGAGCCCACCCAGCAGCGAGTGCCGCGGCGTCCACGAGTTCCACACGGGCGAGATTTGGTGGACAATGTGCAGCTGGTGCGCAAGGTCGTCCGCGTGCTCCGCGCTGCCGAGCTCTTCAGCCGCGCGCCGGTGGTAGTTGTGCCACTTATTCGCATCAGCCCGAGTCTTAGCCCTCTTCGGGAGTTCCAATGGGACAGGTATGACGGTGTCATCCGCAAATAACAAAGGCGATGTTGGCTTCACGGTTCGTTGGCGCTTGGCTTGGACGGACTGCCGCTGGTAAGGCAACACCACGCGTTCAAGCACCTCACACGCCCGCTCAAGTTCGCCCGCGCCCAACAGTGCAAGGCCAAGCTCGTTCCAGTTGTCGGAGGAGAAGGAGAATCCAGCCTCCTGGAACTCACGCCATACCCGCGCAATTTCGTCGTGCATCTCCGCCCGGGCCAGCTCTCGGATGTAGATCGACAGTGGGTCGCAGAGGACAAAGGTGTGAATTCGGGATTCCGCGTGTTCTTCCACCACCGGCACAGCACAGTATTTAACGCCGAGCTCGAAGATCTGAGGCCACAACGAGACGATGCTGCGAATGTCATGCATGGCACTGTAAGACCTGAGTAAGATGGTCAACAGACTCAGCGTCGGCGTCCCCCCGTCCTGGATAATCTCGCCAAACAATCGAGCAACTTCTTTCGGGCGGCGCTTCTGGATGTATGACCGCATCAGCGGAATGTACAGCCGCGAGCGAGCTGGCAGTCGCCCATAGTCAGGTGTATCCCAGTCCCGCCTGCGCTCTGGACCGGCTTTCTTGACAGTCTTGATGAACTCCTCCGCGAGCTTGAAGCTATCTTCCGTGCCTTCCCGGCCATACGAGGTCAATATGTGGCCATATGTGATCGAGTTAGGCCGCAGTCCACGCTTGCCCATGTCCTCGTATACCGCCATGGCACGTGTACCTTGCCCGAGCCGCAGGAAGCCCGCCATAATCACCGTCAACGCCCACGTTGTCACGTGACGCGAGGAGCCCCAGCGCTCCGCGAGCCTCTCCATCTCGCCAAAGATGTCCTCAGCCACATCCATCATTCGCGCATCACATGCTGACTGGAGGAGCAGCGTGAAAGTATACGCGTCAGGCCGGAGCCTAAGTTTCTCCAGCCGTGCAAAAACGCGGGAGACAATGCGAAATGGAGCACCGATCTGCACATACGCCTTGAGAAGGATGTTGTAAACCCCGATGGTAAGTGCTCGGTGTGGGGCGGCCCGGGTGAAATCGAAAGCCCGGATCACTCCGGCCCATGAGCCGGCCTCAACGTGCGCATTCATCACCGTCGCAACCATCTTTGTGTCCGGAATGACGCCCTCGCGAAGTGCGCGAGCGTACAGCGCCTCCACATTGGCAGGGTCCTTCCTATGTGCAAGAAGCGTCATCACAGTAGTGTATGTCACGTGGTTTGGCCGACAGCCAGCCTGGCGCATTTGGTCAAGCACCACAGAAATGGAGTCAAGGTCGCCTTGTAGCGCAAATGTCTTCAAGATAGTAGAGAAGACGTAGGCATCGGGCTCGAGCCCAAGTCTCCGCATAAGCTCCAGCCAGAAACGCGTCCCAGTATAGTCTCCGCTTTGCGCATGCGCCAATAAACCAACGCCAAAATGCTCCAAAGTGGGATTGTTGCTTGGGACACCGTCATCGTCCTCCGGAAAGTATTCTTGAAATACGTGTACGGTCTCCTTGGTGTGGCCCTGGATGGCATAAACATACATGAGCTGGACTACCACTTTGGAAGTCATCCACCCCGCGTCGGCGATTCGGTTAAAGTAATCCAATGCAGCCGTTTCAAGCCCTTCGTGGGCGTTTAGGTAAAGCCCGGTGAAAAAATAGTCGAATCGGCGTTCTCGGGGGAGAGAGCTGAACAGCTGCTGGGCCTCGGCAAAACAATGCTCGCGAGCTAAAGCTCGAACGAGGAAGAGTTGCATATGGGGTGCGGCATCCAAATGCTGCCGTCGCATTTCGAGGAGGACATTGGAAGACTCCAAAGGGAGGTCAGCCCGGATCAGGGCCTCGATGAGGAGGTCACCCATGTGTTGCCTTTGTGTATCATCCCAGTCCGAGTTGCGTTTCTGGGCAAGCAGCCCAACGGGGTCGGGTAGAGCGGAGACAATCGCAAATGCAGTCTGTCGCAGAGACCGGCCAGCATTGGCAATTGTTGGACTGCCTGAGTGGATCCGGCTTGTTTCAGTGAGAAGATACGAGCCAATTGTCTTCCACTCCAACACTAAAAACTCGAGAGCACGAACGCGGTCGAAATGGCGCCAGGTCGAGACCAGTATCGATTCGTAAACGCGTAAAAAAGGGCCAAAGTCGGCATAGTCAGGTCGATGAGCCTGTGCAATATCCAGGGCTTTTTGAACATCGCCCTGCAATGCCATTACTCGGGCCTGTAAGTGGTGGAAAGCCTCAGAGTCCGATGAAACTGATTCCAAAACGCGACCAACGCGTTCGCCCCATTTATGCAGCCTATCCAGATCATCCTGCTGACTAGTCAGCTCCAGTGTGTCCGCCATCGCCTCCACCAACCCCAACAGCTCCTCCGCCGACAACTCTCCCAAAAGGCCATACGTGTCGGCGACCTCGAATGACGACCAAAGCTCCTCCAAATTCGCGTCCGGCTCATTCTTGAACCCACGGAGGCGGTCCAGATGCGGGCCCGGTGCAGGAGGGTCTGGAACATTGCGCGGCGAATCGGGGTCATCGACTAACGCGTCAGCCGACGTTTCTGATGGGGGGTCGGGTATGGGTATTGGCTCCCCTTCGTCGCTGTCGGGCAGCGGTGGGGGCTCGGATGACAGCTGTGAGACTTGTCGAGCTTGCTGCCCGCGCCGTTGGTGTAGTATTGATATACCGCGGATGGGTGGAGGAGAAGAGCGCGCTCTGCGAGGCCCGCGCGGCCGTTTTCGCGGGGGAGCATCACTTTCAGGTCTATGCGTGCCGTCTGGACAGGCCAGTCAGCTTCTTGGATGGAAATGTTTTTTTTGTTGGAACACACTTTGGCACCACACGGAAACGCGCATGCGGCATGACCAGTCCTGAGATTTGGCGGCGAGAAAGGAGAGGACGGTGTCGTCAGACATGCGCTCTTTTCCCTTGGCGTTGCGCGGGCGCGGGCTGAAAAAGTCGGGGGCAAGCTGGATGCGGATGGCGTTGGTCATCGTTTTCGCGAGCGGGCGACGGAGGGTCGTGAGCAGCAATGGCTCGACCATTAACGGAGGCCTGAGTAGTTTGGCATCAGCTGCATTACCGCGTGAGACGAAAGGCACACACCACACCGCTCGTCGTCGTCCACAACTCGAATTTTGTAGGTTGTGACGTCTGCGTCACGTCACGCCTGATTCCAAAAGTAAATTTCCAGGAATCCAATAAACGTCGATGAACATTTGCCTTGAGACATTCAAGCCCGAAACCTGCGTCGAACTGCTCTGAAGGCTTACTTACCTCCACTATTGTTGAAGGAGATCAGAGATCATGTGATTCAGCATACAACTCCAACTTGAATTCCAGACTCGGAAAAAATACACCAATTGAGGCAGACATTTGAGCCTGCGTTCACAGAGAATCATCATATAAGCGGGTATATCCCAGAGCAGCAGCCATTCGATAATGATAATACAACAAGTCATAGACAACCCATCCCACTACTACTACTAAGTAGTATCAACTATCGGAGTCGTCCTCTGAATCCGAATCGTCCCGCCGCCGCTTGCTGTTGCCGTTGCGATTGCGCTGCAAGGAAGTTGAGTGAAACCGATATCGTGCCACAGGAGGCAACCTACCAAGGGAAGCTTCAAGCCTTGGTTGCCAAACGCTATAGACAGCGCAGTAGTTTCTAGTAGATTACACTTTTGGTAAGCAAGAACAGGAGGCAAATATAATGATACTTACCCGGCACACCCGGAAATCGTTTGGCCGAGAACACGGTGAAAGGCTCGGAGAATATCTGGGCGAGAACAGGCGAGATGCCGGTATGAACCTCGGTCGCGCCCGGTTCTGGGGCCGGGGGTCTTTCTGTTTTTAGCACGACGGTCTTGGCCTGACAAGGATATAGACTCACGCGCCAACGTTCATGAGACGCAATCGCAGACGAAATGTGCCTGGATAGTTGTCAACGACTACTAATTGGCGTGGATGATGCAAACCTTCAGTCCGAACAGACAGGTCTTGGAAGAGGAAAAAGATGCCCGGTTTGCGATGCTCGTCGAGAAGCCGGTAACCGTTTGAGGACAGTGGTCCCACAAGCGTTCGCGTATACGCGCTTCGTGAGCCGTGCATTGTCGAAGGTGGTGGCGGGGCAGAAGGTGGTGGTGGGGCAGGCGCACTGGGAGAAGCGGCAGGGTAATAAGGCACGGCAGGGGGTTGTGCGTGGGAATAAGGGACATTGTACAACGACGACTCATTGCTGTACGTCTGCGATGCAGGTGAGAATGGCCTTGGCTCGAGCTGCTCAAAGCCATGGTCATTATTATTATTGTTGTTCCACCCGCGATACGTCGGCTCTGTGTCAGGCGATCCCCAAGGTTCATGTGGGCCAACGCTAGGACTACGTCCAAACGAGTGAATGGATGGGAGTATTGGTGGCGGGTATGTCGTATTCCGGTCAGCACCTGACGGGTAACCCCATGTTGGTGGTGGCTGGCCGTATTGAGCTGTTGGGGAATATGCAACAGAGGGCGGGGCCATTGGCGACTGAGGCGCTGCTGGGTAGTATCCTTGAGGACCATTATAGGTAGGATTTGTCTAGAAATCAACGTTAGCCGCTACAGAGGGAAGCAATGAGCATACCGGTTCGCCTGTTGTGAATTGTGAGGGGGTGGAACTGGGAACTGGTGTTTGCTGACCTGAAGGGGGTGGGCCCGTTGTGCGACGGCGTGGCTTGGTAGTTTGTACCGGTACATATCGCTCACCAGAAGACGGGTGCAGCACAAGATTTCGCTCGTGTTTCCCGTCTTCAGACCACAGATCGACGGTGACCAGGAAGAAGGACACATCCACGTCGCTGCCGAGTGCTTGAGAATCAGACCACCCAGAAGTGTGAGAGAAATCACGCACTCAACGTCGACAACGCTGTGGTCCTCGCGTTTCACGACCATTCTTGCAACCGCAGCAGGCGCTAAGGGTCGTCGATCCTATCATTATTCAGCATAGTAGAACGCAAATGGCGAGAAAAGTATCACGAACTTTGTCGCCGAAACCACACATTCGTGCGCGTAGGGGATGCTGCACCATTTCCAGAGAATAATAACTTTCAGGTCGTGTCAGGCTCCGACACGTAAAGCATCGTGTAAAAGAGTACGCACTGACGGCCTATCCACTTTCCCCACTGCTCTAAATCCTGGCCGGGCTGGCGCATAGGCGCGATGGCTGCGGACGTTTTGCGAGGGCTGATATGCTGTATCATGGTGACGATAAAGGGAGTGAGTGGGCAGTGTTGCAGAGCACCGCCGTCGCAAGACGGTGTCAAATAAGCTCGGATTGACCGCTGGGGTTTCCAGATAGAGGGAAGTGGGTGAAGATATAAGGCCGGAGGAGTGTTTTTGCACGACCCGAAAGAGTGGATGTGGGCAGTCTGTGTGTAAGTGTTTTGTGTCAAGGCCAATCACGCAAGCGGAGGATCTCCTGCGTGCAATCGACGGCGAAAATAGTAGGCGTTGGCAGCGGCAGACGATGGTGGGCGATTTTGGTGGTTGAGGTTAGGGGGGACAGGGACGCGAGGGGCGTGACACAGACGCGCTAAACAGCACCGAACTCAAGCCCGAGGAAGCTAACCGCGGCTTCCGGTTTCCCTGCCAGCGCAACGCCAGCGTCCTCACACGGAAAATGCACATTCACACTCGGACAAAGTCCGATATTATATCCCCCGAACACGTGAGCGATTTCCCCTTGCTTCAAACCATGACCGTGGATTAGGCTACCGCAGAGAAGAAGAATCCACGAAGACAAAAGCTTAATAAGAAGGTTCATCAATTGCGACAAGCGTCTCTTCTGCCTTTCTTGTGCTCTAGGTTGATTTGCGATTGTTGTATCGAAAGCATCACCTTGAAATCCCTTCACCGAATGCGAAACTCGGCCAATGCATGTTCTTCAAGTGCTCCTCCTGACTTGAACATATCTTGTTGCCAGCCACAAAGCATCCAACGCCCAGAATATTCAATGATCTTCACACATATCAAGGTAGCAAAAGCCTTCGGGGAACTCCGACGGATATGATTTGGTGGTGGTCATATGTGGTCAGTCAGATATCGATTTCCACCGAATTGTTCTCATCTGCACCGAATAATGCTCTGAACAGGCCTCCGCTCTGACAAATCCCAAGTAAGATCCATGGCTATCTATCCGGGCGACAAGTTACTGTCAAATAAGGAGGAACGACCTGCCTCCCATCTCGAATGGCCGCCACTTGCTCTCATGCATATACTATAGAGTTCGATAATGCAAAATTGATCCTCTTCATACTTACTCTGCTACGTTAATCTTCGTGTTCAAGATTCAGAAGTGGTACAAGCTCCTGTACCGATGCCGCTGCCTTCAGAACTCGCCAAGCATCAGCTATATGAACCCAACAAAGCATGCGGCCTAATGATTGACTGGCGTTTTGTCGTCTCAACGGCCTCTGCGATTCGCTCAGTTGATAGTATCCGGCAGAACATAACATTGGTAGGGAGTAATAGAACTCCCGCCACTAGCATACCGCTCGACAAATCCTTGGTGAGTAACGCGTCTCCCATTATCTTCGATAACCCACTCAAACCAATCGAATGGCAGGCTGGCTTCGAAGAACACCAAGAGCTTTCCGGTCCCAAAGTACCCGTTTGCAGATGGAATACGGAAGTAAATGCTCATCGATAATCGAGTACAGTAGATAAGAATTGAATAATTCTCTCAGCTCGAGGAAAGCACCAATAGTCACCGAGTTCTCTGTCGTGGATTCGGGTGACGCCGATTTTATCTCCCGACCACGTGGCCACGATTTTACCTTTCCTCCACTGCCAATCTTGCTTTAATCCACGACCATGGATCAGGCTGCCGCAAAGAAGGTTCTGCAAGACCTCATAAAGTCGGACAACCGTCTTTGCTGCGACTGTGGCAACCCGAATCCACAGTGGGCCTCTCTTGGGTCCGTGTCGTTGGTCTCCTCCCGACAAACACTTTGACCAAACCACAAATTCACCCAGTTTCGCCGTGTTCTTGTGTCTCCAATGTGCTGGGACGCACAGAGGGTTCGGCGTGCATATTAGGTGCGTCATAGGTCCTTCTTTTCTCGCTACAATGCTAATCCACGTTTAGCTTTGTCCGTTCGGTGTCTATGGATGCCTGGCAGCCGGACCAGCTCAAGAGAATGCAGGTACATAATGCTTCTCGCCAAGCAATCTCTCGTTCCTCAAACCTGGCTCTAGATCGGCGGCAATGCTGCATTCAAACAGTTCATGAAATCCTACGAGCCCGCAGAGCAGGGAGGCTACAAGGAGAACAACTCTGCATACGACATTTATCATTGTTGGGCGGCCTCACAATATCGCGAGAAGGTACGCAGATGCACTTGTTTTTTTCGTACCTAAGCCAATTTCTCAGCTCGACGCCGAAATCGCAGGCAAATCCTGGGCCCCATCAGCACCCCCACCCCCGACATTGCCGAGCAATGATTCCGCTGCCGCTGGTCTTCGCAAATCAAGGGCGTCTGCTCGCTCCGCCACCGGGTCCTCTTTGCGTGGCGATTCCGCTTCCCCAGCCTCCTTCGGTTCCGGTCGCCAAACACCCGACCTCGGTGCGAACGGTCCCGCCGACCAAAAATCCGCCAACGAATCATATTTCGCGAATCTCGGTGCTGCCAATGCTGCACGTTCAGCTGATTTGCCTCCTTCTCAAGGTGGCCGCTACGCTGGATTTGGCAGCACTCCCTCGCCCGCGCCGAGCCAACACCCTTCATATGGCATGTCTTCTGCCGCCGCTCCATCACTTGCCGAACTCCAGGAAAACCCCGTTGCTGCACTGAGCAAGGGGTGGTCTCTCTTCTCCGCTGCTGTCGTGGGTGCATCACGCGCCGTCTCAGAGAACGTCATTCAGCCAGGCATGGAGAAGATGCGCGACCCAAATCTCCAGGCAAACGTGATGGGTTACGTCTCCGAGGCCCAGAAGCGCGCTGCGGCCGTTGGCGGAGCCGCCAACCAGTGGTCGAAGAATCAATTTGGTGTAGATGTTGCGGAGAGCGTGGGTGGCGCGATGGGTGCTGTGCGTGACCGTGTCGGCCCGTCCCCGTCGCAGCAGGGATATGGCTCTGTGGGTGGGTATGATGGGGAATCAACGTCGCTTTACCATGATGACGACGATGATCTGTTCTCGGAGTACAAAGGGTATGACCAACCTCAGTCGTTGTCTGCCTCGACTGCCCCTGCCTCTTCGAGTGGTATGAAGCCAGCCGCCCCGGCTAAAAAGGACAACGATTGGGACGATGAGTGGAAGGATTTCTAGTTTACATGGGTGGAACTAATGGATATATTTATAAACCGTCTTAGACACGAGTTGTGATGTTGAGGAAGCTCTTTTAGTTGCAGGAGAGGAAGATTTCGGTTTTACGGTGTGCAGGATTCACCCGAGCTTACTATGAGTTGAATTGAATGTTCGGGTAAGTAGAGAATCTAAAAGATTGTCAAACGACCTGCGGAATTGGAAGTCGTGGAAGAGCGGTGTGGATAGAATAGGATAGGGAACCTAATCGCTATAATCGATGCCGCCTCTTCAATCATCTAAAAACTTCACCGCCAGACGCCGAGCCGCGCGCCGGAATGATCCGTGAAGCGGTTTCTTTCGGCATGATCCGGACGGCGCGCCTCGGCTTCATTGCGGCGATCAACAAACTCCCTTCCTACTTTGAGCCTCTGCCCACATCTGATAGCAAGATAATCATTACTAGTGGTTTCATATTAGAGCTGAAGCTCATTTGGTTCAATGTTCTACCCAAGATGGAACTTTCTTTCATAGTGACCGATGAGCGTAAGCCATGCCTATGAGACCTGGAGTGGGCTATCTACGATATATCGTCCCACAAACCGAACAGAACAATAGTCGTAATTTTACCTCAAATCTCGATTTCTGTTACGGAGCGCCAGCGCTAGCTTGATGAAGATGAAGTTGTCGTTTCCAAACGGGACCACAACAATCCTACTCAACAACCGAAAGCGTATGGTGCGGATTCCACGTCACTAGTCCGTACCATGTGCCCTTTGTCTCGACCTCGACGTTCGATTTCGATCGCAAGATAACGGTGTACGGAACCTGCAGCTCCCCACGAGAGGCCGTGCTAGAGATTCGGATAGTTTCGTGCCGTCCAGCCTTAACCTGGAAGGATGCATGATATGGTCTGGTGTAGTCGTTGGCCTGGCCGAATTTCCAGTCGAGCCGGGGGGACATGTCGATAGAAAGTTCGGTATCCGAGGTGCCGACGGATGGAACACCGGCTGTACATAACGAGGGTAGGTTAGTACCTTTTCCAAGCCCCAACTTTCAATTTGCCTTTGAAGCTGATGTCGTCGCCGAGGGGAAATCCAGACGAATACTTCCATGTAAACGTCTGTGCCGCGGGCAAGTCGGAACTTATCGTCATTTGCTGTTCATGGCTGGTGTTGTTGGTGAAGGTATGGACAGTAATCTGGACAAGACTCCGATCTGCAATCGTGGCTCTTGCAAGGTCATATTCGACGCGGTTAACTTGAAGATCCTCGAATACGAAAGAGAAATATTGGTCGTCCCATTTATTTGAAATCGGCGAAGTGGCGCTTACCTAGATGAGATGGTATTTTGGTATCTAACATCACGGACCAGGAAGAGCGAGACGGACGTGTGGTGTCATATGGGTGCGGCTGAAGATGACCATGTCTAAAGCAGGACATGTAATGCGGAACATCTTGGCCGTCTTCCCTTCTCCTGCCTCTAGCTTGAACCAGCTGAAAAAGTCGTTAAACCAGTCTCTATCGACAATTAGGACACAGTGACCTTGCAGGGCTTCCCTCATCGTCCTCATTCGCAAGGGTCCGTGCTGGGGTTATGACAAGGAATTTGTCGGATACTTTGCCTTGAAGGGCATAAAAGCCTTCCTGGTTCTCACTAAGAGGAACGAGCGAAAAATATTGGTCCTGATGTTCGGACTGCACAGGGTGGTGCCACACTTCTGGCTGCTCGTGCGTTCGTGAAAAAAGGACTTGTTGGGTCACATAGCCAAGCAGGCGGAAGCAGACCCCAGGGGGTGGAATATAGAGTGTTTCAGCCATTTTGCGCGAGATCGATGGATGAAGGAGAGACGAGAGACCGTGGAAGGGCAGAAGTATTTATACGCTTTCCTGGCTTGGAGTACGCGGCGACTTGTTCAATGTTGACGTTCAACGTGGTAGGCTTGAGGCAGCTAAAAACGATTCATGATATTCCTGGTAAGTGCTCTTACGCATACATAGCCCGGACCAGACTCGTTGAAAGTGATATTTGAGATTTTTAAAGTAACTGTTGTCGTAAGTAGTAGCTTGAAGTAGGCCCCGGGAAGCTCCACCAAAGGGTGATTCAAAAAAATTCCGAATTTTGGCCTCAAAAACCCATTTTTTTGGGCCCCAAAAACCCATTTTTGAAGAAGGATCGTGACATGTAACTGCGTGACAGCTGCCAAAAATGGTAATTTTTACAGGTATCAAAAAGTGTCTTGTGGCGCTTTTACCTTGGAACTAACACTCTCTGGGGTGATTCACCTCTCAAAAAAAAGGCATCTGTTACTCGGTGAGACGCTGGTGCACAGGCCAGTCGAAAACTTTCCTGTGAACCTCCCCGAGGCCTGAAAAACCCATATTTTGAAGAAGGTTTTCAGAATTTTCGTCTCAAAAACCCATTTTTTGGACAAGGAAATCGCGATTTTTGGCCCTCAAAAACCCAAATTTTTGAATCACCCTTTGGTGGAGCTTCCCGGGGCCTCTTGAAGTTGAAATCAAGTTCTGCGCCTTGAGCAGCCCATAATAGCCTCTATGGGCACACGGCTGATATTGAAACGCTGAGTGTTAGGCACATATTGGAAATGAAACAAGGCCCGGGCTAGAAAGTAAAGAATAGTGAAGAATTCGGTGAAAGTTGAGCGAAGGTAATTGCGCAACTTGTGATTGGCTGGGTCACACGTGACACTTTACTTTCTCTGCGTGCGGTTGCTGGCAGCGTCCTCCAATGCCGGTCATTCCGCCCCGCCTTGTCGTGCCGGTAGGGCTTCTGCGTACCTTAGCGCAGCCCCAGCCAAGACCCCTTATCACCATCTCCCGCCGACTGCAGTCTACCCATGCCCACAGTCGTTCAACCAACACCCCAAACTACCTAGAGAGCGCGGACGGTCTCATTAGTGACCTGACTCTTCGCAAGCACCGGAAAGAGCTCACTCCACGCAAATTCGATGCAGACGGAAACGAAGTCGACCCATACAAGGGTGGACCGAGTGCGATAGACAAAGCCGTCCACATCTTCTTTTTCACCGAGATCATCCGTGGTATGAACGTCTGCTTCGACAGTCACTACTTTCTCAGTACTCTTCACAGGCATGTGGATCGTTTTGGAGCAGTATTTCCGTCCGCCATACACTATCATGTACCCGTTTGAGAAGGGCCCGCTGTCACCTCGTTTCCGTGGGGAACATGCCCTCCGCCGATACCCCAGTGGGGAGGAAAGATGCATTGGTGAGTCGTACTCGGCGCTGGGTTTAGAACGTGCGCTAATCTTGGACTTGAGCCTGCAAACTGTGCGAAGCAATCTGTCCGGCACAAGCAATCACAATAGAAAGCGAGGCCCGTCTGGATGGTTCGCGTCGGACTACGAAATATGGTCAGCTATTTTACTCCTTTTGCGGCTTCTCTTTACCCCGGGACAGATATCGACATGACCAAGTGTATCTACTGTGGGTTCTGTCAAGAAGCATGTCCTGTCGATGCGATTGTCGAAAGTGGGTGATTTGTTTCCGAGGTATCAAGACTCTGACGTATCTTTCCCTTTCTACAGCACAAAATCAAGAGTTCTCGACAGAGACGAGGGAGGAACTGCTTTACAACAAAGAGAAGCTACTTGCAAATGGTGATAGAGCTGAAGCAGAGATTGCCGCTAACCTGCGCTGTACGTCTACTCTGCCCCACTTTTTTATCTATCTTGCTGACTATTGGCTAGCTGATCATGTCTACCGGTGATGTCGTGTTGTAAGCCAATAATACACCGTTTTGCGATACACGTGCTAGCGAGTTTTCCAAAACGAGATCTGGGCGTCGAAGAAGCTGGTTGCCTTTTTTGCTCAGGTCTACTTTTCTTCTTCCGACCCCGAATTCCAAATTGAATCGCAGCTACGTTCGTCGGTATCGTTGAAAACCTGCTTTTGTCGTTTTCAAGTTACCATTCTCAGGAAGGCAAGACTGACCCAAGAAGTCTACCCCTTTCCCCATTGTGCGAGGCGGTATAACTTCTTTCCATTGTTATCACACACAACTTGGTTCCTCCGGACAACGGTGGGATCAGCGATGAGTCGATTTATTCATCCGCGGACCACTTGCATCTTAACATCCCGCTACCGCGAAGCGTCTCCGACGACGAACTCGAGTTGCGATGACGCTGTCTCTCTACAGCAAACCTCTTTTTCGCAATGGGCGGCGGACGTCGGGAACACCCGTTTGGTGGCGTCTTTCCTGGCTCCTGCCCTCAGCTCGCCCAAAACGGATGTGGCCCCTGTCACAATCCAGCTTTTTTGTCGGATTGGTTCCAAACTTTTTTTCTGATGGCGAGGTTGTCTCGATCTAAAGGTTCCACTCCTCTTCCGTCTCGCCAACCAGGATATGGACCTTCACAGTATCCTCAATCCAGGGCTGGACTCGCCGGAGACTGTGAACCACTCTTCGACAGGTCCGCCTTCTTCGAAGACACCGCTTCTAGGCCGAGGGTAAATGTCCAACTTTTGCTATGATAGGCGATATTCTTGGAATTAATTATGGACTCTACAGAACGATTGGACCCTCCGGACTCGGAATCGGATCTTCGACACATCGCCGGGCGAGTTTGCGCAAATCAGCTTCAGCGGGGGTCACCAGCAATCGCATCCGCAGTCTCAGCCCCACCACACGTAAAGCTCGTGCTCACGCCACGTATACCTCGTCCTCGCCAGCAGCCACTTTACGACGGTCCTCTTCAAGCACCCGTCCCCATCACAAGCTCAAGCAAAACCCGAAGCAGCACATCTCGCCAACACCCTCGGTTAGGCAGGCCCGTCCCACTACCAAAAACAGCAAAAACAAACAGAAACAGCAGCAGTTCCGGGCCTTGGGAGTCACTTCTTCTACTGCTACCTCCCCGTCTTCGCCGACGCCACAACAAAGAACCAGCTCCACATACAGAATCGATATCGCCTCTTTCCGCTCGCCTTCCAGATCGCAATCTCTCGCGTCGAGTCAGTCGCAGTCTTCTCGCGCCAGCCGTGACCGCGATCTTGACCGCGCTGTCGCTATCAAGCTGCTCACTCGTGCCCGCCAACATGTCAAGCACCAGCAAGAACTGGAACTACAGCAACAGCAAGGCGGTCTTCTTCGGAGAACTCCATCCCTCTCAATCATGGACGTGGTCATGGACCTCAAGGGGCCAGCAGTCGATCTCGAAGACGTGGCTTTGGCTATCCAGCAGCGTTTGCAAAGACAGCAGAACAGCTATCAGTATGACCTCATTCTCGCTACCGACAGCAAAGAAAACGGAAATAGGGACGCATTGGCGAAATATTGGGCGGGGCAGGCGGCGCTCTGGTGTGGGTTTCAAGTGGATATCGATATTGCGGAGGACTGCGACAACAACAGCGATGTATCTGGCTACGTTTCGGCGTCGAATGGTGTTTCGCGCTTGCAACACCGGTTTCCTGTGTCTATGGAGCGATCAACTGTAGCGCTTGCTTGAACCCCTTCCGGCGCGACATTCTATGTTTTTTTGCGGTTTCTGTCTCTTTTTTTTTCGTCTTGTGCTTGGCCATGCAGGAAATCACCGGCGTCGGTATCTTCTTTCAATTCTTGGGTCTTTGTGGCTGGGTGTCGAGAATGCATATGGGGTTAACCGGCGTTCTATATCATGGATCAAGTATCTCTATACTTTTCAGTGCAACTATCCGTATGACATACAACCTCCGGCGCTTTCGGGCCAATCTCCATTCCGCGTTAAAGGTTATCAAACTCGCTCAGAGTTAGTCCGAGAGAGAGAGACTGAGAGGAACGCTTTACATCGGAAGTTATGTTTAGTTGTGTTCCGTCCGGAGCCGCCGCCACTAGTAAGTGACCAGTCCGCATCTAACACACTTATCAAGCCGTTTGTCGGGATGGATCGACTCGGGTGGTGTTGGTCGGCATTTGAAACAAGTGGTATAGTAAGGCGCTAGTCCAATCTGAAGCCCGCAAAACATTCGGTCTATTACGATTACTTGTGATGGGTCATGGTGGGGATATGGCAAATTGGAGGGAAAATGAGTGGTAACGACAAGGACGACAAAACAGAGGGACAGCAAGATGTGACATTACAAATGATAAGTCAAGAAAGAGACAGATATACGGCTTTTTTATGTCTCGCCTGCGCTGGTAGTAGCGCGTTTTGGTCGGTCTATGGATGGTAGCGTTTTGAGCTGCGTGGCTCGTGATGTCTACCGGGGAAAATTGGGGGGTCATCGTTATCTTCCATCTCGTTTCTCGTCCGCTTTCGAGACTCAAGCGGTGGCGGCGGCGCTGGGCCACCTGGAGGCAGCGGCGGCGGGTATAGACCTGATCCCGGCCCACCAGCATTGCTACCTCCGTTACGGGGTACGGAAAGTGGCATATCGACATCACGGTCATCTCTCGGGGGTACAGGGCGAAGCCTGAATGAAGCGCGTCTTGCTGGCTGGGGAGGGGGTTGATCGCCATCATAGAATTGGTCGCGCGAGTCTGGACGTGATTCAGCCTGTCCGGAGCCAGAAGCATGGGCAGAGGGACTGTTTGAACGGGAATATGGTCGGTGGTACTGTTGAGAGGAAGGAGACGCGGTTGGCAGGTCACGAGGTCGAGAACCGTGTTCACGGTCTCTATCCCAGTCGCGTTCATCTTCGCGGTTTATGTACGTGCCTGGTCCCAGTCGTTGGTGGTTGTGTATTCCACGGGTGGGGACACGTGAGTCGGATGGGGGAGAGTGGGAGTGTTGCTGGGAACGTGCCGCAAGCTCGTGAATGTCTGGGCCTGGCAATGCTGCAGGAACGTGGCGACGAGCGTGGTTGGGTGAGCTGTGTGGTGGCGGCGGTTCAATATATGGCTCAGGAGGGGGTGGGTACATTGTCGGGGCAGAGCTGCTTCCTGGAGGAAATGGTTCAGGTGGCCGCATATAACCTATTGACCCTCGTCGATCCATGTTCATTGGTCCTATCGGACGACGGTCCATTGGGGGTGGTTGTTGCTCGTGCGGTTGAAGATGCGGTGGTAATCGTCCTACATTGACAGAAAGCATGTCGGATGACGGTGGGACTACTTGCAGTCGTTCATACAACACGCTTGGTTTAACACAGAGAGTCAGTTGGGCGGACATCAACCTGAGAAAAGAACAAGGTGCTTACGCGCGTTCCAACTTCATTCTCTGAATTGCTCGTTTTGCTTGCAGAATCTTGTAGTGCAGCTTGTCATTATCCTGAACGACATCGTTAAGTGGTGGAGATATCAAGAGAAGAAAGCGAGAACGAACCTGTTCTATTTCCTTCACCTTAACCTTTAGGTCTTTGTATTTAGCGTGATATTTTATGTCGTTTGCACCCGCTGCAAGGCCTGGCCCGTAGGGGAGCTGTGGTGGTTGTGGACGAGGGGTGGGGACAGGTGGTCGGTTGATAGGTGGCAAAAAAACCGTCTCCTGGGCCGCCATGGAGGGAAAAGCCAAGTTAGGTTGGCTGTGTCTCGATTTGTTTGCTGGCGTTCAGTATATTGATCGCCCGCCAACACCTTCCTCTTTTGTCCTTCCGACTCTCATCCCACCTCCCACCAGTGCGTTTCCATGGCTCACCCTCCCGTTGAGGCACAGACTCTAACAGCACTCTTTGGCAGTGGCAACACCCCAGTTTAGACAGTATGTCGCGTCACAGAACGGTCTATCTGCTCATTCCACAAATTAACAAGAGATCTACCTCCCGCTGGCGGATTCGAGACCGTGAAGTATAAGCGGAACCTCCCCCTTCGCGGACCCGGAGCTCTGGTTATCCTTGGAGGTGTGACTGCGATATGTGCGTTTGGGTTTTACCGAGTTGGACTGGGCAACGTTGAACGAAGGTAAGCCAACCTAATTCTAAACGGCTAGAAACGTCGGCGGAGATCAGCTGGTACTGGGGCTGGTCACCGAAAAACGTTTCGTGGCTCCGGCCGTATTCGCCATCTCTTTTTACGCGTATCTTCGGACCGACCTCAGCTGACACGCAACTCGACTTCTAGGGAGTTGCGTCGCGAGCAGATGTGGGCCAGGATTCATCTTGTTCCGTTGCTTATGGCGGAGGGAGACCGGGAAGCCTATGCTGCCTCACAACGAGCTGCTGCAGTGGAAGCGGACATTATGAAGAATGTGAAGAATTGGGTGAGTTTTTGATCTCATTTTGACCCGCAGGTCTTCTTAATCGTTGCAGGGACCCGATTCGTCGTACCACAACCCGCGATACCGTTCTATGTAGTGTTTTGTGCTAGTTTTACATCCAAAAGTTGTGTCCTTGATGGGTTTAGTCGGGAGGAGGACCGGACAATGCCTATCCAGAGCATTGGGTCACACCTTCCCGTTTTGTCAAGAGCTTCCATTTTGTTTCTTGGACTTTGCCAGTTGTCCCACAGCTCAAGACGCATGCGCAGCACGAGATTCAAGATTGGAACAGGTCACAGTCATACTATCTACAAAAGAGAAGATCTACATCTCGGAGTCAGCAAGCGCCATAAATGGTACTAAGCCGTTTCCGAGAGCCTTTAAAACAGGCCCTCCGGCTGCCTGTCATCCGCTCTTCTATCCTCCCCACTCTCCGTCGACCCATGTCCGCCCTCAAACAACACCAACCTTCCACCATGTCTTTCTTCGACGAGCCCCGCTTTGAACACCAGTTCCTCTCCAACAGCCCAGAGGAACCAATGCTATTCGATTTTGACGACTACTCGTCGTTCATTGCCCCTGGATACGACGAAACTCATCCTCCCCTCGACGAAATGCCTCCGTCTCCCGCCTATGAGCTGGCGCCAGCATACTCCGCGGACCCTTTTGCGTCGTACAATGAAGACGTCAAACCACAGCCACATCGACTCTATCTGAGCAACTGGGCTTCGGACCCGCCCTCCGCTACCTCCCCGACCTCCCCGATACCCATCCCTTCCCCCAATTCGACTCATGACTTTATCTCCTACAATGATCATTCGTCACCACTCAGTTTTGACGCGCCATTCTCTCCGTTATCACTTGCTGCTGCGCTTCCTTTACCCGCGAGTTTCTCGCCTTCCTCGTCAATGGACGAGCACCATCATACCCACTATGCCGTTCCACGGCAACTAATGGATTCTGTCTCGCCACAAGAGACCACTAGTTCCTCTTCTTCAACAACACAAGTCCCTCAATGGGCTGCCCAGCTATGGGATTCGTCACCAGCGACGCGACACTCGCGCACTGCATCATCCCCGCGTTCTATTACGCGTCATTCACCCTTGTCTGGCAGACGTGACTCCTTAACGACTTCTGGGGGACAGCTGTTCCCGTCAACCAGTGCTCCTTCATCTGCAATAGCTGTAGGGCACAACACCATCCGCGCTTACAGCAAGCGTGCCGAGTCATTTGGCGCCTCCGAGGATCGAGATCGCGATGCAACTGTTCGCAGGCGAAAGCGCAGTGGGCCGGCGGAGGAAGTCGAAGATGAACAGAGTCATGATAACAACCGTGTGTTCTCTTCTTCTATTCATTACCATCTTAATGAATCGTACTTAAAACAGCTACAGCGCCTCTGAAATCTTTGTTGCGGCCCCCAAAGCTTGCCCCATCAGCCTGGCAGCTGTATTTCACCGATTGGATTCAACGGCAGCAAGCGTCAAGCAACCGGAAGCTCAATGTGGCCCAGGCAGCCAAGGAAGCAGGGGCGGAATATGCTAGTTTGAGCGAGGAGGAGAAGGAGGTACGTGTCTTTTTCCAATTTGTCAAACGACGTCATTACTCATGCTCTCCCAAGCCCTACAAGCAGCGATCTCAGGCGGCGAAGGAGATCCGGGAGCGTGAACTGAACGCTTATCTCAGATCGCTTACTCCTGAAGACATCAAGCGTGAAAACGCGTTCCGATCTGCTCAACGCAAGGCCGGAAAGTCGAGAAAGAGCAATATCAAGGACCCCAACGCTCCCAAGAAACCACTCAGCGCGTATTTCATGTTTTTGCAACGGATCAGGGCAGACCCCGTGCTCGTGAGGGAGATATTTGGGGACGAGACCGAAACTACCAAACAGAGCGTCCTCGCTGCGGCGAAGTGGCGTGCCATGTCCGACGATGAGAGGAAGGTGCTTCTTTTTCGTTGTCTTATCATATCGCAATCAGCTGATCTGACATTCCTTCTTTCTTTCTACTTATAGCCATTCTTGGCACAGGCGGAGCAAGAGAAGATGGAGTACGAGGCTGCGAGACGGCTGTACGAAGACGGGGCTGGCTCGCCTGGCTACGGGACCAATATCAACTTCAGCATTTTGCCGGGGAGCCTCAGTCCTGCCCCGTTTCCTACGCTCAAACTCGAATCGGAGAGTGAGAGCGAGGGTGACAGCCATGGGCCGCGAACGCGGCAATTTCGGGCATCGTCATGATTCATGAGACACATTGAAGGGTTCTGCTGCTTGTTTTTTCCCTGGTTTGGATTGCTGTACCTTGGTACTCATTTACGACCCCTTACGACCCATTCTCATCGCCTCTTCGACCTTCCCGTGGCGTACTTATTCATATACTCGCCCACTCGTACATCCGGACAGTGTGGATGTTCCCACCATAGTTGTATCATACTTATGCCCCGATCTACTATCTTGTAGCTGTACCTGCCTAGATCATACACCACCATCGTACTACTTACAGCGCCCTCTATGCTAGACCCCATTTTGAATCAATTGTGCGCTAATCCGACCCATTGGCGTTGGCATTCGCGTCGAGTAACCCAGTTCCAACTTTAGCAACCATATGCTGGACGGGGACCGGAAACTTGAGGCGCGCGACCATGTTCTGGTGTGGGGCGCCATCCTCGTCAAAACGCTCGCCCTGCAAAAAGCGCTTGGGATCAGCATCGCAATCGGGTTTAGACTGGTGGAGGCGCCGCTACCTCAGGGACAAAGCCAAATCTGGATATAGCAGGTAAGCACGGCGGCGGTGAGTTGAGATGGCATCGAAATGAAACGCTCAATGGCAGAAATGAAACGCCGTGGCAGAATCTATCTCTGCCACAACGACAATGACGCGGAGCGTGCAGAGAAGGGGGACTTCAGACTGACTTTTCATAGAACGGGATGACAGGGATCTGCGCATGGCACTCGACCTCTGCTGGCCGGTTTGTCGCGGCGGCGTCTAAGAGCACCCAGTTGTGAAGACTGTTGACGAGAAGACGGCCCAGTTTATGCTGGCGGTAGTCTGCTTCCACAGCCAAGCTGTTCACAGCAGTATTGAATAGTTTGTGAAGGTTAACCATGTCAATTATGAGTTCCAACGAGCGCTGGAAGATGAAAGACACGCTTGCCGGCTGAGCTTGTAGCGATTTATGGCGGGATACACGTCCGGGGCTGTCCCACGAATCGTGCCAACACCTTTGGTGACGCGCTCGCCGGTCGTGGAATCTTCTTCCGTTACGCGCACCAGGAAATGCATTGCGACATGCTCTACTCTGTCAGCGCATTAGAGCAAGGTAGACGCGGAGAGCACCCAGCTCACTCGTCGAATTCCGTATCAAGTGGAAATTTCTAGCTTAAAGTGAGAATGACTCATATCGCAAGACTGACTGGCGCACCTGCTCGATGTGGAAGACCTCTTTGCGGATGCGATGGCACTCTTCTATGATTTCTGGGTCGTTGCGGCCATGCACGACCTCAAACGAGATTATTTTTGTTGACATTGATCGTGGTTAGGGGGAAAGTCCGGATTGGGGAATGTGATCGGAGGCAAATCCGAGTTCAGGTTTAATTACACATTGGGGTTTCGCGCCAAAACGGCCACCCCAAGCTGGACTTATATAGCAGAGATCGGGGCCCAAATCATGAATCAGATCGTGGAGCACGTGACGTTAAGTTACCTTATTTGGTAATTCGGACATCGGATCTGCGACACTGATTTGGGTGCCCATTTTTGGCACCTGATTTCTCACAAAAAAGTCCAGCTCCGGGTCGCTGTTTTTGCGCAAAACCCCGATGTGTTTACACTATGCGACCGTCCTTAGCTAAGTATGTAAAAACTATCTACGAGCCATCGCAGAGGTATGTAACAAAAATTAAGCCTAAGCCACCTGGGTATCGTGCGGGCAAGAAAGTACAAGTACAAAGAGCGGAATAGCAAACAGAAATGCGAAACCGAAAGCAGGGATAGCAAACGAGAGGTAGGTAGTTTTCCGTTGTCGTATCCAGTTGTCCCTCCACTACAGGATGGGTGATATTGTTTGTGTCAGTCGTTTGGCGATGCGATTGTCGAACAGACAAAATGGGAGTGAGAGAAAGAAAAACTTAGCATCATGGATATGTCTGAAGTGTTTCACAAGTGCGAAAGCGCACAGCAAGAGAGGATGTCGATAAGTTATGCCGGTCGCGCGTTGTTTGTGGTTTGTGTTGGCGTTGTCGGATGCGGGCTCTCATCGGATTGGTATCTCATGCTGATCCGCACTTGGTGCTGGAAAGCCACATTGTATTTTCAGTACTAAGATACCATCCTCCATCGTCGCATCGATGTCGGTAGGCTGTAAGCACAAGAAAAATCGACGTCGGCATATATTGTCGCCCCAAAAAGACGGGTGAGAATAACGGGACAAGAACAGAAGCACGCACTCGTGTGTCGCTTGCGACCGGCAAGTGTCGACTAAACATGCCATATTTGCGTTCCCGAAGAGCGCTGGGAGATGTGGTTGGGGCAAAGGGCGGGTAGGAGTGTCCAAGAACAACAAGTTGTCTCAACCGATTGAATGGGGTTGTCGCAAGCTTAATCGTAAGGTCGTCCTTTCTGACCCCAGGGACTTCAAGCGTGGCGGTTAGAATGCGAGTGAGCGGATCGTAATTGGTGTCCGCTCGAATTAGATACCGCTTCGGAGCCTCTGTTGCTGTGGCCGGAGTAGGGTTGGCGACAAAAGAGTGCATAACACTCTCCTGGTCCTGCAGAGCCCCATGAGGAGAGTTGGGGACGAATGACGACGATGAGCCTTGTTGAGCTAGCGGGGTAAACTCGCTACAACGAAAGGCGTATCAGGTCGATAAAATCCGGGAAATGCGGCACACCTGAGGGGCGACGTGGTGAAAGTCTGTCTCCCCGGAGCAGGTGATTGAGCTGCCGAGCCTGGGTGGGCTTGTGGTGTCGAAGCTTGGCTCGCAAACCTGATATGTTGATGTGCTTCCATCTCTCGACGAGCAGCAGCGCTGGACGGACGCTGATATGGGTGAAAATTATGCTGATGGGGTGGTCGCGTATTGGCTCGGGAAGTTTGTCGCACGGACGTGTCCACCTGCAGCAAGACAGGCTTAATCTCAATTGGTGGTGACCGTCCCGCCACCGGCGGGTGAAGGCGAACCGGCGCCATATCAAACTGACCCCGTTGTGGACGTTGGGTCGGAACTAGCTGCTGAGGCTCTTCAATGTGCGGTAAAGTTGGCTGAAGCCGAGTCGGGGTGACGAGTTGTTGCTGGTCAAGCGATGGCTGAGAGTGTTGGGGCTCAGAATGAGGCTGAGATTCTGCCGGTTGTGTTTGCTGTTCCCACTGGTAGTTTTCGCGCGGCGTAGGAGGTTGAGAATTGTTTGAATATTCGTAGTACGACATGGCGGTAGAGAGGAAACAATGTCGGTCCCGCGGGATCAGAAAAGTGACTCTATTGCGTCACATTTTGGCATGCGTGACGCCGTGATCGTGACTCGACGTGATTCCTGTCCGACTCCATCCGAGGGTTCTATCCGGTGACTCCCGGGTGTTCACTCAAGAATTTCCGCGACATGATCAAGCTTGAGCTTGAGGCACACACTCAATAAGGAATGGCCTTCACTCTTACATAAAGGCTAGTTATGGACCTTCTGGTGAACTTCCCTCGCCCACCCCAATCTTCGAAAATTCGAAATGCCCGCTGCCCCAGAAAATAGCCGTACGACGAGGTAACTTTCCGCGGGGCCCAGTCTAACACACCCTCAGGCCTCGACTGGGGAACCCTCGAAGGGGTAGGCACTTATTGGCCTGGCCGAAATCCAGTCACTGATATCTGCACTTACAGGCCAAAGAACGCCTTCGTCTCGACCTGAACTTGTCCGACCCCAAAATATACGAGCCGGTTTTCGTAGGTCTCCTACATACCCAAACCGCATCTAACGTTGGGTCCGCATTGACCTCAAGAGGCGTCTCAATTCGTTGCTGGATGCTGAAGTTTGTCCGTATCCCAAAAACCAGCGACGACGCCTCGCCAAAGAAGTATTGGAGAAAGTATCTACCTATTCGCAGTGCATCACCACCCAAACCGACCTTCAAAGTTTCTAGATATCTATCACGGTCATTTTCTCTACAAACTTTCGGACTCTGGACAGAAGACCCGTATCGCATCCCTGGAAAACTATTTCCAAGTGTACCAGAACGCTGAACTGCATCGCGCCTTGAACGAAGATGGGTCAAATGGATCTAGTTTGAATGCGGATTTCGGAATTGAACTTGAAGTACCGTTACCAGACTCGGAGAATGAACAACGTCGTTCCGCATCCATGGCATCGACTATACCCGCCTCCTCCGAGTACGAAGGTCCTTCGACAAACGAGAACAGCGAAGCGGACTCGGGGCTCGGTATAACCAGAGGGGCCGCTGTGAAAAAGCGTCCGAATGTTGTCCAAGTTGTCAATAACGACCTTATCTCGCTGTTGGACCCCGAGGATCCTATCGGCACTTTTCTGATGCTTGTTTGCCAACCACCAATGAGCGGACTGTTTTCTGCGTTTAATCGTTGCGGCATAAAAACAGCGCATCATCTTGTGGGCATGGCACAGTGGCCCGAAGAACGCGTGAAGGACTTTATCCAACGTTATCACATAAAGCAGACACCATTCGACGAGATGGCCATCTTATTTGGATTCCGGGTACCCGTTTTTTTCATGTCCAGTGGTTGTGCTGAACAACTGTAGGCTTTAAGACGTTGATATTCTCAATAGCTTTACCTAGACAACTCTCAGAAGAATCTACCTAGCAATTTTTCAGCTCGTTTATCACAGACCTCCCGCAAGAGTGGCCGCAGTTTCTTGTAGCAAAGCTTATTATGTGCCCTCAACCACTTCTTTTCTTCCTTGGACAAGAGCGAACTTTCGACCAATTTTTGTTGAATGGGAACCATTGTAAATCGCTCGAAGCCCAGCCATATGCTTCCGCCAAATTCCTTGCGTGTCTGATGTGCAAGCTTAGCCAAGCCACAATGGAAACTTGAGAAAAGTGTAACCTTTTTCTCGACACAGACGATTGTCGACTCTGTGCGACATCCAAAGTTACCTTCGTCATCTGCCAACACACAAGTTCAACAGAACAATAAGCAAGAATTGTAGAGCACGCACAGAACCCTGGCTCATTCGTTATAACATGCCCAGGCTTCAAGATGAATGGGACGCTGATGCCCGTTGAACCTACATGGGCTCATTATTAAACACAAACTCTGCAGCATTTTTATGATCCCAATCACTTTCGTGAACGACACCATAACTTCCAATACCATGTCCGGGGCCGTGTCCAAAGTTCCTGTGCCCGGTCAAGAAGGCAGTGAAATTGAAAAAACCACTACTTGCATTCCGTCCTTCCAAAGATGATGTCGCACGATACCATCTGCGACGGCGCTTCCGGTCAAGGAGCCACTCGAAACAGCAATCAAATACCTAGATTCGTGGCCAAAGTGCCTTGAGGAAAGATGAGGGAGTCGATTGCAATATGGGCCTGCAAAACACGTGTAAAGGCACGTTTCTGCTCTTTGGCTGTGATATTCATTTAGATGGAGATGGAGAAAGCGAACATTACTTGCTGGGTTTGCCGAAGTGGACTGTGCTAAGACGGACAATAAACGAGAAATTCCGAAGCAACAAAACACCCACCGTGTTGTGTCGATCGTCGAGTCAAAGTACTGCTGGCCAGAGTCCCTAAGAGAAACAATCAGACGGGTTATGAAACGTGATTGGACCCACAGGAGATAAGGTGCTTCCCGTCCGATAACGAGGCATTCGTCAGGTTCCGCATGGTAGCTTAGTTATCTTGATCAGACAGGGGCGGACAACATGAGCAAAGAAACATACTGGGGTAAAGCGGCACTCGGTCCATATGCGCTGGAAGCTCGTATTAGCATGGAGTCCCACTCTGGCTGGTCGGCAAGCTAACCTGATGAAACTGCAGTCTCCTGCCCAATATTTCACCTTTGAACGGTATTCACTCAATTTTCTCTCCGCTTCGTATTCGGTGACAACATTCTTTTTCTTGACGATCTGCTCATGAAGCCATCCATACCAGCGCACCATGACCACACTATCCCGAAGATTGCCGTTGAAGAAACCCTCAATTTCGACGGCATTTTTGATGGCTTTGGCTGTGTTTATTGGGGAGTGAATGACGGTCGCTGTAGCCTAAACTGGACATAAACTTGGGAGAAGGAAGCTGCGCTGACTTTTCCGCACCGCAAGCATTTGTATAACAGCATACGATGCTTTCGAGTCGACCAAAACCTGCGACTAATGACATGTATCAAATTATATGCAAGTCGAAGAGTTTGAGTACTAGTAGTAGGTACCTTGGGATCTTGCTGCGCTTTTTTCGCAAGAAAGGCCCAAATAGTTTGGTATTCTTGGATTTGCACGTTGAGGGTATTGAGATATTCTCGGACTTCTGTTGTGATCTTGCGAGAATCAATGAAAAGAACGACTTCGGTTGCGCTGACGAAGCAGTACGCATAAAAAAGCGGCTGATTGAACATGTCGGTGCCGCGGAGATTGAGGAGCCATGCTAGATCGTCCAGAGATGTCGCAAGATACTTCAAGTGAGCAATGAGAAACAACAATTAGAATGAAAAAAAATGTACTCACCGAGGTTGATTCCGAATATGCTCTTATCTCCTCACGTAGCTGGGCAATTTTAGAATCCGCTCCACGACCTGGGAACAAATATTCAGACCCAGCGACCACGATTGACAGAGCGAGTAACCGGAGAACTTGAGCGGGTGGACAATAACCGGGTCAGTTGAGCGCGCAGGCTTGTCAGTCCAAACTTGGTCCACAAGATTGACCAGTGTTGCAATGACTCTAGAGCCTGTTGGTAGAGTCGCCTCCAAGGAAGCCATCAGCGCTGGAGTAATCAACCGCGCATCGACAGCGATGCGACTCCCAGCGGGTAGCTAATAAAGATTTCAACAGCTGTTTCAAGCCCCAGTAAACGACATGCATTGCAGAGATAGTCTTGGAATCCACCAGGCACAATGGCACGCGGGTCAGCCTTGCGGAGTGTCCAAATGCGGGGGTCAATAGCCTTCTCCGCTGCGACCCAGTATCTGCTGTCCGTGAACAGCAATGCCTCGGTTTGAGTGATGACAGCGAGACCTGACGAGCCGTGGAAGCTGCATCTGGAATCAAGAACACAAGCAAAATATTAAAACAACACACGTACCCAGTCATAAACCCGCGTCGCAGCTCCGACGCGGATGGAATTTCGCTGCCATGTTCGTCTTCATTCGGAATAATATACGCGTCAACCTTGTTGTCCACCAGAATCGCACGAAGATGATTGAGAACTGCAGCAGAGCCGGCGCCTGATCTCTTCAAGACTTGGAAGTAAGATGGCGGAGAAACAACACGTGCTTCGTTTTCATTGTTCTCGTCCTTGCGAAACAGCGGGAGGCAGAACATGGCGGTTGAAAGAAGACGCGTTTGATAGGACCGATCACGTGCTTCACATTTCAAGGATTGATTGTCCTAAGTATTACTAGTACAAGAAAGTTAAAGAAACGATAAGATACAGCGCAGTAGACTAAGCGTCAACTTCAGACCAATCACTTTCTTCGTGATCCTCTGTAGATTGTAGGCTTGGCTCGGTGTCGAATAATGGAATATTTGATACATCCAGAATCGGACTCGGACTGGCGGGTTCGACCTCGTATGTCTGAACGATATGAGTAGTTTGCTCAAGTGATGGAGGTTCAGTCGAAATTGGAGTGACAATTTCGGTTGCGCTTGCTCCCTGAGGTTCGGGCCGTTCATCCCCACCCTCACTTGTAAAGTCGGTGTCGAGTAGCGAGGACTGGGATTCTATGCCATCCGCAGCTGTGATGAATTCGACATCAAGTGCAGCTGAGTTTTGCTGTTGATTTTCTGGTTCTTCCAGGTCAACGGATACCGCCGGTGCCGAAGGCGGTACGACTATGGCCAGTCCTGACATTTCTTCTCCAAGAACTGGGTCCTCTCTTGCTTTTCGTCCAGAAAATATACGCCATTGGGTCTCAACCATGCTCTCGACCTCATCCAGCGCACCCTCCACCTTCCCGACAGCCGCTTTTCGCGCATGCCTGATGTCTTCGTCACCAAAACTCTCGACTGCATCAAGACGCGCCAGCAATTTGCTTAGAGTCTGGTGGTACTGTCGCAAGGGTTGATTTTGCGCATTAGAACTGAGACGTGAAATGATGGTGTCATTGTCGTTTAGTCCGGTGCCACGAGCAGCGGGAGAGTTTGTGCGAGAAGAGGAAAAATCTAGTTTTCCTGGCGTCGCCCACTCCTTGGATAATGCGTTGAATGCTGCTAGAACGGCTTCTATCTCGGCAACTGATGAAGAGCGAGAATCAACAGGACCGACGGGCTTTTCTTGTGATTCAGGTGCTTTCACTTCCGAGGAAGGAGAAGAGGCCTTAGATGGCTCTGATTGTGTATTTGCGGGTGTATGGTTGGCAACTCGAATAAACATTCGCACAGGTTCCGTGGGTAGATTGCGACTTGGTATGATGGTTTCGAATTTCCGTAAAGGCTGTGAGCTCTGTGCGGTAGGTGGCCTCGTGTTCGAGGGTTGATGTTCAAACTGGGGCCTAACGAAACGTATGGGATTGCGAGTGTCGATGGATGGCAGGGGATTATGAGTGTTGTCGTCAATCTGCTGCACAGATGGATCAGTATGAATAGCGGAGAACGACGATAGGGGACATACCGACTGCCATAAGCCTTCAGATAAGCAAGGATTTGGACTTGACGTTGGCCGAGGATGCATATGCGAGAGCGCTCTGCGACCTTGAAATTCAGATTGTCGCTGCACTTCCCGTTGCCGTTGCTCCTGCTCTTGTTCTTCGAGAATGCGCTGACGTTCTTCGAAGGCTATCTGCCTCCGAAGAGCCTCGATATCCAATTGGGGTGATCGAGAATGGAACGAGGGTGCTTGTGGGTAGACCGCCGGCTCGTCGTAAGGAACATTGCGCCATAATGGCTGCTTTATAGCCTGGATTTGACGGAGGTGGTAACGAATCGCATCTTCCTCTTGTTGAAGGCGCTCTGCAGCGAGGTACTCGGCCTCAGCAGCACGCACATTTGCCAGGGCAGCAAGATAGTTGTCGCGGGGAGTTGAGATTAGACGGTAGCTTGTAAACATGGTGGATGGTGGAGGGGGCTTGTGGGTTATTTGCTGTTCCTTCAGCTTTTATATATCAGGGTGTTGGTAGACGAAGCGCGGCCATTGTAGAATGTGCTGGAATATCCCTTGTTATTGTCAAGATTACCAAGCCCGCGCTGACTGAGGAGAAGCATTGATGCTGTGTACTATGCTGACTAACTCAGCTGGCCAACGGAGAACACAATCTAGTCAACGAGGAAGTACGCGACATGCGAGAGGGCATCGGCGGGTTGAAGTTATGTACGACCACACTGACACCCCCCATTGATCACGTGCCGGTGTCACTGACAGGTCACGCCGACATCAACTCAGAGCAACTTATAGCGACGCAGGACAAACCATTTGCGAAAATTCAAGACGTACATACTCCTCCAACATACATTTTATTCTGGGTCGAGATTTCTTTCGACCTACCTCAATATCCTTGTCAAGGGCATCAACACAGGCAAGCAACCTTGGGCACTGCACTCTCCCTGTATGCGATTCAGACTCGGAACCATGAAGCGACACGATCAGATACTACTTACGGAGCCAGGGTCGGATAGATGTTGAAGGGTAGGACTGGGACAGGATCGGCACATTAGCGTCGACGCGACAGAAAACTCACCTCCGCGTTCTTCAACCCGTGTGGCTTCACTGTGAAGAGTACGCATAAACATTGGCAACGCAATATTTGGCTATGCTCACGGTGCAAGAGTAGGATAGATATTGAACGGCAGCACTCCAGTACGATTCAGCTTCGCCAATCAAGATGTAGTTACAAGGCAGACTGACCATTACGCTCTTCGACTTGCTTTGCCTCACTAGTTTCTGTCTCAGCCGATACTTGCGTAATATCCTCAGCACCTACGGAGCAAGAGTTGGGTAGATGTTGAACGGTAGTCCTAAGAGGTCTAGTCGATCTCGTTCACGTTCGAGGACACTTCAGAGCTCACCTCCACGTTCCTCTATAGGTTTATCGTCGCTTTTCGCCGTCAGGATGCAAGCTACAATAACAAAAGCCTTATGGGCTTACGGGGCCAGTGTGGGGTAGACTTCGAACGGCAGGACTTGACAAAGATGATCAGCAAGACAACGTTGACTTGACGGTGCCCCACCATTACGACGCTCTAAGCCAATTCCTTCAAGGCACATTCAGTTCTCGGTCAGCATGGACTCGTACCGATAGCAATTCCGGAGACTACATACGCAAATCAGTCAATCGACATTGTGGTTATTGACGGCATCCGTTCGAACTTACCTGCAGCGACCGCAAGTGCAAGGATAAGGCACGCAAACCTTGAGCTCATTTTGAGTGGGGGACGAGGAAAGAGTTGAGTTCCCGTTGTGCTATAAGTATTGCCCCTCCTCCTCCTAAGTATATCTCACTTGAAGCTGTTGAACAGGTTCCATTCAAGAAAGAGGGAAAAATCACAGGCATGGCACGGGCCCATTCGTTGATGATAGACATCTTAAATTGCGCGCAATGCGCGCTCCAGGTGCAACCTCGAGATACGTGTTTTACGGAACTAGCCTGGTACCGAAGGTTTCGAAACCTGTCAAATAGGCGTGGCAAATGGAGTCTTGCTGTAAATAGAAGCGGATCTTTTTATGAATGACTCTGACCACTCAGGTATTGATGTTGTCGACGAATCGCTGGCTCAAGGAACCAACGCAACAACATACACTAACCGATATATCGAGGTGTTGAGCAAGAAACTTTGTTGGAATTGTCATATTCACACAAGGCACGTAATCTCTTCAAGTCTTCCGTCAACCGGAGCCGTTGGCTTTCTTCTGATCTCGGAAATCGGCTCTTCTTCGAACTCTCCCCCGAACTTTCAGCGGTCTGGATTCAAGTTCCAACCCTATGCTTACTCCGTCAGAACGAACCGACGCTGAAGCTTTTTCGGTCACCTTTGAGCTCAAGCTGATGATCGCCGAAGATCGATTAATCGAACTCTAACATTCGTGTGGGATTTTCAGTCCGGACTTCCGTGTGATGGATAGCCCAACGTGACCTAGAGGGTAGGCCGCCACCGTCATCTCGCACACTCCTTGTTATGTACTCTCACAGTGATAGACAGATCTTGGACAGAACCGCTGTTCATTGGCCTTCAGCTCTCAGCGCTCGACCATGGCCATCACCTGGATAGTCCAGTTAATTTTGGCTCGCTGGCGTGACAGATCTTTCGATGCATAGCTAGTCGGGCCTTAAGTGGGCTGAGGGCAAATCACATATAAGTACATGCCATGGTTCGTCGTGCCTGTGTGCCTCAGCAAGCTCCAGTATGTCTTCCAACGCCGACTACGCGGCCGTGCTCCCCCTTAGGACCGTCTATTTCGACATGCTCGTCATCGAATCCCTGTTCTATGGTTAGTATCCTTATCTAATCTTCACAACGAGGGCTTGAATTTTTGCTTAGGGGTCTATGTCGCTCTGTTCCTGGTCACCGCTTACACCATCTGTTCGAATCTACGGATTTTGTTCACGACGCAGAACTGATGGTGCATTCGCAGTTTCCCGGCATCAAATACACTTCAACGTCATCGGTCTTCACATCGCGATTCTTCTCCTGTTCATCTTTTCGACAATTCACCTGGCTACCAAATGGACCATCGTTAGAAACGCTTATGTGTTCAATGGGGATACGCCTCTGACTACGGTCGACTACCTCTCTGCGCCACCATTTTCGATTGAAATTCTCGAATCGACTGTTTTCTCAACCAGCACATTCATTGCTGATTCTATTTTGGTACGCCGTTAGACTAAGAAGCAGTTTGGCTATTGACACTTGTCCTCAACAGGTCTGGAGAACCTGGATTATTTGGGGTCGCGATGCGCGGGTCGCCGCAATTCCCGCGCTCGCTACAATTGCCGGAGCGAGTGCGGCTTTTTACCTGGTTTCTCTATATGCCTTGGCTAACAACCACCTCAGTCTTGGGCTACCTCAGCATCGCACAGGAGGGCCGTTTCCTCCTCAACAAACCAATCAAATCTGATGCCTATGTTGAATTCTCGACCCCGTACTTCTACCTCTCTCTTGGCACCACTGTCTTGTGCACCGTCCTCATCATCCTGCGTATCGTTCTCATGTCGCGTGGCGCTAAAGGACGTTTGCGGAGTTACCGTTCGGCCATCGAGATGATCGTCGAGTCGGCTGCGTTATATTCTATTACCCTCATCGGATTTATCGCCACCGGCATGCTTAACATTCAAGATGGATACCCACAGGCGATGTTGGGACCGATGACGGTATGCCCCGTCACTCTTTCCAGCCTCCTCAATTGACAAAACCCAGGGAATCGCACCAACTCTCATTGTCTGTCGTGTTGCTCTCGGTCTTTCCCGCCCAGATCCGACATGGCACACGAGGACCAACGCAACTGCAGTCCGGTTCAACAGATCCGAAGCATCCGACCACACAGGCCGAAGCGACACGGTCTTTACCCTTTCGACCCTCGAACCAACCGCCGAGGGAAAAGTGTAACCTGCGTGCAAATTTTTATTGTTATTATGAACCAGAACTCGCTATACACTTTCTTTGGCTGGGGCTAACGAGGGATATTTATGAACTTGGCTTGCTTGTTTTTTACTATATCGGGACGTTGGCGTCGAGGAAAATGACAGCTTTGTTCCCACCCCTGTATCTCGAAAAACTTGGAGAAGCAAAGTCACTTGTCATCTATCCTCCCGACAGAATGTCTCAAACGTGGAAGCCCATCTCTGGCAGCTGAATGTGCGAACAATTCGTGTTGTAAGCAGCGGATGTACATCAATCGAGCGATATTGATTTATCGTACTTCAACCCCGATAAATCGTATGGCGGAGATCCCAGGTGGACACTCCACGCCAGACTCCCTTGGACTCGACCTCGACACCGCTTTGCGAGCGGAATACGATGACGTACGGGACCTCGAGCAGTCCACGCGTGACCGCGCTGACCGCACGGATGGTCTCCTTGGGGCCAGCTTTGCCCTGAATAGTGTCCTTCCACGTATGGGTGTATGTAGTCGCCTCGCCGAAGGTCCAGTCGAACGCCGGGGAGGAGACGAAGCCGGAATCGGCTACATAGTACGGAACGCCAGCTGATTTTTTTGTGATTCCACTCAGATATCTGAACAAACTTGACTTACAGCTGATTCCAAGACCCACGCTGACAGGAAATCCGCCCGTAGTTTCCCAAGAGTGGGTGTGGTTAGATGACGCGAGAAGGCTGAAGCTGATCTCTTGGCTGCTATTGGTGTTGTTGGTCAGGGACTGGGTGCCGACCACCTGGGGCGCTGCGCTCAGGATTTTGCCTTGCTTCAGATCGTAGTCGACGCGGACGACTTCCAGGTCCTCAAACAAGAACGAGAAATAATGGTCGTCGTATTTGGTCGTGATCGGTTCCAAGTTACCAACCTGAGTGGTCATGCATATGAGAGATTATCTTCCTGAGATCAGAACTCACTTGTGGCTTCGCATGCGTGCGACTGAATATCACGGTGTTCGTGGCTGGACAGATGAAACGGAACATCTGTGTCTGTTTTCCTTGACCAGGATCAAGTTTGAACCAGCTGAAAACAATAAACACCCATCATATATAGCACAAAGAACACCAACTTGTCGTTATACTTGCCATCCCCGTCAATGTGTCCCACTTTGGGCTCCTCTTTGGTACGCGAAAAGAGGACTTTGCCCGTTTCTCTGCTCTTGATAGCATACTGGCCATCGTGCGAACCAGTGCCCGGTACGAGGGAGAAGTACTGATTTGCGATCGGCTTATCACCAAGAGGAGTGTGGCCCACCTCAGGCTGCGCGTCCGTGCGTGAGTAAAGGACGTGCAGGCTGAGGTAGTTGGCCAAGCGGAAGTAAATGTTGGGTGGTGGGATATAAATGGTGTCAGACATTGTATGGGCTCGTGTGAGGAGCTCGATGCCATGAGTGGACCCAGAGCAGGTATTTATGCCTTTCAGTCTTGAGATGACGCAGAGCAAGCTCCGCACGAAGGGCGCGCTCAGGCGCCGAACCGATGAAGACAGTGCGAATAGTTGCCCAAGATGCGGATGAGCAAAGGAAGGCGAAGTGGAGATTACTGTTTAGTTGACTCAGGAAATGGTAGAAGAGCTTGGAGCTACCAGAAGAGCGAGCGACCATCGAGCGAACGTGGGGTGCCCTGGTCTGTTTCTGGGGTCGGAACCCGGAAAGCTAAGACCAACAGCGCAATTTGGTGGAGGTGAGGGTATGTAATAACCTCACTCCTCGAAACCATCGCAATAGCACCATGGATCTGGACTGCTAACTTAGACGAATAAGCGGAGACAGGTAGCAATTATAACAAGGCTATGACACAGTCGTGCAGCTTGGCGGCGTCAAAAACTGCTCAGATGGCATGTCCAAACGGGGGTTGCAGCGGCCTCCGCCATTGGCGTGATAATTTCGGGAGTGGATGCATTCGCCAAGTTAATACATGTTTACAGTACGCTCCGAGTGTCGGATTTTAGGTCTGCATTCAAGTTATCAGAGTGTGGTTTTATGAAAGGAAAGCAGAAGGTCAGATCTGGCCTAGTCCAATCCACAGTTTCGACGACCTGCAGAAACGCAGCACCACAGAGCAGGCGGTTATTGCCGGCGTCGGTATCAGGGCGCCTCGTATGAAGTATATCGAGGCGCCACCACGACAAGTATAATCCCAAAGAAGCGGGAGAGTTCAGCCTGACACTCACGTCTATGCAAGCGGGGAGATGAGTCTGAGCAAAAGACATTAGTGACAAACAGAGTCATGACGTTGAAGGACGCACTTGATGAGGGAGGGCTGTGGGTTGCTGCGCGTGAAGCCGACCCAGATAATGAATGGAATCCATCCGTAGTGCAAGACGGTCTAAAAAATGGGCAAGTGAGAAAAACGATATTCTGCAGTAAGCTCTCAACGTACGCGGCCGACCTCAACAACCTTGACTATACGTTCCTGTCATTCATTAACGACCACCGCGTCGCTGCTGGAGTCCATACAAACCTTGGTCTCTTCGGAGGGCATGTTGGGTACAACAGACAAGCACTTGCGTTGCACGTGACAAATAATTTTCAGGCCTTGATCTCTTTGCGATGGCACTCGGCGGCAGTTCAGCAGTCCACGTCCAGACTTCTACCGTCTCAGCTCCTACGCTACCGTGCTTATCTGTTTCTCTCATATCCGAGTTGGTCTGCTGATGATATCCTAGTCGGCAACCCAGCAATGTGACTGTACACCCAGCTGCTCTCTTCTCAATCCTCGACCATTATCTCAGGCGCAGCGACGAACAACCGCGAGTAATCGGTACCCTCCTCGGCACTCGATCGCCCGATGGCACCGTTGTTCATGTCCGCTCGTCATTTGCCGTGCTGCATAGCGAAACCGATGAGCAAGTTGCTGTTGACATGGAATACCACCGCACAATGTACGAGCTCCACACAAGGGTCACTCCAAAGGAGACAATCGTTGGCTGGTACGTGCTTGATATCTTTGGAGAGCAAGTCTAATCGTTTGAAACAGGTACTCAACAGGCTCAAATCTAAACACATATTCGGCGCTCATTCAAAACTTCTACTCTCAAGAGACAGCCCCTCAACAAGCTATACACGTTGCGCTAAATACGGGCGCAGAGGAAGACACAGAAGCCGGTGTTCATGCTTTCGTTAGGTTTGTTGATTCTCGATTGATTCTAGCTTGTTTTGAAAGCGTCACCCAGCTCACCCGTTGGCGTGTTCCCGAAACCTGAGAACTGCATTTTCACCCCAGTACCTGTGCGGCTGAAATTTGACGAGGCTGAGCGAAGTGGACGTAAGTCGGTCAACCTTGGTTTTATCCTTCCCACTAATCGTCCATAGTTGATCTACTCTCCCAAACTTCAACCTCTCCCAACTCCACATCCCCGCAGCCCGTCACGACACTCGCCAACCTTGACGCTGCACTCACAAGTGTGTCACAAATGATTGACCGCGTTTTGGTCTACGTTCGACGTGTTCTTGCGGGCGAGATTCCGGGCGACAAGGCTCTGGGACGGTATCTCATGGATACGCTTGCCATCAGCGCTGTTGGGGAGAAAGGAAGCGAGGATAAGGCCTTCAACGCTGCCCTTCAGGTACGTGCAAAACAAGTTTCCCGCCTCCAATCCGCCAACAAGCCATAGGACACATTGATGATCTCCTATCTGGCCAACCTCCTCCGCTCCCAAGCAGAAGTGTCGTCGAGACTAGCGCTTGTTGCATGAGTATATCAGCTGTTAAAAATGCGCGAATGTTGTAGATCGTGTCGCGCAGCGAGTAATTCGCCCAATGGCCACGTATTTGTTGGCCCATCTTGGGTTTCATCCCAGTCTTTGTTTCCCCCAGCACGTGCTCGTAATCGTGCACATTTAGAGAGTTGTGCCTCGACAAAACCATTGACGGTATGGAGCAGAAGTTGTTGAGCAGCGTAGGGCCCGATAGCATTGAGGCGGACGGCAGCAGAGAGCAATGCACGCGCATGGAGGAAAAGATGCAAGTGCTGGGTTCGTTCAAGTGAGAGGCCAAGAGCGGCACAGATGACACCCCAACAAATAGGCAGATGCCCAAAGGCTGAACCGTCGCTTTGCCTCACGCGCCGTTTGTATGAGGCGATAAGCGCTGATAACAGTTTCTCTGCAGCAGTTTCGGTGCCAGAGCTATTAGGTGGTCGGCTGAATCCTTTGGAATATAATGTGAGAAGGGCTACGCCTTGTGCAGCAGAGGCGCGACGGGCGACATGGTTCAGCGTCATGGACTCGTAGAGCGCGTCAATCGTTTCCAGGTCTGCAAGAATTTGGCTTTCGTCGGTTTCCTCAAGACGGAGGGTAGTCATATACGCGTCAGACACGAACGGGAGCGCGCTTGGCGCGTAGGTCGACAAGCTGTCCCTCACAAAAGTGGTCACCAAGTCCAGTTTGTTGGCGGACCCCGCGCCAAATCCGTGGGTGAGGAATGATTCCAGTCCCGAAGACGCGACAAACGATCCAGTCGGGAGGTTGCTGTCGGAGAGGAGGAGAAGCAAGTGCGATTCGCGGTCAGTCATGGATGAAAGCAGAAATTGTAATTTTGATCTAATCAATAAACTTAAGGGCACCGGCCCGTCTGATATCTTCCCAGTCTCCGACTGTCCTCATCTGGCCCATCCACACAACATCGTCGTTCTCGAACAGCATCACACCGCTGCCCCGCATAGGCATCGGGTTACCCGAAGTCGAATGACCCGTGACCCAAATCACCCGCGCCTGTTTCTTTGGGGCTACCAACGCGCCGGAGAAATCAAGCTGGCCAAAGCCAGCGGTCCGCCAGTTGGTCTGGAACGAGTATTCCGCTCCGGGTGGACAAGGAAATACCATCATTGAAGGGTTCGCGCAACGCCAACTGACATCGTTCTTGATACCCTCTAGATCGTTGTTGTAGGCGAGGATGGCGCGTCGAATTCTCAACGCTATATCGCGCAATGACATGGTGTGGAGGTCACCGATAGTGAACGGAGGGATAGAGATGCCCATGACAGCATTGTTGATAAACGGGCCGCCAATGTCGCCTGAAGCGGTCGAGAAAATCCCGTGTTTTCGCACATTGACGGGCAAGTGGAGGTGAAAGGGCGTCTGTAAGTCTTGGCGATGTTTGTAACCCGTCTGCATCATGTGTTATGAAGTGGGAAAAAGGAACAAATAACATACCTTCAGCCACCACCCCACAAGCACATCGGAGCTGCTGACCCATTCTTTGGAGCCCTCCTCTTTCAACTCATCCATAATCTTCTGCTTCTCAGCCTCCAGAAATGGCTTTGGCACACAGACATACATTCCGTGGTCTTTTGGGTCGCGCATTAGACTCAGCACCATTCGCGCAATGAAGGAAGCCTTGGATATGAGCCCTAGATCAAAGAATCCCCGCTGCACCCACCCAGCCGGCGCTGGTTGCGAGAAGGTTGCGAAGGGCTGCGCATCCCAGTCCATCCCAGGTATGTCTTCTATGCGTTCGCCAGAAATAGCACGCGTCCAGGCATGCAAGAATGTTTTTGTCCCCATTGCATCGAAGAGCACGTGAGAGGCGGTTACACCGATGAAAGTGAGGTCTTCGAACACGGAAACATGGACGTGGAGGAGTGGAGCACCAGATTTGAGGCAATCGTCTGCGCCCTTGGGGCAAGTGGGACCGCGAATGAATGGAACCATGTCTGGGTAGCCACAAGCAAAAGGCTGATTGGCCTTCGACCACAATTTCGCGGGAGACGGTCTATCCGACGCGTCATAAAGTTCTGGGCAAGTCTCGCTCGTGAAGACTGCGGCTGGCGTCTGGGCGTCGAAAGCGAGCGGGATCTGGTATTCGTACTTCTAAACTGGAATCAGTCTTTTCAATTTGGAAGCAGAAGACACACCCCGTTTCGCAATGCCAGCCTCGCGCCTGCTCTAGGAAACTTGCGTGAAATCAGCAGCAGCAGAGTTTCCTCCAATTTTCTGGGATCCAGTTTGGCATCAACGATAAACGCGGTTGTGAGCACCAGGTCAAGCGCAACGAGGTCGACGCCAGTGCATGGCACGACGTGCATTCCAGGCGGGGGCGGCGTGGTTTTCGGTGGCCACAACCACCCGAAGAGGGCGGACAACATGGTGGAAAAAGGAGACGTTTGGCGCGTTTTGCTTGTCGAACTTTATATTATTGTGCGACAACTGTCAGATTGTGTTTGAGCATAATGCCCTCCCTTGCTTATGGGCTTCGAATGTTGCGATATAGCGACCTAGGCCTGACACCTAATTTATGGGTTAGAGCCCACCGCGAAAGGTACTCGTGGAGGTGGAAGGAGTCGAAGTTCCGTCATTGATGCGGATCAGATACTCTGCCAACAACTTCAAGTCTTCATTCAACTCACAAACTCCAGAAAAATGCGAGAATAGATATGATTATAGTGGAAGCGGACAAGTAAAGGAAACGCATGCGTCTTTTTTGGTTTTGGAATACACTCCCCCCTACAACAGATCGCCAAACGCAGCCATCTCCGGCCCACCAGACTCCCTGATGCCGATTTCCCAGTCTGTTCGTGTGTTCGTCAGTTAGAAAGAGAGAAAGTGCGCAAAAACCTACAGCTGTAGATGGTGGTTACGGCCATGAGGATACCGGTTCCGCTGCCAATGGCGCCCATAAGATCGGCGACGACGGAGAGAAGTCCGAGAATAGCACCACCAAGGGCGGCAGCAGTCGGTATAACCCGCTTGAGTTCCTTATACATTGAGCCTTCACGATGCCCAGCCATAACCTACCAAACAGGTCAACAACGTATAATCAGGAATAAAAGGAAACAGAAGCTCACCATTTGCTGATCTTTCAACTGCTTGGCAATGTCGCGAGGGCCGGAACCCGAAACTTCAATCCAAGTCTTGGAGAAGAGTGCGCAGGCAGAAAGCATGAAGGCGATGTATATGACCGTATGAATTGGGTCAACGAGGGCTTCTTTCATTGTGTGGGGCGGCGACATGTAATACGCGATACCAGAAGTAGCAACAAGCTGTTGCGAGTCTTCCATAGGCTCCCAGACACCCAACAGCTTGACGAACAGGTTGCTGGGATAGCGCGACGCGAGCATTTGGGAGAGAATGAAAACGTTGGGATGTAAGAGCCGACTCCAGCATGATGGGCATGTTGGAGGTATAGAAGAGCTTGATGGGGTAGGACCCGCGCTGGCCACGGAATCGGTTGCTTTTTACAGGAATTTCGATGCGGAAGCCCTGAAGATAAATGACGATGCCGAAGATGACTGCTGTGGCAACAAGGTTCATAACGTTGGGGAGACGGTCGCGCCAGAAAGCCTCGCGGAGCGCACGGCCTTTGTCGTTCCAGGTGAAGAGGAGATGGAAAAGGGCAACAATGGCTCCCTCGAATTCAGGGCCGCGACCAGTGTTGACAGTTGTGGGGGAGAACGCTTTCCAGACAATCGACTCGCAAATGTTGGTTGCAATGAACAGCGAAATGCCAGAACCGAGACCGTATCCTTTCTGGAGGAGTTCGTCGAGAAGAACCACAATCATGGCAGCCGCAACAAGTTGAACGATGAGGAGAAGGCAAACACCGGCACCAAGCTCGCTCGGCTGGCCATAGAGACCAGACACAACATAAACGATACCCTGACCGAGGGCAATGATGAGCGCGAAGACTATAAACAGTTCAAATACAACAGGTACGAGAAGGAAGCACTCACGTTTCTGGGCACCACCGAACAAGGCACGGTCCTCCTTCAAGCTAAAATCCACGTCGACGAGGTTTGCGCCAGCCAGTAATTGCATGATCATGCCAGAGGTGATAATGGGGGTGATACCGAGTTCCATTAGCGTTCCACGGTTGGAGGCGAGGATGACCCGCATCCAGTAGAGCGGGTCAGAGGAGTCGGACGACATAATGCCATATAGCGGCACCTGCGAGCAGACCAGGAAGATGAGTAGCGTGACGGCCGTCCATAATATCTTTTGCTGGAATGGAACCTGGTCGCCACGTCAGAAATAGAGTCACGAAATCCAAGTTTCCACGCACTTTACGGTCGGGAGATGCTACCTCTGGTAGAATCGGAAGAAATGGCCGGACGAGATTGAGGAACCTAACTTTAGAAGAGGTCAGCGCGTTTTGTGCGAAATAATAGCCTTGCAGACGTACATCCGCTCATAATGGGTACATAAACGAGCGGGAGGAAAGAAAGTTGTGGAGATCACAGACGTGGCAGTCACGGAAGTTGCTTAGTCAGGCACACGTCCTCCCAATTGAAATTGATCAAGGTACTGTCGAACAACACCTGGAAAGAGTACAGTATGTCTAGTTGAGCTCTTTCAAGCAGCGATACCAAACTAAAATGTACTCAATTTGTATGGAAGCAGCAGCACGTCCAAGTTAGGTGCATTACCAATCACGGCCCATCGAGGACGTCAAGCAAAGTTGGGACAACCAAGAACATCACTTGATTGAATTTCCAAATTCCAGAACCCTCAGGAATAGATATACCAATACAGTTACATTGCTTGTGCTGTTTCATTTACTTTAATATCGTGTCGAAGCGCCCTTGCGCCGGTACATGGTGTCAACTTTGCTCCCATCCTGGCCTCTCGCGGACGACAGACAAGAAAGGTGAAAGGAGGAGATATGGGAAGGATGGAAGGAGCAGAAGGGAAAAAAGAGAACGATGACCCTAGTGAAGTCCAAGTCCGTGTGATATGGTACGAGCACCAAAAGGCGCGAACACAAGAAAATGTGGTGGTGCGGTGGTTATGCGGGTGGGGTAGCTCGGCGCAAGAGATGAAAGGGCGAGATTGAGGGAGCCAAGCGCTGAGTTGGATGGGGTGTTTGTGTACGGGGACCATCATACGTCGTAGGAGAATCATGACCGAGTACGATGGGAGTGGATATAAATATGGAGTTTGGTCGTTATTGGAGAAGGACAGCCAAAGACATAGCAGCAGAGTGATTGAAAAAATGGAAATTCGATGGGCTGGACAGGTGAGGATGGAAAGGAAGTTCGGCAGTCTAATCAAGGTCCATGTCGATGTCGTCCTCTTGCATGCCAGCCCAACGCAAGCTTTCAGTCTCCCGTGCTTTCTCTTTGTCGTTGTCCTGCTCCAAGGTTTCCTCGAGTTCGCGCTCCTCGCGCACCCCGCGCAAGTCGTAACCAAGATCGTCGTCGTCTTCCTCATGCTTCCAAACCCGTGCATTACCACGACCACGAAGATAACCTTCATCTTCTTCGAGTTCTTCATCGTCGCTGGGAGTGGAACGACTGCGGCTCTGTTCGGAGGACACGGATGCTGAGACGCTCACTGAGCGAGGGACACTCCATGCGCTACTCCCCAGACTGTGGCTGTGACCATGGCGAGGATTGGGCACTTGCACAACTCCGGCTCGAACTTGGGCTCCACGAGGCACCTCGTAGTCATGAAGCCGGGGACCCGCACCAGCAGAGCGAGCAGCAAATCCATAGCCGTTGAAAGATTCGGATACTCCAGGGACCGAACCATACCCAGGCGATCCATATGAGGTCGAGACAGTATCTTCGCCCTCCAGAACACCGCCACTGCACCAACGAGGCCACATTCCACGGTCTTCAGGGAGACTTGTTCCATTGTCAGAAACAGGACTGAGATTCGAAAGGATAGCGGCAGCCTCGAGCAACTGAACCTGTGCATGTTTGCTGAGAACGCCACCGCCTCCAGTGGGGAGTGATGCAAGGGTTCGCCAATGCGGGGTGTGCTCCCAACGATGTTTGATAAGGCAAGAAGGGTGACGATAGATCTATTGGAATATTGAGTATTGTGTTGTGAGGAGTAAGCCACAAAAAACATCAATAGAGTGGGATCTGAGACTAGGGGCAAAATGAAAAAAAAGTAGTGGAGCATTGGATCAGGCGCTCTTCGGGCGCACAGACGACCCCGAAAGAGTAACATTGTGATTGACAGGCATATCACAGCAAAGGAAATGATGGCCGTCGAAATTGTACAAGGAAAGAAAGAGAATGAACAGCAGTGAAAGACACACCTTGGAGCAAGTCTCACATTTGTGGTCTACGCCGCGCTTCTTGCGACCTGGACCATTGGAGGCAATGGGGATGGGTGTGCTTCCTTTGGTTGGGGCGCTTCCAGGTAGTGGGATTGACGAAGTGGGAGGAGACACCGAAGAGAGAGACATGGCCGCCATTGAGGATATCGGACTCCCGACCGAACTATGACTGAGATGAGATGGGCTGAGAGTAACAACTGATTACGCACATTGGGCGGGTTGCTGCGTCTCTGGCATCGCTCAGTCGCCGACGACGTCCTGTTGACGAAGAGAGACGGCGATGATGGGCGGGAGCAGAGGGATGCTTGCTGCCTGCGCTGGATGGCTCGAGTGCTAGATGAGGAGCACTCTCGGCAGCCAGCGACAACGACAGCAAACTGAGGGCAGCAGAATCCTGTACACGTATGAGTCAACAAAAAGCTCGCTGGTGTAAACGCACTTGAGACATGGGTGTTGGAGTACAGGGGTGGTAGAACAACGAGGATACAGGTTACAAACTCAGAGGGACATTGGAGGAAACTTCACAAGAGACAAGAGACGATTATCTAATAAGTGGACGGGAAATTTACTGTTAGTCACCTGCTTTTCCCCATTGGGATTTGTCGGCGCCAGCCCTCTCCTTACTCAAGCGTCAGCGAGCGTCTTTCCAAAGATGCTTTCGTGTCGCAAACATCTCTTAAATACTGACAGCCTTAACTGGGCATAAGTTACTAGCAGACTTACCTATTGACTCGGATACCAGCTGCAGTAATTTCGGGCATCCCTGCGAATCATGCCTTTCGGAACTTCAATTCAACGTTCTCGATATTGCTTTTCTGCCCTTCCAACCGCAAGATCCCTCATCAACTATCTGTGGATTCAACTGAACAGCACCTGTAGTCACCGTCCCAGTGCTACTGATTTCGAAGCTTCCTGAACAATCATGATTCCTATTCTTTTTAACAATGTTCTCCAAGGCGTAGCGCGAAACGAAATATCTAGAGAAACAGGACACTTGGACTTGGAGTTGTTTATTTGTACATTGCGGCCACTATGTTTAGCCTTCATCGATACTGTCTCACTAGCGCGATAAACTTCAAGTTCAGCCAGCCTGCATCCATCTTCCCACTAACGGATTGACGCGTTGTGTTCGCACACCATAGCTCAAAAATCGTCTTAAAAGTTCCAGCGCGAAACATACTAGTATTCAAGTTGTTGTTCTGAGGGCAGTCGAAATGACAGTCAGAGAAGCTTCAAGTGCCCGCGCGATGATCGATACTTATGCGCTGGACTCAACAAAGCTCGTCAGACTCCACAAAGAGAGACCCGGATCCGAGTAAGGAAAATGACAGAGAAGGCAATTCATTGAAAAATATGTTCTCGTCAACTCTGGGCATGAAAGACACAATTGTGGGCAATAAGGGTGTACCCCACACGATTAAGGCAGTGAAATGAGCGGTGCTCGTTTTCGCGTTCAACCTAGTAGCCCAACGGAACTTTGAGCGAAGCCGAATCAACCTTGCACTGAAAACGAAAGTGACAGGACAAGTTAAACACTTTGAGAATGGTATAATGTTTGAGGTACAAAACTCTTTAGCGGAAATTCATCATTTTTACTAATTTCCGCTCCAGACGTTGAAAGAATGGGGTGTGTAAGTGAAAGAGTACTTCGAATTGAAGGTCCACTTTGTGCCAGCATTGTACACAACTGGTAAAATGGCCGAAGAACGGCTGCGCAAGCTTGAAGACCAGACATCGCGCAGAATCGATATGAATCGTATGAGTCGGCTGTCTGAGACCACTGGTAGTAAAATTCTGTTTCGGGTGTGGGAGTTCAGAGGCGGAAGCCAGATCACTGCCGAAACCTGCCCCCTGGACCAAGCCGTTAAATAATCTGGATTTATGGGTTTTCCTCCATCGCACCCGTTTTGCTCATTTTGACCTCACTCTGACCAAGTTTGGTGACGACTGAGATCCTTGTCGCACGAGCTACTGTGGTCTGCTGAGTGTGTCAGATATCTGAAGGGAGATGTTTCGGCGGGGGTTGGCTGATGACAGGCGTGCAGACCGCTCAGTGGCTGGTCCACTGTGGCGAAAGCGTCTTCATCATACCATCCTTGCAGTGGAAACAGTCTGAAAATGCTCCTTAGGTGACCGCGACTAGTCGAGGTCATCGTTGATAACGGGAATGCCATGCACACAGACGCTGTTCTTTCAGGACGCTCGTCGCGACAAGGCTCTTCAAATCTGAACCACCGCCGGCGACGACCGCACCCCTTCTGGCAAGGGCTGCTTTGGGGACCGGGTGTATCGGACATCTGGAGGGAGATGTTTCGGTGGGGTTTGGCTGATGAGTTGCATAGCACGCCCGGCGGGGAGTTGGGGCCTTGGTCAATCATCTGATTTATCGAGGTCAATCATAGGAGCCGTCTGTGGCGACGTTTCTTCATCATACCATCTTCGCGCGGAAACAATCAGCAAATGCTCCTTAGGTGGTCGAGATTCATCAAAGCCATTGTCGATGACGGGAATGCCATGTACACACGGTTGTCCTCAGCATGCCTGGACGGAGGGGCTCTGCAGCTCTGAACCTTTCGCCTCGGTTATTGGTTTCGACGATGTGCTGATATTTTCCCTGTTTTCGCTCGTCAGTTCACCAGTTGTTGTGGATGATCATGACTGACTGTGATTATTTTCCTGCCACTGAGCGTTCTGTCCTTCTAACGATTGGCTTGCAACTTGCCAGTGTAAAGCCTCTGTGAATTGAACTGGGATCGTTCGCGGAGCTCTCGAAGTAATGACCTCAAAACCTTGTCTTCCTCTTCCACTCATTTCGCTTTAGTTCTGGTGACGACTGGATCCTTGTTGTAAGGGCTCTTGCGGCCCGCCGGGTGTAGCGGATATCTGGAGGGAGATGTTCCGGTGGGTTTGACTGATGAGATGTATTGATCGCCGTGTGGGGAATTGGGGCCTCGCGTCAAGACACGTCGCTTTGACCGGCAGCGTCCTGCGGGGTCAATCATAAGAGCTGCAGAGGCGAGAGCTCTTCATCACACCATTCTCGCGCGGGAACAATCTCAAAATGCTCCCAAGGTGACTGCGACTTGTCGCAGTCGTCGTTGATGACGGGAAAGCCATGTACGCACGTGCCGTCCGTCCAAGTTTAATTGGCCTTGCAGCAAAGGCTCTCCAGTCCAAACCTTCACCATCGCAACTATTGCGAGCCAGTTACTAGGATGGAGTAGAGGGATGAAGGGAGCGGCCGGTGTTAGTCGAAGGATTTTTGTTGTCGAAACAAATTTTGTAGTTGGAGAGTCTCGGAGGACGACACGCCCCCTTGACGTCGGGCTCCGGGCTTACGGCGATTTACTTCGTCAACCAAGTGCGCGTCGTAGCTAGTTCACAAATAATTTGGGATAGACTGTACATGTTCTGTAAAGGGTAAACGACAAGAGCTGTTTGAGGGAATAGAACTTCACACCTACTAGTAATACGAGAAGAAGAGAAGAGTTACGATCATGCCTCATCAACGTTCTCAGATGGCACACGCCTGGGATGGTCTGGATGTCTGGAGAGAGAGAGAGAAAAAAGTAAGTCTGGAGAACAAATAGCAATGAAAGACGCACTTGGTGCGACGATGATCTGAAAGGCCTTTCTCTGTAAACACCCGACCCGAGTTTGGGCATTCAAAACAAGCAAGTTTACCGGACGGGGTAGACAAACGAACTTTGTCGATGTCATTGTGTCTGAAGAGAAGTCAGTACCAAGGTCAAATAAAAGCAATGGAAGATTGACTTCGCAACAACATGGATATGCAATCCATCGATATGGATCAAACGCTTGCAGTATGGACAGGCAATCTTGAAGCTCGGCTTAAGTTCTGTCATAACCGCCGAACAGTGATGTTGCCAAACTGCGGAGAAGCTGAATTTATAAAACAGCGGGCTTTGTCCGATAATTACCGGTCAAAGTGATGTCTTGCAGGTCTCTGTTGAACGCAGAGAATATGAGCCCGAAGACTTGGGATTTGATGACCTGGCTGGCGCTGATTTTCGGGTCCGCCAGCTTTACAACCCGTTGTAGACTGTCTCGTAGTGACACGGGTTGACGGAAGCCCAGGAGCAAACATACAACTTCAAATTGCGGTAGTAAACTCTTCTTTGCTCATCACAGTATTCTGCTGCCCACAAGTTGAGCTGTTCGGCATTCTAGTGACGCGTTAGATGAGCAAATTTGTGCTCGTGAGATCAAAGATGTTGCGGACCTGTAGCAATATGGGAACTGATTGCTCGCGCTTGGTATATTCCTGGTCATGTCATGGGTGTTGATCGTGGTGGTAATTGTGGAAGGGTACCTCTTCGAGTTGATGCCTCGTTCGTGAACGAAACAATTTTGGGGGGGTTGGAGCTGCGCCGCAGGTTCTAGCAATAGCTTCGTCATGCTCCTGCCTAGCAAGTTGGATAGCCTTCCAGTCGAATGCGTAATAGACGACGCCTGCGACCACTTGGTATGGAATCTTCGGAAGCGAACGTCCCCACGGCGTGGTATCTTGGATTTGGATCCAATCCACAGCCAAATTCCTGTTGCTCGCTGAACTATAAAACCAGTGGAAAAGACAAATCATAACGGACGAGATGATATCAAGCTTGCATCTACGCTGAGAGGAGTGAGGAGTTGAATGTGGTAGAAGGCTAGGCGTAGCTACCGAGCAAGCTCTAGAGCGAAACAAGAATATGCAAGGGAGGCGCGCAGTTGGTTTTGTGCATTGCTAGTAAAGGGGAGTCTGGTCAAGCGATGAGCAATTGGAAGAGTGACATCTGCGTACGGTGCACATTCCTCCGCCAAAGAGAAAAGTTGCGTAGGCTGTTTCGGAAAAGTTGCCGGACGCTGGGACTTGAGGACAAGGGGGAAGAGTAAGAGAGATTCCACTGCGTTCAAGATTGGCTCTGGCCCTATTCCAAAGATAGACGTGTTTCAAAAGTATCATTTTGCGAAGGCGTTTCGATGTCGCGGAGAGCTGAACGAGATCGTATGGCGAGCATTGCTCTAAAATCTATAGGCCAAAAGTTCATAGGTTAGTAGCATGTTAATTCTGTGAGGCGGACCAAGATGCCAATATCGCGAGGAAGGTCGTTGAAGGGGAAAACGGAGGGGAATGGGTGTCGCATCTTCTGGTTCTATGGTATTTTTGCAAGAAACTTGCATGTGATGTGACCAGATGGCTCGCGGCTGGCTTCGAGCTGAGCATTCTTCACGAGAACCACTGGACTCTCAACAAGCTTTTCCGTCTGTCGTGGCTTTTCAGCGGAAAGAGCAACGTGGGAGAAATCCAGGCCTCGGCTTTGCTTGGACAGTACCTGAGCGCTCATGTGATAAGCGTCGACACGACATGTCACCACTCCCAAACCGCGTTGTTCACGCGTTCACGTCGCACGACGTTCAGAATCGTTGCTTTTTACGGCGCTTTTG